TGTAATCAATGATGGCAACGGCGAAGGCGGAGGAGACGTAGAAGGTGGAAATGATATATGTGGACGGACTGAAACAGCCAAGAATTACTGGTTGAGATTTTATGTTGAAAGACATAAACAGGTTCTTTCAGCTATCTATCTTTCGCGTATAATCAAATGCACCCCGTCAGTTGCTACAGTGCAAATCTTTTAGGTGTTGGTACACGACACTCCAAGAATTTTCAAAGGACTCATGCCAACACTTATCGAAAGACTTGTCACAATTCTTACCAGTGATCGTTTAAAATGCCCGAAACTGCTGCAAGGGCATTGAGACAAATTGGCAGAAAACAGAGTGAGAAGTCTTGCAAAATGTTACTCAAGTTTTACATTCATTCCTGAATGCAGCTTCCTCTCAACTCAGAGGGTGTGTGTATTGCGTTCGCCGAATTCCTCAAGATTTGTCGAGAGGGAAAAGATTGAAAGTGATCGCAACATCATGAATGTCTCGTTGATGACAATTACAGAGTTAAAGGAGCAGCTGTTTGGTTAAGGTTGGATAGTTCGAGGCTTAGCTGTTCATAACTGGAGGAATTGTGTGGCATATCGCACAAATTCTCAGCCTGAAGGTGTACCTCGGCTTATATGCAAAGATTTCTTTTACTTCCAATGAGCGTAAAGATGATGGATTGCATCAATACTGCTAGATCCTTGGACGAAGAGAAAGAATTCAGCTTTGCCAGCAGCTATACACTCTTTCATCAAGTCATTCAAGAAATCATGGCTGTTTCTGTTGCATCTGACTACACTGTCAGTCCGACTGAAGACGTGAGTTCGTTTAGCGCTCTATCTCATGGTGGTTGTTTCTGCATGATGATTTCTTACTTATGTCAACACTGAAAATTCTTACACTGAAAAGTGTTGGTGAAAAACCAAGACGGGTCGCTGACTAGAACACTGCCATGAGATAGCTCGTGTGCTTATGTAACAAGGCTAATACGCTACACAGGTCAAGGACATGCTCTTTGCGTATGATGTTGCTTATTTCGCTAGTATGCTGACAGACTCAGTTTAAGCATTTTGACTTTGAGTCGCACAAACGCGACTACTCGTTATATGTTTGATGCATGAATGCTTTACGGGGTACGCTGTACCAATTTAGAAGGGTTTTTAATAGTGAGGCTTGAGTGGTTATGGTCGTAAGTCTTTATCAGACTAAGGCGCTTCAATGGAGCGCATGTGTGCCTTTGTATTGCCCCTTTAACGGAGATGGAATGAGACGGTCGTATGCTCAATGACGTGCTCATCATAGCTAGTAACAGCTGAGATCTGGGTATTCTTAGAGACATTTTGTAGCGAATAGCTGTGTAAGGAGTTTGAAGTGGTGATGATCGTGACTGGTTCTATGTATCACTCTGCGCTAGTTCAGCCGAAAGTTGTGTGTCACAGGGAAAGATTTGATGTTTAAGAATACACTTTTAAACTACACTGAAATCAAAAATTTTAGGCGCATCCTGAACCACCTCTCCGCCTTGATTATTTGATTTTAAATTGCACTCGATGATGCCAAATCCCCAATTTAGAGTTGAGCTATACCCCCTCGCTTTTTCTGCATGTATCCTTTTTGATAGATGCTTGATAGGGTTATACTGGCCTTAATTTTCCGCTAGGGTCATCATTGAGTTCAATGGACGTCACGCGTCGGAAACTCAATACGCGCCAATATGAGTTAATGTTCAAGATTTTTGTATGATTACAGCTTCTGTCAGCCTTTGATAATCGATGATATCGTTGAAGTGCGTCATCTCTTTCATATTCCCTCTATTGCATTTTCCGAAGTGACATCAAATAGGTATATTAGCTGAACAGATGATTGACGGGTGCATTTGAAATGCTTGAAAGCCGATGAATAGAATGTCATGGTAAAATCGTGTTTCTTGTATGTGCAAGATTTCGATGTGCATTTCTTTGAGTATTTGGAGTAATTTGAGCATGTATATTTCGACATAATATTCTTTTACGTCAGCTGGCTTTTTGTATATTGACTCAGCTAGTCATTAATTGCACTTACTTGATTTTCGAAGTTCAGGTAAAGCTTTGATCAAGTGAGCGGGGCGCAAAGTGACACCATGGTTTCAAGTCGGTTTCGATCTTTATAAACAGCACTCGAACATTTTGAAACTAAAAATTTGGATTCAATGTCTTGTCGAGCTCGCGGGCGATTAGTGGAAGAAATAGAACACCGAGCGAGTAGGCACGATTGATAAAATATTGAAAATACAAGCAGGAAATAGTTGGATTATTTATAGTGTCTTTTGGACAGTGATTTAGTAATAATTACAAGTGCGTGCTAGTGTGAGAATGGTGTTATCGGGAAGACAGCAAGACTTCCCATTTCGAAGACCTATTCTGATATATCTATCCCCTTCAGAGCATCCCCTCCTACGTTCTTCAGCTAAGCCGAAAATTAGTAGTAGAGGAGAGATGTGAGTAGAGAAAATCTTATATTTTAAAAAAACTCAGCAGAGCTTATCGTTCCTTGATTTTCCAGCTTCACCAGCTGAATTTGAGATGACGCATTTTCGACGATAGCAGAAATTGCTTAGAGCTGATTTAAGGTTTTCATGCCATAGCTTTGGATTGTCAATATCATGAATTGTAATTCATCGCTCCTCTTTCCGCATTTGGTAGGTGCAGATCACCTCGACCAGCTCAATTACTAAAAGATGCGATGATTAGGCTGAGGTATGAATATATTAGTAAACTCTCCTAATTTTCTGGTTCAATTTAATATATTCAGAGATGTAATTTGATGCTATCTATTAAATTTTTAAAATGTCATATTGTTTCAGATACTGAGACGAATTTCATCCAGACTACAGACAAAAATGTATATTAAAAATCCATAAATATCCCCCATAGAGCTCACTGATATGTATCATTGTGTTTCTTTTTCAATATCTCAAATATTTTTCAGCAAGATATGCCACTGTGAGTAGCTATGAATCTCAGACGCAAAACAGCTGGAGGATGTAAGTAATAAAATAGTAGCAGATACGTCTGAGTATTTAAGCAGCATATCACTCTGAGAGCTATTTAGGTGAAAGTGTATCCCTCAATCAACTCACAGCATGTCTTTTACGCATGCTCTGTGATGAAGGCGCTTTCAAAGATTTGCAAGTGCAGAAGCTGGATCTACCAAGAATACACAAATTCAGCATCTGTCAGCTGCGATTAATACATATCCCCTGATTGATCTTGTACCAGAACTGACCAGCGGCTAACGCGGCTAACACAATATTAGATTAGAAAAAGTAACTTAGCTTTTTTCTGATGGCCTCTTTAGCGTCAGTAGTAATCACAGAGGGATGCCGCTTCTCTAACATATCAAATACTTCATCAAACATTACAGCTATGATGTAGCTTATAAGAGAAGATGTGGTGTCACAATTTCTATAAATTACACTGATAGAATAAATAATATAAAAATACAACAAACATAACATAACATAACAAAACAATCTATCTTATGATTTTACAGGTGATATCATTGCATAGCAGGAGCTAGCATTGCTGCGCACGAACTTAGCATATTTAGTTACATGTTTCTTCGCTAATTATGAAGAATTGTATCTTTAGTTGAATCAGGGGATCACAACGGATCCAAATTAAGCTAAGATCTACGTATGAAGTGTGCAAATATTTCAGATTATCTGTCAGTGTTAATTTACTTAGAGCGGGCTCAATGTAATGTACTTGGCAGCCGACAGACGCCTACACTTTCTCGAGCAAGGCAGCTTTAATGCAGAGAAGCTGTTTATCGTTTTATCATCTGTGAATAGCGCAACCTGTCACAAGTCACTTCACAACGTTTTCTCATGACCCGAATTTCATCTCTGATTCACGCCACCATAAGCTGTATCAAACTATATTGAGATGATAACTCGAAAGGGGTGCTTACTGCTTTTGTGGATGTTCGAGCTTTATTAGACGTCAATCGGTCTCGACCTATGTTATATGGCAAACCAGCACTCACAAAGGCCACAAGATCCAAAGTCTGGAGCTGATCAATTTGTATAGTAAATATTTTCCTCGGTGATTATCTAGATGTCTCGCACATCACCTCTGTAACCTTTAATGTTTGTTGCGTTTTGACAAGCAAGTTAGTCAGCTATAACGTAGCTATGAAGAGACCAGATTTTATTCCACAATCACTAAAGTCACACTAAATCATTTGTAATGCATTGTCTTTACAATGAGAGTGACTTGAATTGGTGTAATGAAGTGGTGCAGTGAATGGTCTGTGCTTGCTGTTAAACATCGCGAAATATTAATAACAGTCCTTTCTTCCAATCATAATCGAATAGACGCGTTCCATGACAGTTTAGAGAACGCGTCAGACGCGCTCTTGAATCGTGGTCTTTCTTTGACTCATCGTATCTCTTAAATCAATAATACGGTATCGATACCATTATCAGAATGTCGCTCGCTTCTCGAAATGACATAGAAATCTCGCGGTTGTCGCTGCTGATGAAAGTGATGATCTTTTTGAAAGAAAGATGTTTCCTAAGACAATCAAAACAGCTACGAAAATACAAGCCACAAGTATATTTTCCATATCATGTTTTTTATTTTGATACATTCACATTCGCTCAACCTCCTCGTCAAATTTTGTCCTGAGTTTTTCATTCATCTGCTATCTGTGACAGTGAGCATGTTTGGTAGAAAATTGGATGCATTTTTGCAATATAAAACCGTGAAGTAGTCAATATATCTTTCAGTTAATCCACTGAAGTTGAGATGACGAAATTTTAGTGATATCAGAATCGAAACAATTTTGAGCTAAAACGAGGCAGCACCGGTAATCTGGGATGATTAAATAGCACATACAGCGTTCTCTCCGCTCCAATTTTTGTGTTAAGATCTTAAACGACGAGCTCGATTTCGAAGACATTGATTATTTGGATGAGAGATGAATACACTGGCAGATTTTCTCAGATTTTTATAGAGCGGAACAATTGAGATATTTGGTTGTTTGTGGCCTTCATCAGCTATAAAAATTTAATACTATCGATACAGGGCGTGAAATTCTTCATACTTATCCTATAACGTGCTCCAGAGCTATCTCGGATCGCAACTTACGAAAAGCTTACGATGCGCAATTGGAGTCTCAGGGATACTTGTCAAGTTTTTTGGAGATCATTAAAGTCGTAGAGAAGCCCATTGAGATGAGTTAGAGGATTGTCCAAGAATCCAACTCGGTGGCTATTGTATGTAATGCCATTATAGGGTTCTTTTTGGAATGCTCAAGATGTCATGAGGTTGATGCTTTTGCTAATTTCAAATTTTACAACAAATAATAATACATTGAATATTTCACACAAATTGACTACCATTAAACATAGTGCTCAGCAGCCCAGACCAGTGGTCGCCTGAGGTGCTGTCCAGCGATGGCAAAATGCCGTCCAAATCTTCATCCCCGAAGAAGTTACTATCTAGGCTATCAACTTGCATCTGCTGCATCATATCTGAGAAGTTTAGATCATTTTGGTAGATAGCCTCTTGTTCATAAATTTCGCTGCCATCTTGCACCTCAGGCACTGAAAAATGCTCACTTTTGAGTCCGCCCGTGTCACGCGACTGTAGAGTTTTAGCTTGTCATTTTTGCAGCACGAGACACCCACTAAGTCTGCCTGTGTGCGCATGAACGCTTTGTCCATAGGTAGGTCAGCGCTCCGTACCGTCTGCAAAAGTATATCGACTGCTCTCCCGCTAAGCATATCTTTTGACTCCCGCGCGCGTAGATTACTAATACCGATATGAATATATTCGAGATCGTTGCTGTTAAATATGCCCTTTTTTCTTCCTTCGCAAAAGCTGATTATGAGTACGATTGTCGCCGAGAATGCCTGTACTTCTTATCAGCTGTTTATGCTTTCTATACACCCTACATACACTCCAATTCGAAATATCGTATGGACATATCCCAAATTCGCTCGGTTTGTCGAGCAGCAGCTTCTTGTAGATAGAGATAATCGACCTAGCTGCATTGCCACAAATTACCAAGCTCGTAAGTCTGAAATTTGACTCCTCAGTGGATTGCGGGTTTGGTAGGAAGGTTTTGTAGACGAAAATTTGAGTGACAAAAAAGCCCAACTTTATATTACTCCTCAATTGAACAATTTCTTCATCTTCTTCTGAGTCGCCGCGTAGCTCAGTCGGCATATCATTCAGCCATTCATTCAGACGCGAATTGAGTGCGGCGATGTCTGAAAGACTCATTTTGAAGTCACCTTGAGTTGTATCTTTCTTGAGTCTGTATATTGATTCGAGTATGCTTGCGAGGAGCTTGTACAGGTCAATCAGTTTGTTCATGTAAACGACACTTAACCTGCTTTTGTAGTCGTTCTCACCATATCCGCCAGCCGAGGGGCGGTCAACTTCAATAGACAAATCGGGCAACAGTTGATTTCTGCCCAGGGCAGCTGCGGCAGCAACATCAGCCAAAAATAGTGCCCATATAGTTCTCCTGCGAACCTCTCGTTGGTGTGAGTCGTCGGTATATGAAAACCAATCACAGTGGAGTCCTATATCTTGCGCGTGCATGATGGTGTATGCGTGAATGATGAAGCTACTCTTGGGATAGACACTGGCTTTCAGGAATGTCTGGAGAAGGATGAGTGCTTGGATGTCCTCGATTGTTGCTACTGATACGGTGAAATCTTTCATCTTCGTCTTGGCTATCTCGAAAAATGCGTGCCCGGCGAACAAGGGATCAGGGCGACCTGGGGGCAGCACGCGCTCGTCGTCTGCTTTCATGTACTGGCTTCCAACTGCGCAAACCATCATCAAAAGGCTGCCAAACTCCCTCTCTAGTTTACGCGCAGGAATTTGGGCAACGAAGTGAGTTTGATCAAGAATGGGTAATGACATATTCACTTTCCTGAAGTACATATTGACCAGCTCGTACATTAACTGCTCATTACCAAAATCTTCGTGGGTATAATCCGGTTTAGTAAATTGAGGAAGTAGCTCCCTGTCCCAGTCTTCACGCCAATACGCTCGCCTCTTTCCGGAAAGGAGAGTGTCGGGTGTGGCACCCGTGTAAAGATTTACGCGCTCGACGAGCCCTCTAAGGGACGATTTGCCGTAGAATCGTCGATTAAAAGGGTGCCTAACGTCAGTCACCTTCCCAGGTTCACTTTCGGGCGCTAAAAACATACAGCCAATCTTGAGTGCCATTTCTTTGTCCAGTTTATCGTTGTCTGTGGGAGAAACAAAGTTCGGTTGGCGGGAGCTTGTGGAAGCTATAGGGCCATCGAATTTGCGCTTCTGCTGTGTTGAGTAGTCGCTGGACGGACTATCTTCTGCCGTGTACTCGGAAGACAGCTGGGCTAATATCGATTCGTAGCGCCGTACCTTGGCCTCAAGATCCCTTACGTAGTGCACTGAGTATCCTTTTTTCTCTGCTGGATTTTCGTAGGTGCAATCCTCGTTTCTGCAGTTGCTGCACGGAAGCGGATAGCGCTGCGGTCCATCGCACCTAGCCTTCCTCTTCCGACAGCCATCGCAGGCCCTGAGTATCTTGGGCTTCTTGTCGGTGCTGATGTTGGTGTTCATGGGGTTGTTGGTGGTCCCAGTTCAAGGAATTATATGAGCGAGCTGAAAGTGGAAATCAATTCAAGCTGTGGATTAGTCGCATTGACAGACTTTGCCATAGAATGGGTATTTCGTCATGTTGGTTTGGCTTGATAAGACTTAAATGAAATCAGGGAGAGCAGAAGCTTTTATGGGCTTTGTTCAAAGAGTTCAAAGTGCTTGCAAAAACGGGTTGTTCAAAAGCAGAGGAATTTCAGTCTTACAAGCAGCGCCCATCTTCTGATACCAGTGTATCGTTCTATCTTGGACTGCCATAGCAAATCCTCTTCAAGTCTATCACGCATGTAGCAACTTGACCTTGAAATTTCGATTGGAATCTTGCCACGCTCGCTCGGAGTCGGCAGCTCGATTTCGCTCTTTAGTCTCCGAGCGAGGCAGACACTCGATCACTTGGACGATGATCATCTCGAATGGAACTTTATAAAAGGCGCAAAATCAGCAAACTGAGAGTATGCGATGCTTGCCGTCGACGTAAGCTGAAGTGTATGTGTCTTTTCAGATCTTGGAGCGCCAACTTACTCTACGCAGGCGATATCGAAACCCGATTGGAAAACAACTCCAATTCGTGCAGCAGATGCGAGCAGAGCGCGGTGGATTGTCTGTTTGAAGAAGCCCCGGCAAAGGGGAAGAAGTACAAGGAGCTGTATTACGATTTGGCGGAGAAGCACGCGCATGTTCTCAGTCTCATGCGTAAGCTACATCCTGGGATCGACATTGACGGTCTTCAATCGACTGTAGACACGCTGTCGATTGACGGGGACCATTTTGATCAACAAGCCGCGGAGGAGCAGGAGCACGAAGTAAAAGCATCCGAGGATTTTCTGCGATCTGCTCAAACTCACGACCCACGAGTGCTCGGGTCTGCAAGCGTGTTCAAACTCAGGTCTGTCGAACGAATACGGGCGATGGCGGTGGGAAGCAGCTCAACCAGCTTCGATATACATCAAAGATCGCAATACTGGTCCCCGGTAGCTTGGAAGATCGACGATCGTGATTTTGATCCACCCCAGGAACTTATAGATTCGTTAGTGGAGATATACTTTGAAAATACGGGTTGCCATAGACCGCTTTTGCACAAGCGAACATTTAAAGAGGGAAATATACAGGATATAGATCACCAGCGAATACTTTGGCTTGTATGCGCAATAGGCAGCAGATTGTCGGACGATACTTGCGTTCTCGACAGCTCAGAAGTAAAAGCGGATGGCACGCCTCATTCGTATCACAGTGCAGGCTGGCCGTTCTTCATGAAATACGTCTCTATCGCTAAACCCATTGCGGCGCTGTCACCATCTCTAGCTGACTTGCAGCAATCGGCGCTGGCTGCTGTTTTTCTTCATTCCCTTCCCTCCCATTCCAGCTCGTGGACAATAGCAGCGCAAGGGCTGATAATGGCGAAAGATCTGGGTGCAAATTTCCACAGCACATCTACCGATCCCGTCAAGGACGAGCTGCGGCGTCGCGCATTTTGGAATCTATATCAAATCGAAAGTGAGATGGCAACCTATTTAGGAAGGGATTCAACGATAGATGAGCGAACGATTGGGATAGATCGGCCACGTGCGCTTCCAGATGAAAATGAACGTGATTTTTACGCATACAACGCCTTCTTGGATCTTATCATAATTGCTCGTAATGCGCTTGATTGGCTTTACGACGAGGAGCTGATACGTGAAGCACCAAATGATGCTATCAAGGCTCAACAGATGATAACAAATGTGACCGAGCTGGACAGCCGTTTGGACCAATGGATAATTACGCAGCCAGACTTTCTGCAATGGAATGAAGGGGAGGGGGATGAACCGAGTCGAGAGTGCACCCAGCGTTGCACCAATATGAGCCTCTTTCTGATGGTGCAGACGCTTATACATCGACCATTCCTCAACGCCTCAGGTCACTTACGCTCGTTGTCTATATCATCATCAGCCTTGTGCGGCAGCGCTGCGCAAAGTCTGGCACAAGTCGTCAGTGTTTTTAGGCAAATTGATCCACGCACCGACACAGTTGTCAGTTACGCGTTCATCTCGTGCGTCAGTGCGCTCGTAGTTCAGTGGACTAGCAAGGCGAAGGGTGCAGTCGTGTCAAATGAGCTCGATAAGGCTGTCGATACTCTCCACTCATATATTCGGTCTAGGGAGTCGAGATACTACGTTGCGGGGAGGCTATCGGATATTATTGCATGGCTGCGAGACGAGAACACCACGGCTGGCAGTATTGAGGAGTTGTTTAATACAGACATCGAAAGTTTGCTGAACAGCACCATCTATAGTGCACACTTTTTCAACTCACTGCCTCCCCTAACTAGCCTGGAGGATAGCAATTTTATTGCTTAGTTTGTATTCGTAGATGCATCTAGTTTCGTATGTTTAATAGATGAGATTGTATTTACGACCGAGTCTGTCTATCTTTCACGTGTTCAATTCATTAAAAACAAGTGGTAGTGTATAATCAAAAATTTCACAATACAAGTTCAAATTGAAATGTAAGTGTAAGAAAATGACTAAAAGAAGCAAAAGATGCGCGCAGTGATCATATCTAATAGCTAAGTGGAGCAGGTTTACCGCTGCAAGTCCAAGTCGCATCCCTAGCCTGAGGCTCGCCGATGTCCAAGTACGGTTCGAGGTCGAGGCAGTCAGCTACGGTAATGAGGTTGTAACCGCGCTGGATGAGCGATGGCACCACGTCTGGCATGACCGTGTATGGCGTTCCCTCGTAAGTCTCGTGGTTGAGTGTGAGGTGTGGCTGTGTGGGGTCAGTGAATGTGTCGTAGATGTTGATGCTTTCCGTAGTAGTTGCGCCTTGCGAGTCGAGCGAGTCTGCCATCCGTTGGTGTTAGTAGTGGTGAGCTTAGCGACACATTTTCACGCACCCTCGCTCCAGTTCACCACCGTCATGCCATGTTTCTGTTGTATGTAGTTGACAGCCCCTGATCGTTTCGTCTCAGCTGGCGCGCTAACACACTTGTCACTACTCACATGCTGGCGCACTGCCATATGGCGGTCTGAGGAAACGGGGACGCACACCGATAATCTTCCAGAGCGCTTCGTTGACGAGTTCTATCTGCTCATCAATCTCCGCTTCACTCAGCAGGTTGAGATCGCGGTGCTGGAGTTTGTATCAGCTGAGACATTCGTTAAATAAATCAAAACACCCAAACTCACGGACCAGGTGTGCGAACCAATTTGCATGCCACTGTTGAATGTGTTTCTAATCCTCTCCACGCTGTCTTGGTCGTAGATGCAGTTGTAGTTGTAGCCGTTGAGGAACATGGTCGCCTGGCTATCATTCTCAGTGAAGAGGTCGACTATATCGTACTCAGATCCGACGCTTCCATCGTCGAACGTAATGGCGAAGTCGTGGTAACAGTTCTCGACTAGTCCGAGTGATTGGCGTGCGAGTGGTGTGGCAGTGCTGCCTGTGATTAGTGTTGCGATGAGTGCTGCGAGCATCTTAAATGTGTAACGAATGTAGAAGTTAAGTAAATGAGTGTGTTAGTTGATTGTGATGGTTTGTTCTGAAAACGCTCCCTTCTATATTCTACCCTCGCCGTCAAACTAAATTAAATGTCACAAGGAATGTAAAATTTGACTCCGGAATGTGCAACGCTAAAAACATGAAAATCTTTATTCATTCATTCAAAAATGTGTCAATGCATCAACTGCTATTATTCCGTCCGCGTCTAAGTAGGGATATCTCGATGTTTGTCAGATTTGTCTTAGAATGTAAAACACCCAACTCACCCCCATTTTACCAAAAATTCCATCACGCCATGATTCAGCCTCTGTTTGGAAGCCCCTCGTAAAGGATCCTGCGTGCCGGTGTGCTTTGACTCGCCGACAAGGACGAAGGCCGTGCCGAGGAAGTGTTCTTTTTCTAACGCCAGCAGAAACTCTTCGAGCACCTCTACGCCTTCATTTGAATGCAAGCCGTGTAGATCGAGTACAGCCTCCATACGTTCATCGCCGCTAACGAGACCATCTCGCCCACTCATACCGAGCAATACACCGAGACTATTCCCGCAAGCCTTTCCTCTACTCCGTCTGCCAACTTCATCTCCTTCGTATCCAGCTGTGCCAGCGCCTTGCACGAGCGCGTCTTGAATAGCCTTCCTCCTCTCCTTGACCAGCTTCGACGCGGCTTGGGCGTTCTCAACCGACATTTGTTCATTCATGGTCTGCGCCTCTTTCGAAAAGAGCTTAGCCGCACCACCGTCGCCTTTGCGGTAGGCGTCTGCGGCTTTCGAGAGGAGGGAGTTACGCGCAGTGCCGAGGGAGATGGATGTGTTGCGGTAGGTCATGTAGAGAGCGTTAAGGGTAGATCCCGTCGGCAGGGTGGGGAGGAGGGTTGGAGCGCGCAATTTGATGCGCGGCGACGAGCGGGGTGTTTGAGAGGTAGAATTGAGGTTACTAGTGCGAGTGTTTTTCTTTCCACCATTCACACTTCCACTCCCACTCCCACTCACCTTGCTCTTGTGCATCTGTGGCGGATTCACCTTGACTGCCGTCGACCAGCGTGGCGTGTATGGCTTGCGCTGCGCATTGTCTCGCGCGTTGTGTAGGTTAGGAAAGGCATCCTCGACAGACTGTACCTGCGCATGCTCCTCTCTCTCTTGTTGAGCGAGTATGTTCGCATTCGTCTCGAACATGCTCGTCAGCGTCGACTCTACATCCTGCACAGGCGGGAGCTGGTGAAGGAAATCACAGTTCTGCTTAATGCAGTTGCCTCTCAGCCAGAAACGACAAAGGGCGCGCTCAATGTCGTGCGAGAATCGACAGTCTGATCGCCTGCACTCGCCGGCAAGGTAGTAACGACATACCCTTCCGCCAGCGGGATTCTGATGACGTTGAGAAAGATTGTTGGGAGGTGCTTGGGATTGAGCGAGTGAACGCTTTTCTGATAGCTCATTAAGCGTGAGCTCAAAATCGAAGCTGTTTCCGGTGAGAGTTGATTCTAATTCGTCGAGAGAGACTCCGGAAGGAGCGAAAATGGACCAGAGAACGTCTAGAGGAGTCATACCGCTTCCTAAATCGAGAGTGGGGTCGTATTCGTCAGGTTGAGGGTGATTTGCTTGGTTTTTCGAGTCTACGTTCAACTCGCTAGTACCGCCTGGTGGCTTAAACTCAGCAGCGCGTTTGTTGAGTGGACGGGGACTAGCCAAAGGAGAGCTAGGCTGACTACCGACAGCTGGAGGAAGAAAAGACTGCATCTGAGCATTGGACAATGATGGGGAGAGTACTAGCGGTGTAACTCTCCCGAAAGTCGGCGTTGTCGGTGCCTGCGTCGGTGTCCATGGACGGGAGGAAGGGCGCGATACAGGTCGAGAAGGAGTGCGCTTTTGAGTGAATGGTGCGCCTGTGAGGTCATCCTTGTGTGCGTGCATAAGCTGCAGTATTTCCTCATCCGTAGGAGTTCTGCCAATCAAAGAGGCTAGATTTGATCGCAGCGAGATTTCCTTTTCCTCGAAATCCTTGTCTTCGTTGTCGAGGTGATTTATTAAGGTGTTTGTTATTCCTTCTGTATCGACGCTGGCATCCGCTAGCTTGGGCGTTGATGGCATTGAGGGCGTTGGGGATGCTGCAGATGCTACAGACGCTGTAGACGCTGCAGAGGCCACAGAGAATTTCTGCAGCGTCGACAAATAGCTCTTAGTGTGAAGATAAATATTAGTGGACATGAGCGTTGGTAGATACAAGTCGATGATGTAAATTTCTAAAATAATTTTAAATTTCCAATTGGCTGGGATGCTGGTTGAGATACATCTGCATCACGACCCATTAGACTAGAGAATAGTTCACTAATCTGTGAATCTGGCCAGGCTTCTTTAGATGGTGGTATGGGTACCATGAAATTTTGCAGTTTGTCGTGGACATTGTATCTAATTCGGATAAGATGGGGTGTACACTGTTAAACGCATCTCACTTACTTGATCTTTCTCCCTTTCGTTGCCCTCGTATCGATATCCTTTTTTACTTTATTTTTGTTGGGTTTGAGTGGTTGCTCTGGGTTGGCTTCACCTGTTTTGCTTTCTATTATCTCCTTCAAGAGTGTTTGGTAAAAGTCACCATCATCAAACACTTCAGCCTCAAATTGACCAGTTGTGGCGTTGTTTCCCCTTCTAACACCAACTCTACTTCTCAGTTTGGGTAATTCTCGCATAACATCCTCCACTTGCGACCAAGCATCTTTGCTCACTGCAGAGAAACCTTTAGTTGAAGCGAGAGATACTTTATTGGATGTTGTTTTGAGTGTGTCGATCAGGTGAGGCTCGTAGCTGTTTGCTAAATTAAAAGAATCTTGTGCAGCTTGTTGGGGATATTCTTTGATAGTAGAATCATTGGAAATAATAGTATCATCCAATCGCACTCTTTTACGTGGTGGAATCGACGTATTTGAGTCATATTTGATAAATTTTTCACGTATACTAAACAAACTCTCAGTGAGCTCATTTAGGGAGGACAGAGTTGATTGAATATCATCTTCATTTCCGGTAACAAAGTCATTATCTTCATCTGCGCAAATGACATTAACTTGATTTACAGCTTTCTGTATACCAATACGCATTTCGAGTAGCTTATCGTATGCTTGTAATTGAGCAATAACAGCAAGACCACGCTGTTTATCGAGGTTTTGAGAGTATTGGAGGGATTCTTGGAGGGATTCTTGTGGGTCCTGGTGTTCCTGGGAGTCGTGAGCATCGTGAGCATCGTGAGCATCATGGGCGTTGTTATCCGAGCCAATGTTATCGTCATCTGAGTCTGGATTATCATCATCGTCGTCGCTTTCAACGATACCAAAAGGCTGCGATTGCTGTTGCTGTTCATCCTCATCATCCTCATCACCCTCATCGGGTAAAGCACTCTTCGCAGTCATGAAGCTCTGATCAATGTCATCGTCGTCATCACTATCACTGTGATTACCAAAGATGTGATTTCTAGAAGATTTGTTGCCAGAGTATTTGATATCATCTAGCTGTGGGTGGTTTCTAAGTGTAGATCCTTGTAAGCGTGTGCACTCCACTCGAAAACTAAGCAACTAACTTTAATGACATATAAATTTATATCTATCTCTTTAATGATGACCGACGAGGATCAAGGGATTAAATTTGGCGTTGAAAGTGGGATTGCTGGGGAGACTAAGAATATTATAGAGGACACTTGGAATATAATAGACGAAAATTCAGATATTCAAGGGAATCGAGAAAACACTTCAAATTCACCAAAAGAACCAGAAGGATTTGCTTTGATTGAAGATTGGGATGGTTCTTTGATATTTGGTCATATCGACGAAGACAGACATTTGAATGATCTAATGGTTGATATTGGCGGTGTAAATGAGGTGGTTGATGAGGATGATCGCGATGACGACGAGGATGACGACGACGACGACGACGGCGACACCGCCCATACGCCCACTGGATACACCACGGATGAAGACATACCCAGTCTCCCTCAAGGTGTAGCTGCGATACAAGCAACTCAATTCACTCCAACACCCACACCTACACCTTCTAGCCCGATTAAAGAAGGACGTAAACCACAAATGGGTCATTTCCATAATCCCTTAATCGGCGATATCCATAGAGTGGCTAGAGAGGGCGTTCCCCTCGCTCGATTTACCAACACACACAACCAAACAAACGGTAATTCAATCATTATCGACCATAAGCACAAGCCAGTGCCTTCTCCTTACTCAGATTTCTATTTGGTGGGCAATCAACGACGGTGTACGCGTGAGGACAGTGAAAGTGAATCGCCAGTGAGGAGTACAATCCCCCAGCAACCACTATCCCTAGATGATGTCATTGACACTTCAACGCTCAGTGATACGCCTTTAGAAATAGCAGATTCATCTGCGCATACTCAACACACTCGCTGGGATAGAATTCCTATTGGTGCTTTCTCCATGTCCCAAAGTGATTTCAACGATAAAGGTGTAAATCCAACTCACCCGCACCTTATAGCGTCTGCGAGGAGCAGCAAATCAAACAGCCCGCACAACCCCCCAAAACATCGCAAATCTCGCCCTAAACAGCCCTCACCACTTGTGTTCCCTAGTGATGGCAGCGGTCAGGGCCACTACGCAACGCCACAATCAACGCGCAGGAAGGGCAAGAGTAGAGAGGCCACGATTAACCAATTAGACATATAGACTGTGTATGACTTGTACGAGTATATTTATTTTTTACGATTATTTTTTCAACTCGGCCTCAGCCAATCGCGGCTTCTCAATAACTACGAGCACACAAGCCACAAGCCAAATGATTACGAGGGGCGTAAACAGAGTAGCAAGTAATTTAAAATACAGCGGTGTTCTTAACCTCGGTGGCATTAGGGGATTCGCCACTCCACAGACAGGACCTCACGTTGTAGCCTCCCAAGCACCAGGCAACAACACCAAAGCAGCGGCAGTGAAGCACCATGCTCAAAGACCTGGAAGTGCGCTGGATAAGGCCAGTGAGCTGTTTTTCTTTACGGAGATATTGAGGGGTATGTGGGTAGTAGCTGAGCAAGCGTTCAAGCCACCGTACACCATCATGTACCCATTCGAGAAGTCTCCTCTGTCGCCACGGTTCAGAGGCGAGCACGCTCTCAGACGCTATCCTACGGGTGAGGAGAGGTGTATTGCGTGTAAGCTGTGCGAGGCTATTTGCCCAGCTTCTGCAATCACCATCGAGAGCGAGGCGAGAGACGACGGTGCGCGTAGAACGACGCGTTACGATATCGACATGACCAAGTGTATCTACTGTGGCTACTGTCAGGAGGTGTGTATTGCTGTTTTGGGTTTTTCCCCGTTTTTTTCACTCGCTGACACAACAATCTTCAGGCCTGCCCAGTCGACGCTATTGTCGAGACACAGAACGCAGAATACTCAACTGAAACCCGTGAAGAACTTCTCTACAACAAGGAGAAACTCCTCGCTAACGGTGACAGAGCGGAGGCTGAGATCGCTGCAAACATTGTCGCTGACCACCCATACCGCTGAATGAATCAAATAATACATGTACATATTCAAATCCATTTTCTCATTTTCACGTACCTGATTCTTGCATTGCCATTGCTCCCGAACCACCATGGCACACGCACGCAACACGAGCACACACTCACACTCACATTCACACTCGCTTTCACACATTATGCGCGAGAACAGCCTCCCAGAAGAACCAATTGGTTTGGCAGCGGATAGGATTGATGTGGGTTGGCTGGCCACTAGAGGCGGCGCACGCTAACGCAGATTTAAACCCAGGAAGGAGCCGGCAACGCACAGACACGCCCCGGAGACGATTTCAGACTCGCAGGCGCTTTCGATATCCCGCCCGTTTACGAGGAGCGCCATGGGAGGTCGCATAGCAGGGCTAACTCGGGGGCACACGCCGAGGGACACAGGAGAAGGAGCTGCAGCCATGGACATGCCCGCAGTCGTTCGAGGCATGCATATGAGCGCGATTTGGAGCGTGGACAGGAGGTACAGCAGCAGCAGGATCAGACACCGGAGCAGAACACACAAAACACTCAAAACACACAAAACACACAAAACACTCACTCCCACAATACCACACGCAACACCCCCTCCACCCAGCAAACCACCAAACACCTCCCAGAACTCAGCTACCACCCCCACAAGGCTAGACCACAGATTCCCAATAGAGCTTCTAGCAACGAACGCCGGCGTAGCCAGCCTATAGGCCTGGGCTCGGACAGGATTAATGTGAGTGCTGTTGTGTGCTGTTGCTGCCCCACTCACTCACCACTCACCCACCACAGGAAGGCGGAGACGCGACGGACAACAAAGTCGCCGGCCATACGTATTCCTTCTCGACAGACGGGGGAAAATGAGTTGTGACGTTTGAATCGTTTGAATCGTTTACCGTCTATTGTTTGTGTGCTCGACAGACGCCAGCAACTCAAGTGTAACAATAACACTAAAGAATCTATGTATTGTGCCCTATACTCCACTCTACACTCCCACCTACTGCCTACGCCTGTAATGCAATCTCGAGCCTGGCTGGGGAAGGACGATCATGCTAGTGTAGTCCTGCGCAGGCACACCGCCCCTGCTTTCAAACGTCAACTCCCTCACCAGCGTGGCGATGATAGTCGACAGCTGAACGTAAGCGAATTGTTCACCGATGCACCTGTGTCTCCCTGCGCCGAATGGCTGATAAGGCGAGCTAGTGCCTTTGGAGATAGCGCCGAAGCCGTAATCCACCGTCTCTCCTTTATCGTCTTTCTCCGCGAGCTCCTTCTCGCTACTATGAGTGGTCCATCTCGAAGGGGAGAAAGCTTCTGCGTCGCTCCAAAGCAAAGGGTCGACAGCGCTAACGCCTGGGCACGCAACGACGTAGTGTCCTTGCGGTATGACATAAGCGTCCTGCTCCGATGGTGCACTAAGAGACGTAGGGACGGGGATATCAGTGCGCACCTTGCGCAAAATTGAGTGAATGGGCGGATGAAGTCGGAGTGTCTCGCGGATGACACTGTCGAGAATACTGCACGAGCGCAGTCCATCGAGCGTGAGAGGCGCGAGTGTACCATCGTCGCGACCAAACTGTCTTACTTGCTCGTCGTACACTGCCTCCACTACATCCGGTTGCGCACCTAGGTGGAAAAGAGCCCAGCTACTCGTCGCTGATGATGTGTGCTGACCCGCCATTAACAGCGCTATCATTATATGCGCAATTTCCCGGTCATTCAATGCGCGTCCATCCTTATATGTGCATTCCATCAAAGAGGCTATCATATCGTGCTCATGGCTGCCGTCAGCACGGCGACGACGTATAATGTCTCCATAGAAATCCGACATCTTCTGCTGGGCAACGTCGCGACGTCGATATGAGGGTAGTGGGAGATTCGGGAACATGAACTGGTGGGAGATAGGAATTAGATTAGCGACCGATAAGCCCTGTGTTGAAACTCACATTCAACGGCGTAAAGCCTCCGTCGAGGTCGTGGTACATATCGGCAAACGACTTGTCGAGCCCATCGCGCACCTCTTTGCCCTGCAGAGTGCGACTGGCAGTGAGAATGGTAAGCTCAGACATGGCTTGAAAGCAATGGAAATCGCCAACGCGGTTTTCGCGTGATTGATACGCTTCGAAAGCCGCGTCGCGGTTAAGGAACTGCATGGTCTCGTCTGCGATCATCTCGACGTACATCTTGAGATTCTCAGCAGATAGACCTGATTTGACAAACTTCTTCTGCTCCATCAGGACGCTGTTTGGGACATCATACACGACGTCTTTTCCGAAGCTGAAGGCGTGAGGCGTGGCTGTGAGCTGGTGTTCGAGCAAAGCAAAACACTCACACCGGGGTCGTTAGGTGCGTGTACGCGTCCTCTGCGCTGACCTGGCTCAACTTGCCGTTGAGAATAAGGTCGTTGCCGCGCGGGCCGAGCGCAACAGTCATCCTGCGACCGAGGAGGATAAAGGTGAATACTGGGCCGTATTTGGCGCGGTTGGTGAACATGAATTTGTAGGGATCCATCCCGTAGCTGATTGTACTGCCGATGAAGGGGACCATGTGGAAGACTAGGGGCGGGGAGTTGCGTGATTTGAATGGGGGCTTTGGCGGTTGTTAGTGGTTTGTAGTAAATAGGCCGATGCTTGCTCACCAGCTGGCTGAGTACATTGACAACTATCGCTAGCAGGACAAAAGCAATTCCACCCAATAAATACTGGGGCAGAGTGCTCATGGAGGTGTATCCAGATATCAACGATTGAACACAGGGCATTTCAACTAATATCGTCGTCGTCGTTGGCTCAAACGGGCTAATGGCTGTAAGGGGCGAGAAGACATCAGGTCATTTTATAAAGTCGTCTGATATGAGCTATAGGGATATCATCGTGATGCTGCAAACGAGCTGGTTATTTTGGTGCTACTTTTAGGTCTCTACGGATGGTATTTGTGTTGCAGGTTTGTTGACGGTGTATCTCCACAATGGAGGGAGATGGGAGCACGGGGATTGGTGTGTGGTATACTCCCCTTAGCACCAGCGCCCCCTCCAAATCTCAGCTACTTTTGAGCATTTCACCCAAATTCACCGCCAAGCCTGCTCCGTCGCCGATCAGTCATTGACGGGTGACAGAATATTAAAAGCGTGAGAATCCTTGTTTATCAATTACATCCATCATCTAATTGGGTTAAATTGAATTCATTTCGTAGGTGGCGCTGGCTGCGGCTGTGCCTGGGCTGTGTTTGTTTGTTGATCGCTGGCTGACACAGACGCAGGTTTTTCTCAGCACTCGTTTTTTCAACACTGTCAGTCAGCTCGGCTCAACTGCATCCGCTCACCCACTCCAACACAGCCCCAAATGTTCAACACTCTTGCCATCGCTCTCGCCACAACAGCCACGGCTTGGCCACTCCTCTCCTCCAGACAGGACCAGGGATCAGCAGCTGTATTCAACTGCAGCCACGACTTTGCTTTGACGTACGATGATGGTCGTTGCTCTCTCTCTCTCTCTCTCTTGCTCTTCTCACTACCCAATCAGGCCCTTACATCTACGGTAACGAGCTCACCGATTACTTCTCTAATGCTGGTCATCTATACGTCAGTTGCTCTGCTTAAATTGTGAAATTTCTCATGAAAATTTTCACAGACGAGATTCATCAACGGAAACAACTGGAGATGCATCTACGACGAGGATATGGTACAGTCTATTCAGTACTCGCACTCCAAGGGCCATCTCATCGGTTCACATGGCTGGTCTCATGCCTCTTTCAACGACATTACAAGAGAGCAACTCGACAGCGAGATTGAGCAGGTAGATGAAGCTCTCATGAAGATTATCGGCGTCACAACCAAATACGTCAGACCACCATACGGGAGTTGCGATGCGGGTGAATATTTTCAGTACCCCAACACAGACCCACGTTGCTAACAAACAAGACGCAGGCTGCGTGGATTACCTGCAGAACACCAAAGGAAAGACAGTCGTACAATGGTCTGATGACAGTGGTGTGTGGAGTGTAGGTGCTACATGGTGGACATACTAACACACATCCCTCAGGTGACTCAGCAGGTGCCAGTTCAGATCAGGTGATCAACTCGATCCAGAAATGGGCTAATGATGGTGCCCCTCATCTCGTTCTCGACCATGAAGTCCACCAATCTTCTGTGGGTGTGGGATTGTAGGAACGTGAAATGTCTAACAATATTCTACAGGTGGAAACAGTGGTTCCTGCTATAATGCCTTTCTTCGATGGTCGCGTGCTCACTACAGTGGCACAATGTATCGACGACGCCTCGTACCTTCAAACGGGCAGTTTGGGTGTCAGAGATGAGACATGGACTTGTTCCGATAAACCAACTATCAAGGCTACGCCGGGATCGAACCCAGATGCTAGTGGTGGTTATTAAAAGGGAGATGCTGCTTACTTGGACGAAAGTCAGACTGACTTCCGCAACTAACACATGACAATGGACATGAACACTTTCTTTTCATCTCTTTTATCAAACAATCACACTAGTCATAGCTACTTGGTTATTGTACCTCGTTAATGGATTTGCTTGACTAACCCTTATTAGTCGGGTGTCTTGCCTTTTCTTGGCGTGTATATCGGATGTATATCGGTGTGTGTATTGGAGTTATGGTTTATTGTTCACGTGCCGTATCACAACTACCCGCTTTGAATGGACATAGTCAACATACGTCATTTTCATCCAGCTCAAACCTTGCAGTTGTAGCTGTAAGTGGACTTGAGTGGAGTTGAGTGGTATATACGCATCCCAAATTCACCAACTATTCCACCACGTAAACCTCGCAAACAACAAATAGAACTTCAACGGCCGATGTTCATTAGTCCACCAAGATCGGAACAAGCAGCAGCACATGTAAGAGGAATCCCCGACGCCATCTGAATTCTTTTAGCGCTATTAAAATTCACTTGACGAATTACATCGCTTCTTTCTCTGCTACCATCAACTTCAGTGCGTCTTCTTCTCGGCACGAGCGGTTAACGAGGAAGCGAGCAAAATTGACGAATTCACAATAGAATGGCATCAATCAAACAAGCAACCGTTGCACAGCTCCGTGGTATGGCTCCTGCGTCCGTCATTCACGGCGGCGTCGACAGCGTCCAGCGTGCACTTGCGCAGCTCAAGTGGGTTGCAAGGAGTGTAGAGAGAAAATATACTCAATCTCACGCGCAAACAGCTCAAAGGACACGCCTATCGAGAAGTACATATATCTTTCGCAGCTCAGAGGCACTGCCAAGGATACTTTCTACCGGTAAGCCACCCCCACATCGCAAACAAACACAACTCATAAATTAAAAACCCACATTAGCTTGCTGATTGATAACATAATCGATATTTGTCCATATGTTTATACCCCAACCGTAGGAGCAGCTTGTCAACTCTACTCAACTATATACCGCAAGCCAGACGCTCTCTACCTCAGCTACAACGATCGCGGAAACCTCGCTGAGATCATGTCTAACTGGCCACAGCACGGCATTCGAATCGCTGTTGTGAGCGACGGCAGTCGCATTCTCGGCCTTGGCGATCTCGGCATTGGTGGCTGCCAGATCGCCGTCGGCAAGCTTACCCTTTATGTCGGTGGTGCTGGTATCAAACCAGACAGCACTCTCCCCATCATTCTTGACATGGGTACTAACAATGAAACTCTCCTCAACGACCCCCTCTATCTCGGTCTCAGGATGAAGAGAGTTTATGACGACGCCTTTCTCGATGAATTTTACGCTGCCGTCAGAACTACCTTCCCAGATTGCCTCATTCAGTTTGAGGACTTTTCTTCAGAGTCTGCCTTCAAGTACTTGGACAGGTACAGGCACAAGGAGTCGCTCATTCAAGCTCCTTCTGCGCCATCTGGCCAGCTGCACACAGGAAAGTGCTTCAACGATGACATCCAGGGTACCGGTGCTGTGATCCTTGCCGGCTTCATCAACGCCGTCAAGCTCGCTTCCGCGGCGTCTGGCCGACCAATCCTCGACCAACGCATTGTTTTCCTCGGTGCAGGCAGTGCTGGTGTGGGTGTCGCGATGCAGCTTGTTGAGTTTTTCACCAGGAATGGATTTACAGAGGAAGAAGCCAAGCAGAAGTTCTACTTAGTTGACAGCAAGGGGTTAGTGACTGACGACCGCGGCGACAACCTCCCAGCACACAAGCGTGCACTCTCCCGCAAAGCTGGTGGACCGCAATTCAAGACGCTAGAAGAGGTAGTCGAGCATGTTCGTCCGAGTGCCCTCATCGGTTTGTCGACAGTCGGCGGAGCATTTAGTGAGAAGATAGTGCGTATGATGGGTTCGTTCAAGGCTCGTCCAATCATTTTCCCTCTCTCGAACCCATCCCATCTGTCCGAGTGCACGTTTGAAGATGCGATCAAGTGGACGAACGGTAGAGTGATTTTTGCCAGTGGCTCCCCATTCAAGGCCGTCGAACACGGTGGTAGTACGTATGAGAGCAACCAGGGTAATAACTTCCTCAGCTTCCCTGGTATCGGATTGGGTTGTATCGTCGCTAAAGCTAACGAGGTGAACGATGATATGGTCTACGAATCGGCTCTCGCTCTCGCTGATTCTCTCGATGATAGTGAGATAAACACCCTCCTCTATCCACGTCTTCATCGTATTAGAGATATCTCAGCTACTATAGCGGCAAGAGTCGCCAAGGCGGCCGTTAGGACTGGCGCAGCGGAGAATAGCAAGCTAGGCGGGATGGCTGATACAGACCTTCTCGCTTATATCAAATCTAAGCAGTATGATCCAACACCATGTTAGTTTGGTTTTTTTCACTTTTTGTATCAGCTTTGTTTCACTCTATTCACATGTTTCACATTTTTCACCCCTATCACTCTCATAACTCTGATATAAAGACATTTATATGCGTAATTGACAATGTAATTGGATTGCAACGATTGTTGTTGTGGTTGATGGCGTTTAATAATAAATAGCATGAAAACCTTTACTACCTCCACTACCTCATGGACAGAGTACTCTGAGAGCGCAGCTTGGTTGGGTTCTTGGGGATGGACGACGAGCTTGACTGTCCTCTGTAGTGTCTGATAGTGGGAGGGGGAGGGGGGCCGACGTTATCTCTCGACGGACTCAGCAGGCTGTCTCTGGAGGGTGGTCTGAGGGTATGAGTGGATTGTGAGTGGTGTGAGTGGTTTGCGTAGCTTGCCGGGCTCGTAGCACCCATCCGCAAGCTATCCCTAGAAGGAGTCTTGCGTGGCCTGTCGCTGTATCTCATCTGCGCCCTAGCGTGTGCCTGCTGTATCTGCAGATGATTCGCAGTAGCTGATTTGCGACTGTCCGCACTGGACGGGGACGGCGACACACCCCCGTAATCCGATTTGGCCTTGTTCTTGCCGTGGCTAGGAGCGCTCTTCATGCTCTTCATACCTCCGCCAATATCACCCCCACCACCGCTCAGATAGTAGTCCTCGTCATGCACACTGTACCCACCAGCTTCAGACCCACCCGCCTGGGAATGCTCCTCGTCCCACTGCTGTCCAGCGAGGAATGCGGCGTGTTGGGCGACATAAGCCTGGAAAGACTGGCGCGCATTCATCATGGCTTGAAAGTGCATCTGGGCTGCTTGCGCGGCGTGTTGGTTGAGGTCACCGCTCGTGCTGCTCTGTGCGGAGGGCGGGGGCGTGGGGATTGCCATGTTCATGTTGGGCGGTGGGATCGGTGCTTGTCCTGTCTGGCCCATCGGCGGAAAGGGGAAGGACGCGGGGGGTATCTGAGACATTTGCATGGGTGATGCACTTGGCATAAACGGATTGAATAGCGATCCACCTGGTGCGCTGTGCATTGACACAGAGGGTGAAGGCGGTGGTGGTGGCCGTAGACCGTTTGATGGCGTCTGCCGCGATTGGGGAGAGTAGCTCGCATGTGACTGTCGTTGGTAGTTGGGCGAGAGGGAGGCGGGTGAAAGGGTGCTAGAGAGTGTGGAAGTGTGTTTACGGCTCGGCGGCGGCGGCTTGCGGTAGCTGAGCTGGTGTGAGCTGCCCTGGAGCTTGAGTGAGGGTGTTGATTTGTTCGGCTTGCTCGCTATCGACGTCGCTAAACTGACCTGCGACTTGGAACGCAGCTGCGATAGCGGCAGCGTGTCGTCGCTGTCGTCGCTCGTATCGTCAGGAATCGTTGTAGCGGCGTGGCGGATAGTGGAACGCGACTGTCTGATGCGGTCGCGGAAGTTTGTCATGTCGCCACGGTCATCGTCGTCATCGTCTTCATCGGATGTGTGCCAGGCTGAGAGGTTTTGCTGCTTCGGCGGTGGTTTCCTGTGCGTTTTGAAGGCTGGGACTGGGGCTGGTGATTGGCGGCTTGGCTGGAAATGTGACGTTGTTTGCGTCGGCGTCTGCCTGCCTAGCAATTCGCTACTCGAACGGCGCTTGAAATCCTTGACAGACATTTTGGGCGACGAGGAGGAATCAGTGAGCGTGGGCTGTCCAATGGGGTGCTCTTTGAAGCTCTCGACGCTATTGTTGTTGCTGGGCTGCGACTGCCTCGGTTTCCTTGCGTCCTTCGCGCTTGCGTCTCTCTTGAACAACTTCCTCAATCCGTCTTTAAGTGCAATCCTCATGGATGTCGTGCATGAAGGGGTCAATATTAAATTTATTATCAATTTACAGTTATTCATCTGCCAAATCCTCTCTGAAAACCTTTAATTAGTTTATTTATACGTTTTTTACTTTTCCACTCACGCAAAATGCAAGTCGCTGTGTTGGCCTTTATCTGTAGACTTGACGGGGATTTTGCATTTCGGACACACATCTGTATCATTCTCCTCTTCGCTACTTGATATTGTTATAGTTTCTGTCGTCATCTCCTTTCCCTGCTTCTTTGTTGTTGCACTAGCACTAGCATTGGCACTGGCACTGGCGCTCGCAAGAAACGCAGTCAGTCCCGTCTTCGGTTGGTCTTTCTTCTTCTTCTTCTGCGACGGCGCTGCTGCCGTGCTATCTGTCCGCTGCCGCTTTGCTTCTTTGTGTTTCACCACCTTGTCTCGCCTTTCACCGCTTTCACCGCTATTGCCACTATTGCCGCTATTGCTTCCTAGAAACCCCGCAATGCCTCTCTGTCCCTGTGATATGTAGTGGCTTAATTAGCATACCACGTTACCTAACATCCACACTAGACTCACAGCTTCCACCGCCGCCAAACCAGAAAATGACAGCGCCAACTTATTCACCTCATACCCCAACCTATGTTCATTGGGAATATCTTTCATCTCACTCGCTACAAACTCCCTCAGAAGCTTCTCTGCGTGTTTCTGAATCAACTCTGGTCCAAATGCCGCGTTGTATGGGAAAGGTGATTGGTGAGAGCGGGATGGTTGGTAGAGTTGGTTAATAGAGAGAACAATACTCTTGGGCCACATTGTCCGTTTATCTTGTTCGCCTCTCATTTCTTTCAACCTCTGAGACAACTCGCTTGAGAGGATTTTAAACCAATGGCGGATCTCTCCGACAGTTTTGACGGTTGGGCGGAATGACTTGGATGCGAGCATAGATTTGGTCATGACGCGTTGCGTAACCTGATCTGAATTAACACCGCGAATAGTGTTGTAAATCCAAATACTCTCTTCGCCGAAATGTCGCTGCATCTCACTGAGTGGCACAGTAAGAAGGTCTGATACACTAGCTGCATCGTAATGTGCAGCAAGAGTTTCACCGAATTTACCACCGAGGCTGCGTATTTTCTGGAAACGCATCGGCGCAAGGAAGTTGTTCACGGCGGTTTGACGTAGGATGGTCTGTGCGTCTGGTTTCTTCCATGCTGAACATATCTTGGCTAGTATTTTGTTGTGCGAGATTCCAGCTGAACATGTGTAGCTCAGCTGCTCGTACATCGCTCGTCGCATCCCGGATACTGCCTCGGCACCGATCTGGAGTGCGACATCTGACCAGGATGGCTGTGTGTCTGTGTCGGTGTAACAGTGCTCTCGCTTGTCATCGTCCTCCTCCTCCCGCGTACTCACCAAATTACCCAAGCCAGCGAATGATATGATGGGAGGGTATGGTAGTGCGTCGTCGAGTGTCTTGTCTGGTGGGAGGTGAGCTATGAAGGGATATCTGGATGTAAATTGCGTTAGAGCGGGTGATTTGATGCTAGAAACACCAACCCACCTCTCTATAATCTTCCCTCGCACCATCTCAGTGAGATCAATGTACTGCTCGTCTATAGATGCCTTCTCAATCTCCGAGTTTGGGAAGTAGTCATGCATAAATTTGAGCACCTTGGAACCCTCTCTGCGGTAAGGATCGAGTGATACCTGTGTATGTTTGTGAGAAAAATCAAGTGAGACATAGAGTGAAGATTTTCACTAACTTTATGAGTAGCTTGAGTAGGGGGATCGTCCCAATAACCGGGTTCTTCAACGCCTTCTTTATAGGTGGCTACATGTACAGGGATTAGATTTGGACATTTCTTCTTGGCCTAGAAAAGTTAGATGACGTCATGTTGTAGATTGAGAGGTACCTCGAAAATATTCTCATGGCGGGATACACCGGCATTTCTGGCAGGATATGAGATGGCAATGAGGCCATTCCACTGTTGCACCACGATAGGAGCGTCGATAGGGAGGTTTAAGCGTTTCCGTTCGAACTGAGAGAGGGTGAGGAAGTGAGAGTGAGAGGAAGGAGGAAAGAAACCTGTGCGTAGGCTGAGGAGATTGAGTGAGCAATAGCACTCTCCTCCAAACAACCCACTCACCTGCATCTAAATCAGCATGGCAAATAACTCGCAGTGGATTTCTGGAAGCTTTGTGTTAAATGGATCCATAAGAAAGGAAAGAATAACACCTCGCGTCACTTGGGCAATTAGTGAGAATATTTCGATATGACATTGATTGCTGTTGAGATACGCGTCTCTTTATTCAAAACGAGAATGGCGACGCGTGATAAATTGAGGGAATTAAGGGAAGCTAGGGAAGGCGGTGGAAGGGCGAAGCAGTTTAAGGTGGATTATGGATTATTTCCGCCTATGTTTAAACTTACAATCCCCAGATATCAGATAACGTAGACATTTACGATCAAGTTGACGAGGACGGATATAAATCAGTTTACAATGAAAGAATTAATAAACCAGATTTCATTCAAGATGATGATGGCTTGGGTTATTTGGATAATGGTTTAGACGATTATGATTGGTCAACTCAGAACCCAGCCAGCGGCGACGACGACGACGTTAAACCAAAGAGAAAGCCCCAGAATAAAAAGGTTAAACAGAAAGAAAGCCTCGGTGCCTTCTTTGCGCGATCTCAAACCACCAATCCTTCCCCTCAAATGTCTTCTTATCGTAAACAAGTCCCAGAAACTCAAGCTGATGATTTCATGTCCAACTTGTTATCTGGGTTAGATGATTCATCCACCTCAAACACTCTAAACCACCCCCCACGTCGTCAAGCTATCCCCAAATCTAACTTGTTCGCTAAACACAGATCTCATGATGAGAATCCAGGTTACAGCTCTCAATCAAACAACCCAGTCTCCTCTTCAGACCCTCCTTACTCTTCTGATCTCGATTTAGCCCCTCCTTCCTCCAATTCCACCCACTTACGCAGAAAATTTGATGAAAACGCTTCCATTTCATCTTCCCCTACTAAAAAACTACGTAATCATCCCCCTTCCAGTTCTGACAATGACTTTGACCCCTTTGAAGATAACTCGAGCGTGAAAAATGAGGTGAAAATTGAACCAGATGGTATAAACTCTTTGAATAGCGTTGATGACACTAAAAAACCCTCTATCGACATTCCCAACAACACCGCCCCCAAAGCCTGGCTCTCTGTTCTTGATAATATCGCTCCCTCTCCTCCACCCTCCCCAAAACCAGATGATCATGTCGACTTTAAAAGGGAAGGTTCCGCTACTGACAGCCCTCTCTACGACGATGAAGGCTGTGTGCGCTTTTACTGGCTTGATTACATTGAAGACTTTGGTCGCGTCATTCTCTTCGGTAAGGCCTTTGACCCTGACGCAAACAAATGGCAGTCAACTTCCGTCTCTATAGAGGGCATCCAGCGCAATCTTTTCGTCACTCCACGACCTTTCAAACTCGACGATGACGGTAATCAGACTGATCAACCTGTCGAGCAAATGGACGTGCACAACGAAATGCAAGACATACGCAAAGCCAGTAAAATTAAATCTTGGGCTGCTAAGTTCGTAAAACGCAGCTACGCTTTCGAAGAAAAAGACATCCCCCATCAACAGTCTGACTGGCTCAAGGTTATCTATGGCTTCAACGAGCCTCATCTTCCGCTAGGTCTGTCTGGAAAGACATTTTCGCATATATTCGGCACAAACACCTCTCCATTTGAACTCTTTGTCGTTAAGAGACAGATCATGGGTCCATGCTGGCTCAAGTTGGAGGATGCCTACGTCACACAAAAGGGTACTACATGGTGCAAACACCAGTTCACTGTCACTGATCCAAAAACTGTCCAGCATTTCACTGAATCTGATGCTGAATCTCCCAAAGAACCCCCACCACTCACCATAATGAGTTTGGCGACAAGAACTACTGTCAACCACACCGCCAATTGCAGAGAACTCGTCGCTGCTACGGCAAGAGTGTGGTCTGATATCAATATTGAAGATCCTACTCCACCTGAACAGCAGCCATCATCCTCCATCACTCTCGTACGTCCCATTGTCATGTATCCACCAGGTTTCGAGATGAAGGCTCGTCAGCAGAAACCAAAAATTGAGCCGATGCGTAACGAGAAGGCGGTGTTGAGCAATGTGCTCGCTTCTGTGCAGCGACATGACCCTGATGTCCTCGTCGGACATGATTTAATGGAAGATAGTCTTGAGACGCTCTTGAACAGAATGCACGAAATGAAAATACCTAATTGGTCCAAAATGGGTAGAGTCAGGAGAGATAAATGGCCAAGAGCCAAGTTTGGACGCAACAAACTCATCACGAGTGGAAGATTGATCTGTGATTTGAGTTCAGATGCAGGAAAGGTGGGTTGAGTATGTATAAGTGGATTTTATCTCATTGCGCACCTATTGCACACTTTATAGGGCATGATCTCTTCGACTACTTGGTCCATGACTGAAATGGTTGGCACTCACCTGGGTACTCAGCGCGAGGATATCGACCCTGACGACACTTCCGCCTACCTTGATCGCTTCTCTCCTTCACCAGACCGCATGATACATTTCGTCAAACACTGCGAAGTCGACGCCGTCTTCAATATGGCTCTCGCTGCTAAGGTCCAGATACTCCCTCTCACCCGCCAGCTCACCAATCTCGCCGGTAATAGCTGGGGCAGGACTCTTACTGGAGGTAGAGCCGAGCGTAACGAATTCATTCTCCTTCACGAGTTCCACAGACAAAAGACCATTTGTCCAGACAAACTCAGCAAGTTCGATAAGAAAGCTGCGCAGTTGGAAGCCGCTGCTGAGAATGGCGAAGACGAAGCACCTTCTAAAAAGAAAGGAGGTCGCAAGGATAAATTCAAGGGTGGTCTTGTTTTCGAACCTAAAAAGGGGCTGTGGGATAAGTATATCCTCGTGATGGATTTCAACTCGCTTTATCCATCTATTATACAGGAATACAACATCGACTTCACCACAGTGGAGCGCCCGGAAGATGATGGAGAAGACGAGGAGAAGATTCCAGAGGTTCCTCCACCGGGATCTGGTCAGGGTGTATTGCCGAAACTGATTGCAACGCTTGTCAACCGTCGTAAACAAGTGAAGGGGTTGATGAAGGATAAGAATGCGACGACAGCCAAGTTGATGCAACTTGATATACGTCAGATGGCCCTCAAGCTCACGGCTAATTCTATGTATGGTTGTTTAGGTTTTGAAGGGTCCCGGTTCTATGCACGCCCTCTCGCCGCGCTGACAACTTTCAAGGGTCGTGAGATCCTCACACACACGCGCGAGCTGGCTGAATCGATGCAGCTGGATGTGGGTATTGATTTTGGTTGGTGGATGTTGCTCACGATCTGCTAGGTCGTCTATGGTGACACGGACTCCGTCTTTATCAATTCGAACGCATACACGTACGATGATGCGCTCAAGGTGGCGAGCGAGTTCAAGAAGTACGTTAATGAGCGGTACAAGTTGCTCGAGATAGATCTCGATGGTGTTTTTAAACGGTTGTTGCTTCTGCAGAAGAAGAAGTACGCGGCAATCAAGATGGCAGATGGCGTCGAAACAACTGAGGTGAAGGGCTTGGATATGAAGCGTAGGGAGTACTCGCAGCTTTCAAAAAACACTTCGCAGTACGTCCTCGACCAGATACTCAGTGGGGAGTCTACGGAGGTTGTAGTGGAGCAAATACACGAGTACTTGGGTGTGGTGAGCGAGAGCATCCGTAGCGGCAAGGTGCCACTGGAGGAGTATATCATCAACAAGCGCTTAGGTAAGGACCCAGAGGCTTACCCCGACTCTAAGTCTCAGCCACATGTCCTCCTCGCTCTCCGCATCAAGAAACGCGGTGGTGCCGTGCGCAGTGGTGACGTCGTCAGCTACATCTTCTGTCAGTCTCCAGATGGCTCCTCCAGCAAGACGGGCAAGGCGGAGAATGCTCACAGTATAGATGAAATCAGACGCGATGGAATGTCAGTGGATTATGAATACTACCTCACTTCTCAAGTCCTACCACCTATCGAGCGTCTGTGCGATAATATCGAGGGCACAGACCGTGCGCGACTAGCGGAGTGTTTGGGTGGGTGGTGCGCATTATTTTATGGTCTATTAACAAACCAAACCTTATAGGACTCGACCCTGCTCGTTTCCAGACGCAAACGATGGGTGCAAGCAACGACAAGGAATTCCACACCCTCGAATCGCAGATGTCCGATAAGGAGAGGTTCAGACATGCTGAGCGACTCGTGCTACGCTGCGTGGGTTGTGACGAGCAGAATGAGTTCGGCAGTCTCCTTGATGATGTGGGTTGAGTGTGTTGTTGTCTATACTAGCTTACATGACCTGCGCAGACTAAACACATGCAGACGCGCGGTATCGTCTGTCAAAATTGCAAGGGTGTGCTGCCTCTTGGAAGCGTCGCCACTCAGCTCGAGATAAAGCTTAGGCAGTGCATTGCGCGCTATTACGAAGCTACCCTGGTTTGTAATGATCAGGCTTGTGGTAATACCACTCGCATGATGGGCGTTTATGGTAAGCGGTGCCTTGCGCCTAATTGCCTCGGAAGTATGTCGTATGCGTATGACGACCAGATGCTTTACAATCAACTTTTATACTTTGCGAGATTGTTCGACGCGGATAGGATCATGACGCAGGCTAAGACGGGTGGTAATTATGGTGCGTTTTCTAGATAGTGCAGTTAGCACATACACACACAATCACACTAACCCTTGTACAGATGAAATTCACCTCCTCTGCGAAAAAAATAAACCCACCTTCTTTACCCTCCACAACACCGTGGCTAAGTTCCTCGAACGCAATGCTCGCTCCGTGGTCTCTCTCGCTGATATTTTCTCTTTTATGAACCTACAGCAACGTCGTTGGAGAGTGGCGGTGTGAGACATGGTTTAAAATGTACTATTTATGTGCTTTTTATGAAAATTTATACAACTCTCTCTTGATTTCAATAATAATTCAGCTCACTTGGCCTGGCCTGCTGCGTCTTTTGCAACTTTGCACATTTCGCAGTTGAAAACGACGAATTCGCTCTGTTCTGGGGGAGTGTTAGGGACTTGTATCAGATATACAGCTGCGTACCACTCGGAGCGACGAACACGGCCATAAATTCAGCTGGTTCAGTCTGGCTGTTGTTTGCCGAGACTGCATGCAGCGCGCCTGGCAGTTCTGACCAGGTATCGTTTGTGCTGAGAATCTTCTCCTCTTCTGCCTCTTTCGCGCCTGGTTGGTGGACGACGCTGCGGATGGTTCCGCTGAGGACTGTACCAACGACGAACGCCTCACCGTGGTGGTGCGTAGGTGTAACCGCGCCTCCTTCGTAGCGCACCTTGAGTCCTACTACTACCTTGCTGCTGTCTGTGGGGAGCACGTGGCTGAAAAGCGGTGTGAATGTGTGTCCTGGGAGCGACATTGTAGATGTTTGGTGGTTTGTAAGATAGGCGTTGTACACAGCGTTTTGAAGGTGTCTTCCCCAACGTCTTCTCACTTGCGTCATTTCACTCGCAAGACCGAGACCGAGACCGAGACCGAAACCGAAACCGAGATATGCTCTATGTAGTTTCTAAATGCGTTGGGGCGGTGGCCTATTAGTCATGTCTATTTGTGCTAGTCTTTCACTCAAGCTGGGATTGTCGAATTTGCATTTCAAGCGAATCATTTGAATCGTTAAGCGTCGAGCAAGGAGTGTTTTAGTAGAATGTAGTAGCCGTAGCCGGCTTCAAAGCCAACTGATCCTCAAGAAACCTTCTCGGCATGGTCATGAGTCTCGAATAGCTCTCTGAATCGTCAGCTGCTATTCATTTACAAATCGCCGGAAGTCCGTGTCTCATGAACAGGTGAACGACAAACTCCGAGCTAAGATTGGCCAAGAATCCACCAAGAATCATTGTGGATCCGTCTGTTGCCAAGCTTGTGCTGTTATCAAACCACCGTCATCTCAAATACACAAATTACGCTATCAAAGTCGCCGGAAAAATCGTTAGCCCGGAATTTTACAGAATCCGTAAATGATATGGCCGTTTATTGCCGTCTAATCGCGGGTATTACATATGGTCCGTATGAGAAATAAGTGGATACAGGACATTCAGGGAGTGTCCAACACGCCTTTAACGCCTTCACCAAGATTTATCTTGCGAGACAACTCTATCTGAAATCGCCGGAGAAATTCCCGCCGAACAAGCAAATCACAAAGAATAATGCAGCAGCTGAGCATATAGCTTTCTCGCTCTGTAGCAATTTACTACACAAATCTCGCTTTTTTACTGCCCACGGGAAATGTCAGCGCGCTTAATTTAGCTCATGTGGATGTCTCATTAGGCACACGCATGAACATAGATCTATAAATAGATTACGATGGTTTCTGACTTAATAAACTGCTCAACTCGCTAATTTCTCATAATCAACACAACCAACACAAAACATGAAAAAATCTGCCAATTTCACTGAGAAAGTCGAGCACATCCCTCAAGAAGAAGCTCAACATAATGAATACACCACTGATTACACCAACGATCCTGAAGCTCAGTCTCAGCGCACATCTACAGACGTCAGCTCAAAGAAACGCCGCTGGTCGCTCTCTACCGGATCCCTGAGATCTGCTGGCGATGGGGATAGTCCTCATATTGTCAGCAATCGCAAACTGGTGTGGAAGGTATGTTATAATAACTGTAGCCTGTCGAAACTCCCACTCACATTCCCACAGATGGACCTTGCGATTATGCCGTTAGCGTGTGTTTCATTTGCAAAAAATTTGCACCTTACTCACTCACCTTAGCATCTTGCTCTACCTCATGGCTTATCTCGATAGAGGTAACTTGGGAAACGCGAAAACGTTCCCCGGATTCGAGAGCACCGTCTTCAACGACCAGGACGACAAATACGCGCTACTTAGTTCCATGTTTTACATATCTTATTTGGTCTTTCAAGTTCCTCTCACATTGCTCGCCAAGTATATGGCTCGTCCGGATTTAATGATCGGGACAGTGGCAATTCTCTGGGGTATTTCATCTACCCTACAATCTACAGAATTCAACTACTCCGGTGCTCTCGCATGTCGCTTTTTCCTCGGCTTCTCTGAAGCTGGCTTTGGTCCACTAATGCCATTTTACTTCTCTATGTTTTACCTAAAAAATGAGCTAGGTAAGAGAACAACAATTTTCATAGCAGCAGCACCGCTAGCTGGTGCATTCAGTGGTATCATTGCTTATGGAATTGAGCACATCGACTATAAGATAGCCAGCTGGAGATTACTTTTCCTCATCATGGGCTTGCCCTCGATCTTGCTCGGGATTGTCACGCTCTTTGTGATACCATCACGTATCGAGGTCACAAGATGGTTCAACGAGGAGGAGAGAGCGCTGGCACAGGCGCGCAAGAACTCTGAAATGACGCAAGAGAGAATCGGTTACATCAACTGGCGTCATGTCCTCAGTGGATTCCTCGATTTCCGCACATACATCAACTGCTTCATATACATGTGCATAAATGTAGCCCTCAGTTCTATTAGCAGCTTCCTTCCTCAAATCCTCACGGATTTGGGATACACAGGTGCCGATTCGCAACTTTACTCCGTCCCGCCATACGTCTGCGCAGGTGGATGGATGGTGAGTACATGGTGCAACGCTTTTACATTGCTCACTCCTTCACTAGATCATTCTCTCTTTCATCTCAGATAAATATCAGATGCGCGGTCCGGTAATTAGTGTCAACATGCTAATCAGCGGTATAGGATACTCGATTTTGATAGGGACCGATCCATCATCGCTGAATGCGCGCTATGGTGCCATTTTCCTCTCCGTAATGGGCACATACACAGCCATCCCACTGACGCTGTCGTGGTCAGCATCCAATGCAGGCTCCGAATCCAAGAAGGCAGTAGCTATCGCTATGTTGAACACTATCGGACACACATTGAGTGTGCTTGGCGGTTACATCTACCCCGATGCAGAAGCGCCAGAGTATACGCGTGGATTTGCTATTTGCATGAGTTTCGCTTATGCTGGCTGCATCGCTGCGGCTACTCATAGTACCATTCTTTGGTTCATTAATAAGCGCCGCGATAGGGAGGAGGATGTCTCAGAAATCGGAACACCGGATACCTTTACTCATGCGGACAAAGCGGTAAGTGGGGTACTTAGCGTATTCCAAAGCTGATGTGATATCTAGGTTGGATTCAGATACACGCTTTAGAACGATGTGAGCGTATGTTCTTGGGTCGCGTGTGTACTTTTAGGATTGTATAACATTATAACTGTATAATTGAGGATATGTATGTCAATTCAACATGATTATGAGTGTATAAACGCTCGCACTACAAAGAGGTCGATGCGCTTTCATTGGAGAAATGCGTCAGGCTATTCAAGAGATACAGGCAGCCTTTGCCGTATACGGTAATAGAATTTGCAGCGATCAAATTCCGAATAAGGTGTGCTCGGCTCACCCTGCAAGTGGCCTAGCAGTTAAGAAGAAAAGTAAAGCCTTTTAATGGCAATTTATAAATACAACAATGTGATTATTTTCATTGACGCTCCAACATTCCAATCATATCATTGTATCCGCTATTCACTCAATATTCACCGACTTGAAATCTACTTTTGCCATCGATTTCATCCCAAATGACTGATTTACGACTTTTTAACAACTTGGAATAAAAGAGCTTTACTGGTAGCTCTGGCTGAAAAGAGAATGATTTTGGTAGATTTAGATTCTGGTTGAAATCGCTCTGGAGCACCCGGTGGTGCAGTTGGATATTCACAGCCGTATCGGGAATAGCAGGATCTAGATGATACCCGGTTATCAATTTCTTGGCGGTGACGGGAGCGAGGGAGCCAAGGGGGAATTGGGAAGCGTGATGGATCAGCGGGAATGATTTTAGAATAAGAGCACAAAATAGCTCCCATTCATCGACTCCTCTAACCCTTCAAGTACATACGCTTATCTCAAAAATTCTCCGGTTCAGGCACCGCCGGGTACTGCAGAGCGAGGGTGACCGACACCGAGAAGGTGAAAAAGGCAAGAAACATCCTTTCTGCTTACTATAAGCTAGTCGCCCACTAAAAACTTGGGATGCACAGACAAAATTCATCGACAAGCGCATACTCGGAGGAAGAGATAGACATAGAGAAAATGGGCGGAGAGGGGGAAAATGGGATTAGAAATGAAGAGAAGGACCAAGAACAGGAGCAGAAGCAGAATCACTTGGACGAGTATCTTGTCCAATTCACCCAGAATGACCCAACGAATCCGAAAAACTGGAGCAGTGGTCTGAAATGGTACACGACGGTGCTAAGTTCGGTGTTCATTTTAAGCAGCACAATAGCGTCGTCGCTGCCGTCGACAACCATAGCGAATATGATAGAGGAGTATGACACAACGGAGACAATAGCAATATGCACCATCACCATGTTTTTGCTAGGATATGTATGTGGTCCACTGTTTTGGGCGCCACTGTCGGAGGTATACGGACGCAAGCCCATCTTTACGCTCACGCTCTTGTTGTATACGCTGTTCAACGTCGGGTGCGCGCTCTCGCCAACCATCACCGGCCTTCTCATCTGCCGTTTGATTGCTGGCATAGGAGCAAGTTCACCGCTTACGAATAGCGGCGGCGTCCTCACTGACATATGGGAGATGGATGCTATCGCGATACCGATGGCGCTGTTCTCGTGGGTTGGTGTATTGGTGCCAGTGGATACTGCTAACACACTCGACAGTCTCGTGCCCTTCCTGGGACCGGTACTGGGGCCGATAATTGGCAATTTCATGATCATAAGCGTGCCGTGGCAGGACATATATTGGCTCATGCTCGCCTTCGGCGGAGTATGCTGGCTGCTGTGTGTGTTTACGCTGAAAGAGACATACGAACCTGCGATACTGCACAGACGCGCGGCACAGCTGCGAAAGAAGACAGGCGACTCGGGGTACTACACGGCGCAAGAGAAGACACAGCCAGCGATGCGCACACTGCTCAAAACCAGCCTCACGAGACCTCTCCTTTTCCTCGTCACAGAGCCACTCGTCATTTTCTCCTCTTTATACGTCGCTGTGATCTACACCATCCTCTATCTCTCCTTCGAGATTGTGCCTTACGTATTTCGCGGCGTGTTCGAAATGCGGCAGGAGATAGCGGGTCTTATGTTCATCCCTATAGCCATAGGAATGTTCATCAACCTGGCCATCACCATGGTGGGGGTGGGGGTAATGAGGAGAAGGAGTGCAAACGTAGCAACCAAGAGTCTCCCCGAAGACCGACTGCTACCAGCCATTTACCTCGGTGGGCCATGTATGGTAGTGTCTCTCTTCTGGCTGGGTTTTACGAGCAGGGCCGATGTGCCGTGGGAGGTACCCGCGGCATCGCTCATCCTATTCGGCGTGGCTATCGTGAGCATCTTCAACAGCTTCCTCAGCTATCTTGCTGACGTGTATGCGGTGTACGCGGCAAGCGCGCTGGCTAGCAACACTATTGCGCGCAGCGTCATCGCGAGCGTGTGCCCCCTCTTTGTGAGGCAAATGTTCGACGCGATGGGCATCGATTACGCCTGCTTGCTACTCGCTCTCGTCGCCCTCACCCTCTGCGCTGTGCCCGTGTGGTTCAGACTGCGTGCCGCGTCGCTGAGGGCGCGCTCGGCGTATGCGCGCAGGGTGTAAGGATTTATTGGTTCGTTGATTGTAGTTAATGAGTAATAAGTTATGCATATCATTCCACGTCTATTCAAGGGTTTTGTTATAGCTGAGTTGTCAGAATTTCTTCTTCTCTGCCTTCTCGACCGACTCACTGGCAGAGAGAGAAGTGGGGAGGGTGTAGCCACGTGCAACACCCGCCCTGCCCGTCTCAAGCTGACTAGGGGCGTCTTGGCCCTCGCGCACCTCTAGACCCTTCCAGGAGCGTTCGTTGTGGAGGAAAGCGGCAGCGGCCGAGTTGTGCATGACCTGCAATGCGTTTTCCTTGGTTCTGAGTGTGAGTGCGTCTGCACCCTCTTCCAGCTGCCTCTGCACCTGTGCAGAAGCATCAGATGAAACTCCGTCGTCGAATCTGCGATGATGGACTAGTCGACCGGAAGAAGCGGAGAATGTGGGTGCGTCAGGGTCGTGATGCACAAGGTGATTCTGCTCCTGCTCCGCCTCGCCACTACCGCTCAAATTCCACCTGCTGGATGGATCGAGGAGGGCGGGGAAATCGAGTACATACTCACCCGTCCACGTACGACCATCGAGTGCCATTTCGAGCTCGAAAGGTGTAACGACGGGAGTGATGAATTCCTTGCTATTAACGATACTGCTCTCTTTGCACGCGACGACACACCACGCCTGGATTTCACCAAAATTGCCCAATTTGGCCGGGTTCAACTTGCCTACTGCCACCGTATAAACTTTCTTGCGATGGGCTTGCAGCTTGGCGCGCAACGCTCGCACGAGTGGGAGGTAGCTGGCGGTCGAGAGTGTCCCCACAGCCAGACCGAATACGTCGCAGTCGCGCGCTTTAGACGCTTGCGCATACCGCCGCTGTAGCAAGCGGTTCTCACTTCCTGTCGCATCGCTCACGTTGTGAGTGGTTGGGTCATACGCTAGCACTGCCACGCCGGCGTGTGTGAGGACGAGATTTGTCAGCTTTAAGGACGCGCCCCCAATGTAGATGAGCAAGGTACGCGGTGGGAGAGGTGCGTCGGTGGGGAGCGTGGTGGTGCTGACTGGTCGCTGTGCTATGGAGGGGTTGCGGGGGTTTGTGGATGTGCAAGAGTTGCATGAGTTGCTTAATGTGCAGCTATTCTTGGTATCGCTGCAACCACAATCCTCTCCACGCGCAGCCTCCTCGCCCTTCAAGGCAGACCCATCGGCCTCGTGGTCCTGCATCTTAGACTCGTCGGCGGGGCGAACGGGTGGGGGAGCGCCGCTATTGAGAGCCGGGTAGACGATGGAAGGTGGGCGGTTATGCAAGTGTACGGTCATGTCCTTTAGTCTGCGATTGAGGCCATCGCACACGGCTGGTGCTTTCCACGCGTACGCGGTGTCAGAGACGAGGAGGGCGCGTGAGTGGGTGTTGGTGTACCTCTGCAGGATACTCTGGGCAACTGCATCGACACACACCCCCACATCCAACCGCCTCTTCCCGAGAACGTAGATTACGGGGAGGCGAGCGCTCGGTTCTAGACAAGCGTGGCCGTAGTGGACGATAACATCGGCGTCGACGTGCTGGGCTGCGACTTCATCGACGCAGCAGGCGTTGTAGGTGGTGTCTGCGAGGATGTAGACGCTGTGGGCGGTGCCTGGATTGAGACGGCGCAACTCGGCCAGTTCCCGCACGAGATCCCGGTACACGCCGACCGAGTGGTGCAACAGCTCGTCGGGGAATTGTAGGGCTATCTGCGGTGTCGGTGAGGCGGGCACACACCTCCCTGCTCTATCCACTCACCCTGCTGTAGCCGTGTTCAAGTATATCACGCGCTGTACGCTTGATCTCGTACCCGTCGTTGTCGCCGTTGTCGTCGGAGATGTCGTGCGGAGAAATATCGTTGCGGGCATGTATAATATCCTCGCCGGAGTTGGTGATTGTGGACATTAACGGGATAAATTTATATTTTATATTTTAATTCGATGTTGGTCGTTGCTGCGAGAGAGTCTTCTCGGTTGATAACCAACGGCGAACGTGGAGAATAGAGAATGTACGCAGATTTAAATTTGCCAGCGGTGTACACGCATAATGAACCATTGAGGAAGGAGAAGAAGAACAAAGCCAATAAAACGAGTGCAGCGAGTACACCGAGTACACCCACAGCACCCACAATAGACACCACACAGCTAAAATCGCTTGAATCTCGTACACGTACCCTCATTCACTTGGGTTATTCTGTAGCTGGTTACGATCATTATGTGAAAAATTTCACCCACTCAAACCACAACAATCCATTCACAAATTCACAGCCGCTATTCCCAGGGCTAGATACGCGTAGCTCACACAATCCACGCACTCTAATCCAATTAAGCAGACTTACAGTTGAGTTGGATGAAGCGGGTGATGCAACCAAGCAGTTGGGACAAGGTGCAGTGGGCGTGTTGAACGCGTACGATTTACTCGCAGTCAAACCCACGGGCCCAATCACATTCAATCACGCCTGTTTGAATATGTGCACTCCTTCTCCATTCGCTGTGCACATAATTCAGCTCGATCTTGCTGCTCACTCTCGTCTCCCTTTCTTCCTTAAGCGCTCCACTCTCGGTAAGGCTATCGCTGATGGCGCTTTCTTTGAAGTTTGCTATGGTGGTGCACTCGACGGTGGTGATGATTACGCTAGAAGAAATCTAATCGCAAATGTTAAAGAGTTGCTTAGAGTCACAAGCGGTAAAGGAATCATATTCAGTAGCTGTGTTTCTAACGCACTCCATTTACGCTCACCTGGTGATATTATTAACTTGGCTACAGTATTTGGAATGAATCAATCTGTTGCTAAGAAGACACTTACAGATAATCCAAAGACGGTTATAAACAATTCAAACTCGCGGCGGCTGTTTAAGGGAATCTTGAGTGATCCAATTATCCATCACCCAAGTAATTCTGCCAAGCGTGCAAGTGATAGTACAGATATTATAGATAACTCAAATAACACACCCAACACCTCTAAAAACCCACCAAAGAAGAAGAAGCAAGTGTAGAAGATACATTACGTCATTACCTCATTACGTCATATACAAATTACTCAACCCCCAACATTGTTTGAATTGGATTCAGTGGCTGGCTCAGTTTGAAGTGGATTGATTGACCCTGCGAATGATTCAACTTGGGTTGTTTCGTTGTTACTACCATCATTCGCTAATCCAGCAACGCCAAATGATGAATCGGAGTGAGTGGAAGGCGTGGGGGTGTTCTTGATACTCCCATCGTCAACGCCTTCAAAACCTGCCTGATTCGATCTGGAGAAAGAGTCGCCGTGTGTGTTTACACCGTAGCCCCCTTCATCTGTGGCTGTGAGGGTGTGTCAGTCATATGAACACCTACCATTTCAATCACTCACTATCATTACTATAATTACTCATACTAAATAATCGATAAGATGAATATTTTCACTCTCTTGATAGTTGTAGTAAATTCTAAAATCAAATCCGAATTGAAACGGTCACCAAATAAAATAAAAAATGGGGCGTAAATCAGCGACCAAGAAGAAGCAAGTGGAGGAAGAGGAGGAGTATGAGATTGATTCTATTATAGATGCCATGATTGGTGGTGTACGGGGGAGACCTGTAAGTGGTGTACTAGGAGTGATACGCGTGGATATCTTATCGAATTCAAATTAGAAAACTCTCAGCTATTTTGTCAGTTGGAAGGTTTGTTATTTTACGCGCGTTTTTTCCCTCTCTCACACTTACCAGGGATACCCAGAATCTGATAATTGCTGGGTAACGGACGGTGACGCGAACAATGCAAGCGAATTGGTTAAGAAGTTCTGGTATCATAACCCAGACTTATACGTTGATCTCGGTTTGAAGCCTAACAAGGTGGAGAAGCCACAGTCTCTGATTAATCGCGAGAAAGGCAAGGATATCCAACAGGAGGAGGATTTGAATGACAATAACGAGGATCAACAGCACAACCGTACTTTCCTCAATCCTCCTCATTCTCCTGATGAAAGTGACTTGGACAATGGCTTAGACCATGACGTAGACAATCATTCCAATGAGGATCATCATCCTGCTATTCCCGCTGATGATGCTGACGATGCTGACGATGCTGACGATGCTGACGATGCTGCCGATGCTGCTCACAGTGATAAAGCTGCTACGGTTGATCCTGAGCCTGAATCTGATACTCATTCTCACTCTAAACTCCACTCTCACTCTCAAACTCTCTCTCAGCCTCCCTCTCGCCCTAAAAGAGGCAGAGGTCGCCCTTCAAAAGCCTCTCTTGGACTAAATCCCACTGAAAAACAAACAAAGTCCAAAAAGTTCAAAATTTCCTCCTATGAGTGGGTTCCCTTGTCTTTTCTATCACTCCCACTTCTCACAAACTTTCACAGCGATGCTCCACGTTGGGATAACCACCTCGACATCTTGGGCGTCAGTCGCTCAGATGTTCCCGGTGAAAAAGCCATGTTCAAAGTCCAGTTCGATGATGCGCGTGTCAATGTCTATGGTTTTGAAGAGCTTGTTGAGAGAGCTCCAAAGACAGTGAGCTGGTTAATTGCAATCTCAAACCCCTCTAACAACCCTCTCAGCTCTGCAGATATCTCTCTATGTACATGGACGTAAGTCCCAAGAAACCATAATCTCACACACTCAAATCATCAGTTCGACAAAGCTCAAACAGATAACAGTGAACCGTCTAGACCTCTGAAAAGACACAACCAAGACGGTAAAACGTTTTTTGAAGTTTGAGTCGTGTCGGATTACTTGGTAATCTCTTTTCTTTTTTTTTCACTCGCCACTGTCAATCAAAACTCTACCCGCTAGTTGCTTTCTGTACAATTTAATCAATCTCTACCATATAAATTTGTAGTTGTTCATTTTAATCTTTACAGCTCCTCATGTACGTGTTGTGTGCCTGCTGCGCTCTCCGGTATAGCTGTGCTGGTTGGGTAATCAGCCACGTCAAATATCGTGCCATGCGCCGTGTCATTGTCTTTATGTGTGTCAACCAGTGGTGAGTGTTGGATGAATTCTTTCTCGGTGCTCTGTTCAACATCTTGACTGTTGTCGTCGTTTTCGAAGGGTGTGTGTGGCTCTTGATGGTAATGATCGTATGGCTTTTCTTGTGCGTCCTCCTGCTCCTCTATGCGCTCCTCTTCTTCCTCTTCTTGCTCGCTCACGTACACCTTCCCCACGCTCGCCACGCGCGACTCAAACTGCTGCTCGAGAGCGACGACCTTGCCAAACACCTCTTCAAACAATGGCTCTAACACCAAATCGGTTTCTTGGACATCGCTAAGATGATCGACACGCTCGTCAAAGGTTTGCGTGAGATGGTGATAGTGCATCCAATCGCGATAAGTGACACCATCCGTCCAAGCGAGTGTGCTACCAACCTCCCTCTGTGCTCGAGTGAGAAATTCACGCGGCGCGCTAATCGCCTCCCCGATCATCTTCACTTCCATCTCATCTATTTCTCCCTGCCAACGCACCATACCGTCCAAAACGTTTTGGGCGAGCTGGCGCAGTTTGTTGGTTACTTTCGTACGGACTGTTTCTATGTTTTGGGTGTGTGTGTGGTGCTTCTCATCTCCTTGGTCACTAATTTCACTCATTTCCCGCTCGTGGTAGTCGACAAAACCATCCATCAGTCGCTGGAAATCACTCGTGAGCGATTCGACAGCCTTTTCACTGCTTAGTGTGACTGACGACGCCAATTCTGCGCGCTGCGTCGAGAGACGGTGCATGAATTGGACCGCACTGGCATCGAGAAGACGAGATAGCTCTGTATGTGTGTCATTGAGTGTCGTAAGTGTTTCTTCCAGATGGGGCGTGGGTTGTGGTGCTTCTGGCACCGCTGTGCCCGTGCCGCTGTTTTCTTTGACTTGTTCTCCCTCTCCCTCTCCTTGCTTCTCCCCCTCATTCTCACCCTCACTTCCGCTCATGCTTGCGAGGAAATAGCTTATCTCATCCGCTGTTTCGCCAGTCGCTCCGTATGTGCTGGCTGTCTGGGGTGTGTTAGTGGGCTGCGCAGTGTAATTTGGTGGGAGCGTGGGGTATGTGAGAGTATAACAAAGTGTGAGACAGTGTGAGACAGTGTAATAAGAGAATGCGGTAGAATTACACGTGTATGATTGTGTGTTTTGTAAATATACGCAGGTACGAGAAATGGGAAAGTGAAAAATAATGTCAAAAGAGATGAAAGAGTGAGTGTGCAAATGCTGGAATGGTCAAGTGCTAAAGTCGCAAGTGCCATAGTACTCACTGCATAATCCACAGTGCTGCATAATAAAGCCTTACTCCACTCACACCCCTTACATCCACCACGACCCCACTAAGGACTCACATTAGAGCGCTGGACCTCGATCCACTCGGCAAGTCGGCTAAGGACAGGATCAAGGAACTTGCCTTTGAGCGAATGGAAGTGTTTGACGGTAATGAGTTTATCGTCGAGACCAAATTTGACATACTGACCGAGAGCCAAGCGGGAGATGTGTGATGTTATTCTGTGACTAATAGCGAGCCACTCAGCCACTGCGCGCTTCAAGTACTTTGTGAGGAATGTGCGTATATGCGGATAGTACGTTTTAGTGTACGACCAAGTTGTTGAAAGTGCCCTGATAGCCTGACGCTGAGAGTATGCGTGCACGACACTTAAGTGGGGGTGCAGAGCAGTGTAGGTGTTTTGAATTTGCTTATGAGATTGGTTGAGAAGAGAAAAGACACGCTGAGTGTGCTTGTGGGTGGAGATTGGGAGGTAGTACTTGTCGTGATATACCTTCCAATAACGCATTGCAACACCCTGCCATTCATCATAAACAGGTTTAAACCTATTCGCTAGTCTTCTCGATTGAATTTCGAGTCGTGGGTGGATAGAAGCGTTGTAGAGGTGCGTGGCACTCTTCTTGGATCTGCTGAGATAAGGTTCGAGCTTAACTAGCTGAGTTGTAATCGGATTAAGCTTATTTTGAGCTTGTTGAAGGTGAGGGAGGATGACTGGGTGAACGTGGTCGTAGTAGACGGGTTCAAAGTACTCGACGGTAGACTGATGACGCACGCAGAGGTCACTTGAGTCGGGAGTAATTGGAGTGTGGCAGAATAAGTGGGCTAGAAAGGTGTAAAGGAGGAAAAAGAGAGTGAAGCGCTTGACGAGACTTGTAAGCCTGAAAGGGGATCTGCTTCTAGGTACGGGTTCCACAGGCTGTACACGATTAGACTTTGTATCTGTTTTGACTTGGTCGTGGATGTCCTGTGTGGTGTTAGCCGTGTTAACCGTGCTAGGCAGTTCAACCAGCTCAACCCAACTCACACTAAAGAGAATCTTATCTGGGAGATTCTCCTGCTTCTCCTGCTTTTCCTGCTTCTTCTCCTTCTTTTCAGACACTGGAACTGCTGGCGTTGGCTTGTTGAGATTATTTCTAGCCATGGATGCAATTGAACAAGAAGGAATTGATAAAATTTTACTGAAAAATACATGAAAACCATTCAAATCAGCCAGTTCTCAACGCTGTCGTCTTCCTTCCACTGCGTAATAAACGTATCTACGAACGGTTTAACTAATTTACCGGTGGTTGAGATTCCATCCACTCTTGTGAATGATTCAATGTAGATCATCTTTGGGTGGGGAATTCCAACCAATTTAGCGACCCAGATTGCTGCAACCAGCGAAACACAGGTAGATGGCCCATTCATTATCAACATATCGCCCAAGTGAGGTGAAGGTGCATCTGTAATGCTGTTAGAGCGTGTTGATGAGGGATTTGATATATCTGGTGGTGGTAGAATACTCAAACTCAAGCATTGGATGAATGAGACAAACAAATTTCCAGGTAGCTTGGAGTAACCCTCTCCAACGCCTCTTAAGCGGTGTAGATACTTGATAGCGTAGTATCCACTATCAGTCCAATCCAATGTAGCCGCTGTTTGCTTGAAATTTTCAAGTTCAACGACTCTATTAGTGGTAAGGGTGTCTCCGGAGTGGATCAGCCACAACCTAGGCGTGTACACCTTGAACATTAAAGCATCAATCATCTTCAATAACTCGGCGGAATGACCTCCACTTCCCATCATGACCGATATAGACACCTTTTCTCCAGGCTTCTTGTTCACTTTAGCAGAAGCACCGGATCTGAACTGGTTGATAGTGATCAAGCACTTGCCTAGAAGGAATAGCACTGCTGCTGCTGCGATTGAAATGTATTTATTCATCCGTGTGCGTCCTTGGTGGTCGTAGCACTCGAACTATCAACATGGTTTGTTATTATAGTGTGTTATATTACCATTTCTAATACCACTCAAAGCCAGCTACTCTCGAATCCATCCACCCCGGCGACGGTAAAAACTTCCCAAAGCCAGGCCAAACTATCACCATGCACTACCACGGTACTCTGCTCGATGGCTCTGTATTTGACAGCTCTTACAGAAGAGGACAGCCATTTTCATCCCCAATTGGAATTGGAAGGTTGATTGGCGGTGAGTGATAGTGCTGACGTGTATGCCGGCGTCTAATCCGTCCTACAGCTTGGGATCAATGTGTACCTCAAATGTCTATCGGCCAAAAGGCAATCATCACTGCCACCCCTGAAGTTGGCTACGGTGAAAGAGGTTTCCCCCCAGTGATTCCACCAAACGCAACTCTCAAATTCGAAGTTGAATTGCTTGCTATTCAATAGACTCGTTTTATTGGTGTTGAAAGCGTCTTCTAGGTGTGTTTGTACGCGTCTTCTAGCTCTTTTTCAACGCGTTTTTCTTTTTACAACTTTCATTGTACACATGTCAATTTTCATTTGAACGGTGTCTTAACATTCATAAGTACTGTTTGTGAGTATTTATCCTTCCTTTCCCTCTCAAATCCCCTCATGAAGAAACACAATCCATTCCAGGTTCCGCTCTCGACGCAGCGATATGTAGAGGTTTACAACGTACTCAACCAGCACAACTGTACAAAGGTGTGATAGGTGCTGTGACCTGCTGTCTTCTCACAATCCACCTAGCTTCTCGACCTCGGTTCTGGCGCTGGCAGTCTACTCCTCGAGCAGCTCCTCAAGCCTCCGATAAGTCTCGATGACGATGCACTCCGCCTCGCCCACTACCACGCACTTGACAGCGACCTCGCCGAGCTAGACGCTCTCTCACGCCTACTAGCCTCGCACCGCGACGCCACTCTACGCTGGTCCACCGACCTCACTCTCCGCCTTTACCACGCCGATTTCGCAGCTACGTTCCACCCCGCCTTCCGCGCACTAGACGCCATCGTTGCCGTGGAGGTGCTCGAGCATATGCAAGAGTCTGTACTGGCGCAGACGATGCAGCTCATCCTAGGCACATACAGCCCACCCCTTTTCATCGCTACAACCCCCAACTACGACTTCAACCCACGCTTCACCTCCCCTGCACGCGTCGTGGACCCTACCGGACGCACCGACAGGCTTTTCCGTCATCCTGATCATAAATTCGAGCTGGGCGTGCGGGAGTACACACAGTGGTGCGCGCATTACGCCCGTTTGTTCGGTTATAATGTCTCCGTGTATGGCGTCGGCGAGTCTATCGCGCAGAACCTCAATCCACCCAGTACCGATCCACGCGTCGATGACCGCTATCCGAGTCAAATTGCCGTGTTCAAGCGGGTGCGGTGTGCGGGCAGGATTAATACTGAGAATACTGCGAATACTGAGGAAAGTGACCTCACCCAACCCACGCAACTCCCGCCCCTCCATTCCTCCTACACGCTCCCGAGCGCCGCGGAGCATTTGTCGCGGAGCAGCAAACTCAACGCCGGAACACCCGGAACACCCGGCACACCCGGCACACCCAACACACACGCAATCCTCACCCACCTCTACTCCCTCCTCGATCTCCCGTTCGGCGGGAGCAGGGTGGTCGTAGCATCTGCGCTCAGTCTCTGGGACACGCACATGCAGCTCCTCTGCAGAGGCGTTTTCGCCACGCTCCTCGACGCCGTCAGAAACAGCGGCAAGTATGGCGGTGAGGTGTCGACACTGGATGTAGACGGGGTGCGCGAACATAGCAGCCAACTCAGCGAGCATAGCAATCACAGCAATCACAGCCAACACAGCCAACACAGCGGAGACGCCTGGTTTATCTTGGCGAAAAACAGCTCCGACACACCCTCCATCGTCTACCGCCAGAGCGTCACGGACGTGCTCCATGCAGACACACTCGCCGCTGAGATGCGCGATAAGCGCAAAACACCCAAGGATAAAGAGAGAGAGCGGCAGCAGGAGGAGAAACAAGTGGATGAGAGATTGGAGTTTGAGAAGGAGCAGCTGGTGGAAAACAGTGAGTATGGCTCCTCCCCTACACACAGCAGCTCTTGTTTGTCAGATAGATACGGTGACACTGACGCCGTCCTCGCTAACCTCCAGCTCAATCTTTGGAAAGCAGACCCTGTGTGGTCTCAAGATGCCGCCAATGCCGCCGATGGCTCCAATGCGGGATGGGGCGATGCCGATGCAAATCCCACTTGGTCGTAGCCTATGTCTTATTATTTGCAATCTTCTTGGCGCATTTATTTATAAAGACAGTGTTTCTTACATGCCTCACCCACTCACTCAAATCCCAATCCAGCCACCTCCTCTTTCACATTCGCGATAAAGCGCTGCACGCCCTCGCTATCGAGTACAGACTCAGTGGTGCGAGCAGCCACAAACACCGTGTCGGCATGCGCATCGAGCACTACGTCCAAAAAGAGGGCATGCTTGGAGCGTGTTAGATAGAAGCCACCTCTACATTTCCACTCACTCTCGATACTCCCCGCGTGTCCATCTCGCGCACGCTACTGTCGACATCTAGCTTCTCACTCGCCGCGTAGTCGCTAGGCGGACCAATCTGCCCGAGTATTTTGTCAGCACCTCCTGTGTCGAAACATGCTCACTCACATCCACCTGCGACAGTGCCGACGCGTCACTCGAGAATATCCTCTCTGCATGCCATAGCAAGTTGATGTAGACGTTGAAGACGGGCTCGCTCGTGCCCAATACCCTCCTGGCGATCTCGCCGTTGTCGTCCTGCTCGACCAGCACGCGCTTTGAGATACTCTTCTGGACTGCTTGAGCTGCTTGGACATCACCACTGAACGGTCCTACACCCAGCGGGAGCAGGTTGAGACACGGGCCTGCGACTGTATCTATACCATCAATGCTGGCTGCGCGGCCAGTGTGGTAGACCCCCACTATCGGTTTCGCAGTCTGCGTGATCCTGCCCACCACCTTTGCAACCATAGTAGTGAGCACCGATTGAAGAGATACTTGGTGACGTTGTTGGAGTCGTTGAGTGAGGCTCTGCGCACCCTGTACCACGTCCTCCTTGTAAAACACCTGCTTACTGGAAGAATTCTTCACTGGGAGGAGTGTTGGCTGGCTGCCCCCCAACTCCGCCCTCCAGAACTCCTCGTCGAATGTGTTCCTCGACGCCGCCTCAACCACCTTACCGAAATCACCAATGGACGCCAGCTCGCCTCCGCTGTAGCTGCGCCACAAATCGCTCATGAGCAACGGGATTGTCCATGCGTCGTACAGCGCATGATGGATCTTGAGCAGCACATAAGAAGTCGAGCGCATCTGCACAACAATCAGCTTCACTGGCGGGCGGTGCAGGGAGGAAGGTGCCCTGAACTCTTCCCGCACAATGCGCTTTGCTGTTTCCAATGCCTCGCCATCGCTGTTAACCACCTGCAACTCTGCGTCGTATTCCGTCAACACCACCTGCAGTGGTCGGCCGTCTACCGCTGTGAAGCAGGTGCGGAGGATGGGGTGGTGTGACACGAGCCTCCTCCATGCGCCCTGCAATTTGCGGAGGTCGAGTTTGTGCGGCGCCGCATGCGTGAACACGGGCTCGTAGAAGGTGTGCCCGCTGAGAATCCACGCTTGCAGGTGGTACGCCTGTCCAGGCAGCAGAGGCAGCACAGCCTCTGCTTCACGCCTGCTCAGACGTAGGCGTGCAAGCGCGCTGACAGCTTCAGATGCTGACACCAGAGGCCTGTCTTTGTCCCCCTTCTCGTCTTCTCTCCCGTAAGCTGTGCGCTCCCTCAACACCCTGTCCACGCCCGCTATCGTTTCCCCAACGAATATATCCGATACTGCCAAATCTTTCACCCCCAGCTTGCGACAGCGTGCGGCTAGCTGGATTGCACCGACTGAGTCCAGTCCTAATGCGTACAACGGCGCACTATAGCTAATCTCCTCGACATTGAGCTTCGAGATAATCGCAAACACATCACGGATCGTCGCCATCGTGCTTGTCACATGGCCGTCGTAGGCTTCTGTGTGTTGGACATATTCAACTGTTGCATCGATAGTGTTGTTCAGTGGAAGCGCGGCGAGCGATGATGGCTTTGCAGTAGCTGGCTGATGAGGATGATCGACTATATCAGCAAATAGTTCCCCGAATTTGCCAATTAATTCGTCCAGCTCCTTCCCTGTCATCACACTGCTCAGGCAGCTTGCGTTGATGGCGAGAGTGTCGCCTGCGTCGACAAACTCAGCATTTAGGGGGTATTCAACACTCTGCTCGGACTGTTCAGTCAGATCAACCGTCTCCCACAGCTTCACTTTCGGCTCTTGGTCATCCCGGAAGGACTTTTGGAATACAAAGAGCGTTTCGAAAAGCGACTTCTGCTTTACTACCCTCTGAACATCTCTAAGTGGGACGTGTTGGTGCGCTTCAATCTCGTTATACTGTTCAAATGCTTCGTGGCAGACATCGATGTTTGTCGCCTTCTTATTACCGATTTTGAACCTATAAGGAACAGTGCTGTCCGTATTGTTAAGTCTTGCTCATTAAATACACAAAGCACTCACTTGAACAATGGTCCAGACGCTAACAACGCATCTTCTAGTCCGATCGAGCGGCCAGCTACCACCTGCCCAAATGCAACATCGAGCGATCCAAATAATCCGCAAAGAGTCTTACCCCATGCCACTAGTACCATTGACTGAAGCGACACGCCAGCTGATTTTACGAGTCTGTTCGCCTTGGCTGTGATAGGAATGGTCTTGCCGGTAAAGTGTGCCTTGACCTCTCCCTGCTGAATTTTAGGAAGTGGCTTTGGAACGTAATTGGACATCTTGCTCTTCCAAAACCCTTCGTCATCCCTTGCACCGTCGAGAATATACGGTATTGCTTGGGTGAATTGTGGACGCAGAGGCACTCTGTTGGCACTATAGCGTGCAAGTATCTCGTCTAGCACTAATGGCAGAGATACACCATCGTACAAGCTGCCGAAGGCCTAGTTAGAGGTACGTTACGATTATGTTGCGGTACACTTACGCGTGATGCATGGTCAAGACCAAAAATTTCTCCTTGTTTGTTTTGATAATCGTGAAGGCGTATGGCGGCTTTTCGAAATCGTCTTCCTGGCTTGGAACACTTGCACTACCGAGAATCTTCGAAGCTTCTTCAACTGATCCAACGGTGTGCTCATTCCATACCACATCGACTCTGCCATGGATGAGTATCACCCAAGGATATTTGTCTTCGTCCGTAGTGCGGAATGATGCTCTAAGAATATCAACGTTCGCAACCGTGTCTATAACAGCCTTTTTGAGTGCTGCTACATCCATCGCATCGCTTAGCTTCAAGGTATGCTGAACGTTGTAAAATTTACCACCAGATGAAATAGTCTGTGTGAGCATACCAGTCTGCAGCGGCGTGGCAGGCACGACCTTCTCGATACCACACCCACCGTACCTTTCACCTAAACTCTGTGCAATCTTGGCAAATTCCCCAGCGATGTCCTTATTGCTGGTGTTTGGCGCATACTTTGCAAGCTCACCAATACATCCAGCACGCATAATCGCATGTGTGGGAATGTTGATACCTTGCTTGCGCAACGACTGTGCAAATCTAACAGACGAGATGGAGTCTATGCCCAGAGAAATGAATGTAGACTCTTTGCTGATTGAGGTTTCATCCATATTGCACAGGTTCGCAATAGATTGACGCATAACTGACTCTTCAGCAGTCCATTCAACATTATAGCTAGTCTCTTGAGGATTTGCTAATTGCTGTGGTTTTAGCGGCTCGACTACCTGTTGGGCATCTTCGAGAAGATTGTTGATCCGGCTGATGAGGATCTCGGCATCGCGCGATTGACCGAATGAAGAGTTGAAAACTGCGCGTAGGGTGAGCTTATTACTCTCTACATTAGCCGTGGCTTCGAGTGCGAGTGGGTACTTTAGTGTGTTAGAATAAGTTCACCAATGGTGATCACACCTACATCAACGCGAGACGACTCTTCGAGCTGCTCCCAGAGACTCTCATTCCCTTCGCCAGCAAGTCTACCGAAGGCGAACAGTGAATCGAAAAGACCGGCTGGTCGATTTATCCATTTTTGTATCAGGCGCAATGGCGTATATTGATACTCGAGTACCTGAGCACTCTCGCTCTGTGCTTGTTGCGCCATGTCTACAAACTTGCTTGCATCTGCCACCTTCACACGCACTGGCATAGTTGTAATGCATGGCGCAAGCATAGTCTCAACACCACTGACAGGTACTGTGCGACCCGATAGGACGACACCAGTTGTCTATTTACGAGTTAGATGGACTATTGGCGCAAGATTTTCTGCTCACAATATCTGTCACTCCAGAAGATTCACCGAGCGAAACACCGTATGCTGTTTGAACGAGCACACGCAATGACACATTCAATGAGCGTCCCAACATTTCCAGCTTCGATAAGGGCAGAGAAGCAGTCTTAACAACCTCTTTCGCGGTTGTACTACCCATTTCCATCTCGTTAGCTTGTGGCAGGTCTGACAAGTACTCCACGAAAAAAGTTCTAGCAACTTCTAGCGACTGACTGGAGATGAAATCGAGCAAGCGATCGACTGGTGCTCTTACGAGCGAAAATGATTCCTGGTAGCGTTCCTTTATTTCATCCATCAACATCAGGAATGATTCACCATCATATACAGCGTGGTGCATCGTGAATTGAGCAAAGGCTCTACCCGTAGCTGGCTTAGTTATGAGGACTCGAAGAGGCACCCTTGATTGAATGTTATCGACAACATCCTTCTCCAAATCCTTCTTTTTTGAGTCAAGGTAAGCTATGGCTGATGCTTCTGATTCACTTTGGTGTGTTTGTATAGCGTCAGTCTTCTCCAAAACAACTTGAGCCACTGCAGCTTCACCGAAAAAAAAGCAGGTGCGCAAAATTTCATTGGCTGCTATGGTCTTATCAATCGCTTCGGTAAATTGATCGATGACCACCCCACTATCCAGCTTAAACGTAAAATGGTTGACGTAGACGGGTTCAGCAGAGTTGAGAGTACGTGCGACCAAACCTTCTTGAAGCGGAAGACACGGTCTGACAGCTTCTAAGGTATCTCCAAAAGCGGCTCTTATCGACTTTTCGAAGCCTTCGTCAAGTTTCCGCACAGCTGAACTGTCTTTATTGCCGTCAGAGGAAGTGCTGTCGGCGAGCTTGGCAAGCTTCTCCACAGATGGACCAGATAAGACGACATGTGGTGGCACTGCAAGGCCTTTTGACTTCAAAAGAAAGCTGAGTGAGATGGCTGATAGTGAGTCAACACCCAATTCCAGTGTGGTAGTTGATGAACTGATCGTATCCATGCCAACACCAGTCTGCTCACTGAGTGCAATAGCGATGATCTTCTCTTCAGCTGTAAGCGCACGCCGATTGTCTGTTGCCATTTCTGCACTTTTTTTCACCATGTTGCGAAGCGGCACTTGAGTGAATAATCTTCTAAGAATTTTCTCGTTCGTATGTCCATTGCTGGCGTCACATATTGGTAAGAAGGTCATTGGAAGAATAATGTCAGGTCTAGCCCCATATCCGAGCTTCTCTGCGCACGATTGGGTGAGAGATCTCGCAAATGATTCATCTTGTGCGTCAATATCAGTAGTTGATCCATCGAGTGGATCATAGTTGTACGCGCGAGCAACAAATGCGACAATGTCTGGTTGCATGCTTTCTGGATGTTGCAGGACCATCGCTTGAGAAACAATGTTTTGTCGAGAAACAGATTCGACATTGCGCGAGACTTTTTCAAGATTAATTTGGATGTCTCTGTAGTTGACAATATCGCCCACTTTACGCTCCAACAAGACGCTATCGCTGCTGATCATTCTAGCTACCAATCCTGAACGTATGTACTCCCCTTCATCGCTAAAGGCGCAAAGCTCTCCTGCTTCAGCGAGAATGGCGACTTCTCTGGAGCAAAACCTTGCAATGCATGTCTTAATAAGTGGCTGGTCATAGACATTTGGCTGTTCACTATTGTAATGTGACAAGAATGCAACAGATGAGGCGTGTGGAATTGCCAACGTTTTCCAAACATAGGCATCCATCCATGACTCATGGAGCGCTTTTGATGATATGTGACCAGTTAAAATGATGTGTTTGAGTTGAGGTAACTCCGATCTTACGATACAATCCTTCTCAAACCATGCAGCCGTGAGGAAGGCATGAGTAATCTGTGCCGCTTGAAGTGAAGCTCTGGCATTGTTTCTCAGATCTTCCACGCGTTTGCACACTATTTTAGAGCCCATTATAAGCGGTACTAATGTCTCCAAAATGTGAAGATCAAATGCTGAGAATTTGTCAGCCGGTAGTCTATCAGGCTGAGAGTCACTCACTGCCAGGAAGCCAATTCAAAAATGTTGAAGCATTTGAATCTGTCTTCAACCGATCTGAGGCCAAAGAAGCGTGATTGAAAAGTTGCTCGGTTGACCAGACAGAGTAGTCGTGCATGTCGAGCTGACCATTTGCAATAGTGATAGCAGCACGTTCAGTAAGACGCGTCTCTGTTGTATCACTGGAAATTTTGGCAAGATTTTCTACGTAACTCTTCTCGTCAACAAAAACAACCTTTTCGTTATCGAGTAAGGCGAAATCTTCCGCGTACTTCCTGATAGTGTAAACGATGTCTGCCTTGAACGAGCGTGCTATAAGTCTCTTGCGATTTGCAGGCAAGTTCTCACCAACGGCTATGTATGTTTTGCTAGCTTTGAAGATACCAAGCCTATGAACGATTGATTCATGTGAAGGTGGAATGCACAAGGCAACAACTTCAACCGCGGATGTTAGCGAATTGGAAACTCTGTTGGATTGACTATCAAGCTCCTTAAAGGAGAGTGTACCAGTATCCGAAGTGACAGCTACCTCTTCCGGACGTTGTTGGACGTTGCGAGACAAAGTAACGAGAGGATTAATTGTAGCATCGGCGACCTTACTATGTGCTTTGGCGATGAGAGCCTCGTCGATCTTTCCAACAAGACTTGAGACTGGCTCATCGGCATGTTCACTCATTGCGTTCACCAATGCTTGCATTTGCTTTGAAAGAAGCTCAACTTGCTCCTCTGACCTGATTGACTTGTTAGCGGTCAAACGGAATATAACAGATAACCCACATAAGTAAATTACTTCCAAGAATGTCAATTTGAACGCTATCACCTCTGATAAAAGCGTTGATGGCGACAGGGTGCTCAACATCAAGCTCTCCTATCTCAAAGTTATCTTTGAACAAATCACCTTTGGTTTCCTCTCCTGACTCAACGATGAGAACAAACAGTGCGGGGAAGAGAGGAGCGCCAGAAGCACATTTGAGAGCTTGACGCACGTGCTGAAGACCAACGAACTTGTGTGGAGAACTAGCGGAGGCTAACGTGGACAAATTATCCATCAACTGTCTAGCTGATGCGTTTTTGTCAACTTTGAGTGCAACTGGAAGAGTAGCAATCATTGGAGCCACAACGCTTTCCAAACCTGGAGCTAGACCGCGCAAGCTGAGAGTCTCGCCGAAAATAACATCCTCGGTTGATGTGTACCTTGACTGGAGAACAGCCCAGGCTGCTTGAAGCAGCTGGTTGATGTTTGCACGCTTGACGTCACTAAATCCCTTCGTCCAGAATCTTTGAGAGCGTTGAGAGTTGTCGTTGTGCAAAACAGGCCACTCTGTATTGCTTGTCTCAGCAAATGGCTCCAAAACCTTGTTCCAGAACTGCTTGGTAGTGTTTACGTCTGTGTTTATAACTGACATCGCGTCCTTCAGTGATGTGCGAGTGGCTTTATACTTTCGCATGTATGCATTTTCAACATCCTGGTAAATGAATTTGAGCGCGTCTCCATCGTAGATTGCGTGGTGAAGTGACGTCATGAGATAGCGACTGCCATCTGCCTTGGTTGCAAGCGTGAGAGCAACAGGCGGCTGATGTGAGCCTGACAAGGAGCTGACAATGTTACGGACACGCTCTTCAAGGATTTTCTCGCTGTCAAACCTGACTCTATCGAGAGCGAGCTTCGATGTAGAGTGTATGCATTGGGCGAAGACGGTGTCTTTCACACCATATGTGGCAGCTGGAATAAACGAGGTTCTCAAAGCCTGCGTGCTTTCTGCCACAGTCTTCCAGGCTCCGTAAAGAGCATCCACATCCACTTTGCTGGACAATTTGAAGACTTGATGCGACCAGTACGCAGCAGGGTTCTTGATGGTCTCACCAAGCATACCTTCCTGTGTCGGGGTGCATGGAAGAACGAAATCTACATCGGCAATGTCTTTTCTAACACTACCAATCAAGCTTTCGTTAAAGGTTTGCATCCACTTTGGTGTCTCAGTGACCATCTGATTCGATTCTGCTTTTGTAATGGCTTTGCTGAGTTGCTTTATGGTAGGAAATGCTGCTATCTGGCTCACTGCGGCGTTGACACCTGCATTACGGAGCTTGGAAGCGAGCTGCAGGGAGCGAATCTAGGGAAGTGGTCAAAATGATTCGCTTCATCATTATTCACTCACGGAATCAACACCGAGCGCTGGTAAGTGCGAGGACTTGGAGATGCTGTCCACGGCGACGTTTGTCAGTCTAGCAGTAACTTGACGAATAATCTGCTCCATTTCACTCCAAAATCCATCATCACCATCATCAAGACCGCTTAGGCGGCTTTCCCAGTCTGCAATTTCAACTTGCTCGTAATATCTTGCCAGCATCTTCCTGTCGATCTTGTTCGAAGGGGTGTGAGGGAGGTGTGTTAGAACCAGTATTACATTGGGAATCATGTAAGCTGGAAGGCTAGACTCTGCACGCTCCTTGCAAGCGGCAGCCACTGTCAACGCGTCGCTATCCGTGCGCAGTCCATCCTCTTTCTCGCCCTTGAGTGCGGGGGCGGCAACGAATGTACACACGACCTTTTGCGGTCTATCGTGTCTTGACAATTGGAATGTTGTAGTCTCGCGAGCTAGCTCGTGGCAGTTGCCCAAGGCAGCACTGATTTCAGAAAGCTCAACTCTAATACCACCAAGCTTGACGAGATCGTCATTACGACCAACGAATTCACAGCTACCATCGTGCAACAAACGCACAACATCGCCAGTGAGATACACTCGGCCAGCTTGTGGATGGTTGACAAACTTCTTGTTCGTCTGATCGGTATTGCGATGATATCCACGGGCATTTTGGAAGCCGCCCAAAGCTAACTCACCAACAGCACCCCTCAGCAGAATTCTATCGTCCTGTATAACAAAACATGAGACGGTCGAGAGTGGAAGACCAACGTTGTGAGCTTTGGTGACTTCATTTGGAGTGAAACGGCGGTATGTTGCAATGATAGTTGATTCTGCAGGCCCGTACGTGTTGAGCGACACAGTGTCTTCCCTGCACCACGCATTTGCGACAGGCTGGGGGAGTTTTTCACCGATGCTAATGAGCGACTCAAGCGAGCTGCAGTTCTGGAGCGACGACTGAGCCATGAAGGCCGGTGTGAGAAAGGCGTGGGTGGCTGCAAACCCTCTGACGAGCTCTTCAAATGATCCGACGAGGTTGTCGCGAGTAGATGAACAGAGTGTGCCGCAAGTCTTGCCAAGTGCGTAGAAGACGTCAAGTACGGAAACATCAAAGGTATATGCGGAGAAGTTGAGACAGCGGATATGTGTGTCTTTCTTCCATGGTATTTCCTCTTGCAAGACTGTCAAGCTTTGCACAGCGGCAAAGTGCTCAATTGGAACACCCTTTGGTGCGCCAGTGGTACCTGATGTCCATATCAAGTACGCTAAATGATTAGGTTTGGTGCATATGGCGGGTTTGCTAGACGGCTGCTTGCTATAAATGACATCTGCAAAAGAGCTGACCGTGATCTTGTCTTGAACGATCTTGCTGACTAGAGCCTTGTTCTCTTCATCCCGAACGAGAACAACAGGACCGCCAGCACGCTCAAACAGATCCTTCTTTCTGAGCGCTGGAGCAGCAGTGTCAATAGGGCACCATGCACCACCAGCCTGTACGAGCATTAGCAACATGGTCATAAACACACGCAACACACCTTCACGATACCGAGAATAGCCATGAACATCTCGGGAGTTTTTTCTATATGGATGGGGATGGGCGTGTCAGTGAGATCGCCGTAAGTTGAGGTAAGGTAGTTCGCGACTCTGTTAGCACGAGCGTCCAGCTCGGCATACGTCCATCTGATATCTTTGGAAGCGTCCAATGGGTCTGGTTTGAACCACAAAGCGAGCGATTGAGGGTAGTCTTTTGCATTTCTCTCAAATTGGTGGTGGATAAGTTCCGCTTCAACGCCTTCGATACGGATAGGGTATGGGTTGACAGCGGACGCGAGAGAGTGGCTTACATCCACGGCGATATCTTTAAACTTTCTATCGAGATCGCCTTCAAGGATGCTCGATAGAATGTCATCGAATTGCCTCAGCATCATAGCAGACGACTCCTCGACCAAGACGTTATTGGAGCATGTAGCTCTCAACCTAATAGTATCGTTTGGATCAGGCCAAATTTCCAAAACGACAGCGAACTCTGTAACCATAGGAGGATATTCCGAGTGCGTCCAGAGCTCTGTCTGGGATGCGCCTTGAGCGAATTGCTGCAATGCAATGGTAGTGTCGTAGATGATACCGTTGTCACCACTAAGAATCTTTGGTGGCAAGTGTCGGTGTACCAAGCCCTCAGCATTGCTTCTAACTAAAGACTTGAGCACGCCGCCTACACTGTCATCATTCGGATTAGTCACACGAATAGGCGAAGCTGTAAACACAGGGCCGACGGTATGCTCGAGTTGGTCCGTCGTTCTGCCACCGACGATGCTACCGAATACAATGTCGTCGGCGTCAGACTCCGAGTACGCCAACAAGATGCTTGACCAGGCAGCCTGCACGATCGAGAGTGGTGATAGCTTAAGCTCGCGTGCCTTCTGGAGAAATGAGCTATGAGAGAGTTTGGACGTGACATTCGAGACGTGATGGCCTGTTTTCTTTGCGTCCTGCCTCAATCCTGTAAGATCTGGGAACGGGTCTGAGGTAAAGTTGCTTAGCTTTCCACCCCAGTATTCAGCATTAGCCTGTGCGTCAGCGGTGAAGACATCCACAAGCGCATGAACAAATCCCTCTCTGGGTACTTCTGCATACGGATCACGGTAGAGTGTAGCAAGCTCGTCGAGCATCAAAGCAAGCGAAGCACCGTCTGTTGATTTGTGAGTGGTTGACATTACCAAGATAGCTATCGACACCTACCAAACAGTGCGTGATGAAGACTGACAACGAGTTTCTTCGATTTGGAGTCGGAGTAGATCGCGCCGCTTTGCGTTCTCTCCAATAGTGAGAACTTGACTGAAGCAGTATCAATGTGTTGCTGGACTAGTTGATCGACATCACCTCCTTCGACCTCGTCGAATGTTGTTATAGGGTCAACAGGTACAACCACCTGTGCGAATGCGCTGATGTGGCTGTTGTCGATGAGCACAAAGCGGGTGCGTAGAATTTCATGTCGTCTCACGAGCTCGCACCAGGCATTGCGAAGCCTCTCACTATCCACACCCTCTTTCAGGGTGTAAACGGAGTGGTTGATGTACCCTGTGCCCGTCTTGGAGTACAATGCAAGTAAGCCCGTCTGCATTGTTGTCGCAGGTCTGATAGCTTCAGGCTGTGCCCCAAGCGCCTCTTCGACAATTGGGAGTGCTTGGCTGCGAAACTCCTCCTCTATATCTTCATATACGGCCTGTCTGTTGTCATTTTCGCCGAAGCCCTCCTCCGTTCTCTGGAATGCAATGTTTGCTAGCGCAGCAGGAGACAGACCTTTAATGACATCTTCGATTGTAATGGCGAGTAGACCCTCTTCACGAGCCAAACTAAGAAAACGAACACCCCTCAGCGAGTCAATACCCAAGGCTAGGAGTGTGAGGTTCGCATCTATTTCCTTCTCCTCTAACCCCACTGTCTTTGAAATGCAACTGAGGACTTTGTCGAGTGTTGGGGTATCGAGAATATGAACAGCCTCTACAGGCTGCTCTTCAGCAGTGCTAGTAGCACCTACGACATAGCCCTCGCTTATGTGATCCTTCACATATTTAGCGATCGCCTTTCTATCAGCCTTCCCGGCTGTAGAGCGAGGTATATCATCGGCAAACAAGTAAGCTTGTGGACGCATGTGCGCTGGAAGATGTTTTTCTGCACTCTCCGCACATCTCCCTACCAGCGATGTGGAGTGTGGTGTCACATAAGCGCACAGCTGGCCTTCTGGTTGGATGACGACAGTGTGGACAGAGCGAAGACCGGGAGTGTTGGAAAGAATAGAGTCAATTTCACCCAGCTCAACACGCCTTCCGTTCAGCTTGACTTGCTCCAATCCCATACGACCAAGGTACTCAACGTTGTTCCACTGATTCTTCTCGTCTAGCACAACGCGAGCCTTGTCGCCTGTTCTATACAGCCTGCCGAGACCTTGAACATTAATAAAAGCCTTTTCTGTCTGTTCGGCCATTTTTAAGTATCCTTTCGCCAGCTGAGGTCCGCCAATAGCGAGCTCGCCCGAGAATCCCATTGGCATGACCTTGTTGAGGGTTGGGTGAAGAATGAGCAGAGAAGCTGTATCAATTGGAGGACCTAGCTTTGCACCTGACTGTTCGGATGGATGTTTACGGAGGGTTACGTTGATCGCTGCTTCGGTCGGTCCGTATGCGTTGTACAGCGAGTTGCCGGGGCGGGTGAAGTTGCTAATCACCCTATCTGACAGCTTCTCACCCATGGTCCACAGCTCAAACCCGTCCGGCAGTTTGTCTGGGTTGAAAAGGCCAGCAATTGAAGGTGTGGCCATCATGTGTGTGCAACGGAGCTTTGACACGACTAACTCGGGGTTGGTGAGAAATTCTGCGCGCGGAGAAGCACATATAGTGCTTCCAGAGCTGAGAGACATGAAAGTCTCCATGATGGACTGCATTGTGTCAGAGTTGCGGGTGTGTTGATATCAATAGTGAGACTTACAGGATCGAACGTCGACGGAGCGAATTGGAACCATCTTACCTTATTGTCGAGTGGCCTGACGGCTAAGTGAGATTGTATCGATGCTGCTGCTGCTGAATGCTGTATTTGGACACCTTTAGGTTTGCCTGTTGAGCCAGAAGTGAAGAGAACGTATGCAACGTCGTCTGGGGTCGCTTGTTGGGGTGCGTCGACAGCCAAACACTCTCTACTCAAGTACTCGACCATAAAAGCAGAGACATCGATGTATTGGGTGTCTCGCTTAATCCAAGCATCACGCTCACCCAAGCCGAGTACGACGGATGCATCCAAATCATCTAGTAATCCAAGCTGCCTTTCTACAGGCGCTTGTAGATCGAATGGGCTGAATGCATTGGCTGATTTCAGTGCAGCCAAGTACCCAATGTATAGTTCCAGCGAAGGTGGGAGAAGGAGAGGAACAACAGCACGGGTGCAAGGTATTTGCACAGCCAAAGCACTTGATAAGCTGTCTAGCTGAGCGTAGGTGAGTGTAGATCCGTTGAAATCCACAGCGACGCAATCTGCGTGCATCTTGGATTGAGTGATGAAATCTGAGTGAAGTAATTTATCAATCGGAGGTTTGCTTGGTGGGTGATTGAGTTTTGAAAGCGGGAGATCATCGTCGTTGTTGATAAAGAAGCGTTTGAGGGTGTGAGCGAGTTCTTGGCTGATACGATGCTTCATGGTAACATGGCCGTTGTTGATTGTGATGCGGAATAGATAGTCATCGCAGCTCGACTCGTAATCCTCATGCAGCTGGAAATCTTGGTGGGTGAATGGGGACACCTCGACGCTGCCATCGGCGCAAGAGATTGTACTGCCGTTGTGCTCGTAAGTAAATTCATCATCGCACAGGAATTCTTTCAGTAATGTTTGAAATCTTTCCATTTTTTTGGTGGTTCGGGAGAAGAAAATGATTAGATTGATTATCTCGATAAAGATCTCAGGATAACGATCTCAGGCACCAAAAACTTTATCGGCGAGGAATTTTTAGGTGAGCAGGTGGATTGAGTGGCACTGACTCTTTCAACACATCTAGCCTTTTAATTGCCGTAGATCGCGATTTTCGCGCTTTCGTCCGAAGATCAGATTGGGGGATAATCAAGTGCATGAGGCGAGCAATAAACAAATTGGTAAGCGCTCTTTCTAGATGAGAGCAAGTGGCTTGGACGGTGTCAGCGTTTTTTCTAATACATGCCCAATGCTCACGCTACAAGAGAGTCCGATTAAACCGTCTTCCTCAACACCGTCACCTGTGAGTCACTGTTAGCTGACGTGTACTTCAACAACCCCCCCTCTTACAGCAGACTGGCGTGTTCTTGCACTCATCCTCAATCGCAATTGCAAGAATTGGGATTTGGAGACACTGTAAAGCAACTTGGTCGAGGATGTTTCCAAGGGCGAGCAGAGAGTCTTGTTCGCCGGTGCTTTTCTGCGAGTCTTTGGAGGTGTTGCAACAGCTGATTTCACCTGTATTGCAAGAACCGGTTTTTGATGTCCACTCACTGGCGACTAAACCGGTAAGGGCGAGAAAGACTGCTGTAGTTTGTATCATTTTGGATGACTGTATAAGATAAAGACTCCTTTGCTCCATTCAGCGTTATTTATTTCTCCCATAAACCCCGATTCATTCATTCCTCGGTGGGTCATACGAGCGGGATGGGAAATGAAGCCCAAATAATGTAGATACATTACGAATATGCATGGATCATCTCAATTCAACTGCCCGACTCAAGTCAACTACACATAAGAGTCGCGAAGCTCAAATTGATTACAGACACACAAACACGTTAACGAAAGCAATATTAAGGTATTAGGTACATCGAAAAACGCTTTACTATTCGTTGTGATCGCTTAGATGACGGAGAGCGGAGTGCAGTTAACACCGACGAGGCCGTCTGACTCCATGTCTTCACAACAGACAGGGGTATTCTTGCACTCATCTGCAGAGTCATGTTAAACTAAAATAGTCGTGAACAAGCTTACTTACCTTCCACAGCAACTCCAATCAAAAGTGGAACTTGGTCGCAGTTGAGGCCGACTTGGGAGGCGATGTCGCCGGTTGAGATGAGGGCGTCGTTCTTGCCGGTGCTCTCTTGGGCGTCCTTGTTCAAGGAGCCTTGGCAGTGTGAGATGGTATCAAGCTACATATTCTCATACTTACAACAACTGATAGTGCCAGTGTTACATGAGCCGGTCTTGGATTCCCAGCCAGCTGAAACAGAGGCGATGAGGGCGGTGGCGAAGACAGTTTGAGCGATCATTGTGAGTTGAAGTGGAATTGGTGTTGTAGAATAAAAGGTTGGACAGCGCTCACTTTTTATACCCCAGCTAAGATACTAAATTAAAGGCGCACTAAAGACGTACTAAAATGTAGATGAAAATTTAGCCGAAGAATGAATGAAATCAAGGAGGAATGAAGAAAGAATGAAGAAGAGATATGAATAAAGATGTATTTCCGCGCCAGGTATAACAAACGAAGCTGTTGAACCTACTTACATTTCTACGAACGGTAGCTGGAGTTTTGTTAGTTGATAGGTGAGACAGTCGCAAGCACATCACCCACTCTCCATTAATAGTAACATCTTGCTATAGTTAGCATGTCTGTAGCTTAGTATATACGTAATACACTCACATTCCTGCATTGTCGACGTTAGCAAGAGCAACAAATACCTAAAGCACACCACTCACATGAGACAAATCGCAAGTCCAGTACCTAGCCGTCTCCTCACCGATGCACAAATCGATGTGAATATCTAAATCTTCCATCTTGAGCACCTCCGCGGCTCTAGCCTCATCGACGGTCTCGGGTTCGCCGTTTGTGAGAAGGCGAACATCTGGTGAACCGTCTGTCGGTCTGAATTTCACTGTGACTTTAGAAGGATCGATTGGAGGATCAGATGACTGCGAGGGTATTCCAGAAAGGGGTGCGTAACCCACGGCGCAGAGGATTCTACCCCAATTAGCGTCTTGGCCGTAAAGGGCAGTTTTCACAAGGGAGGAAGTAGCGACGGAGCGCGCAACTTGTCTAGCCAAACTGTATGATGGCGCATTATCGACGTTGACGGCGACGAACTTGGTGGCACCTTCGCCATCTCTGACGACGAGCTGTGCGAGATCTATAGCGAAGTCAGTCAGCTGCGTTTGAAACGAGATTAGGTCATCGCCGCTGAGCTTTTCACCGCCCTCGGCTCCATTAGCGAAAGCGAGGACAGTGTCGTTGGTCGACATGTCCCCGTCTACTGAGATAGAGTTAAACGAGCGGTCAACGACATGATCGAGTGTTTGCTGGAGGTCTGTGCTGGAGACGGGAGCATCGGTGGCTATTACACCGAGTAGAGTACCGTGTGGTAATCTAGATATTGTGCTAGGTGGACCCATATGCGGATGGATCATACCCGCACCTTTATCGATACCAGCCACTCGCACGCTTCTGCCGCTTGGGAGACGCAATAGACTAGCGCGCAGCTTAGGGAAAGTATCAGTGGTCATGAATGAGCGTGCTAGATCCATCCAGCTGTGCTCGTCTTCTCTCGTGGCGTGGAAAAGAGGTGCTATGCTACCAGTGATGCGTTTTATAGGAAGCAGTTGTCCTATAACGCCTGTACTCATAACGAGTGTGCTGTTATCCCGCCCTAGCTGATCATTAACGGCGGTTGTCATCGCCTGTGCATCAATCATCCCCTGCTTCCCCGTCACCGCATTTGCACAGCCAGAATTCACAATCAGCGCAGAAGCACCGCCAGAGGATCTATGCTGTACCTCGCTCGACCAGACAACCGGCGCCGCTTTGAAAATATTCTGCGTAAACGATGCGGCCGATACGCAGCCTGCGGAGGATGATTGAAGGATGCCGAGATCGAAAGCGCCGTTCTTCTTTATTCCACAATGGAGGGCACCGGCTTTAAATGCCCGCGGAAGAGAATCCCGGGAAATTGAATGAATCAACTTTGCTTTGTTTGGTAAATGACTCATGGAAGTATATATAAAGTAAATATGAAACAATTAAATTAAATTATTTTAAGTAAAATTATCATGGAATTCTAATGAGTGTGTTTATAGTGAGTGTTTTACTGTGGATACTTGAACGCGTATTTTGAGCGCTCTCTCAGTTTGGCTCCGTTGTAGTAGAACCAAAATGGTACAGCGCATAATACTGTAGCTATTGCTGCTAGCAATGTGCAAGCATACTGAATTTGCATACCAGTAAACATTTGGTCAACGAACTTTTATCTTTGTTAGTGAAAATCTTCTCTCTATCTATTTTACACTCACCAGTGGGCATACTGCACCAACTATTGACCGCGTTATAGTGTTGGCTGCGAGCGCTGATGCTGAGAATGTGACATAAGTCGACGCGAGATAATTAAGGAATGACATGAATATCATCACGATTCCGAATCCCAGTGGGATTCCAGCTGCCATTGGTGCTTGCCAAGGGATCGACTCTTTATATCCGGTCCATCCAAGCCACCATAATCCAATAGCAAATGCGAATGATCCAACGTGTAGTGTTGGCTCTAGACGCATCTCAACTGGTGGTAGCTTCTTTGTCTCCCTAGCCACCCTCTGGTATCGCCTATCATAAAGGATAACAACGATGAGGAAGAATCCAATTCCGATTGCAATAGAGATGAATGATAATCCTGAAATACCAACAGAGAAGCCTTGCACGCCTCTGAAAATAAGCGGAAAGGCTTCAAATGTCATGTAAAGTACTCCATATACGATAGAGATGTAGATTGAACTGAAGATAACGATTGGTTCGGTTACTTGCAAGCGTAGTGGTCTAGTCAATGACGTCTTCAAAAGCTGTCCAATAGGTGGACGATTCTTCTCTGAAGCGCAGTAGTACCGCATGTCACCAGTTTCCTTACGCAGCTTCTTTGCACGCCTCTCTATGATAGTTGGGCCATAAGTTTCCGGAAGAAAGAAAATAACAAAACAGAGACAGGTAAATCCAAAGATTAGACACGTGTAGTAGGTCCACTGCCAGCCTCTCGAGCTACCAACATCACCATACTGCGCTTCGAAACCACCAAGGATTGGACCGAGGACGGGACCGAGGAAGGGTGAACAAGCAAACGTGGCTAAAGGAATACCAAGCTTGTCGAGAGGCCAAATATCAGTAACGACACCACCGGAATTAGTAAGTGGACTAGCTGCAGCTGTGCCCGTGATGAGTCTGCAAATAAGCAAACACGTAATGTTCGGAGCGAGTGCGCAACCAATGGTGACAGTAGTGTAAACAAAGAGAGTAATAATGAAAATGGGTTTCCTACCCCAGATTTCACTAACCGGCGCCCAGAAAGAAGGACCAACGACGTAACCAAAGAGGAAGAGGGTGATTTGTACTGTAGCAGTTTCCTGGGACACGCCAAACTCCTGCATGACGTTTTGCAAGGCTGAGGAAGGGATACTGGAGGCGAGGGTGCTGTTAAGGATGAGGACGGAACTGAGCATGGTGCAATGCCACTTGTACCAAGTCTTCCAGTTCTTTGGGTTGTCAGGATCACCTGGCGTGAACTCAACAAAGAAAGGATCCTTCTCATCCTTGTTTTGTACAGCAGCCGAGTCATTTACAGCCTTTTCGTCACCTTTTTCGACGTCCTCCTCACGGCGTTCGATGACAGAAGCGCGTGTGGGAGAGTTGTTTTTAGTGTCTGTCGTGGCTGCAGCGTCTACATTGTCTACATTGTCTGCATTGTCTGCAGGGTTATTCAACAACGTGCCGTGTTCAGAATCTGGCATTTGATGCTTGGGCTTGAGGGAACTGGCACGCTTTGAGATATGATTTGAGACGCTGTCCGCTAAATTAATATGTGATGAACGTCCAAGGCATTCCTTACTTCAAGCTCGCCTTACGTTTAGGTACATTCTGCGGCGCTGAAAACGATGCACGGGAAGCATGTGATCCCGGATATTTAATTTCGCTCACTCCTGATAACGTCGAAGGCCGGCGCTGTACCTCGTTTGAGAAATCAACAAAGTCCATCCGGATTTTTGGTTTGCCTGTGACTTTGGCTGTCGCTGTGGCTGAGGCGGTACAAACGTCTTTGCCAGCCTCGGCCAGTGAAAATTTCTGTTGATCGTCGGCTAAATTAAAATAATATTTCAATTTTTATACAAGCTATTTTAAGTTATAAATTCTGTTTCCTGCACATTCCGCGCACATTCCTCCAATGCCGATGCCGAACCGGTGTTCCGGGTATGTGATGTTTCATTCGACATTGAACTGCGTATTTCAATCAATTTTAATTTTTTAATTTACACTCTTTCCACTTTATTTGCTAATTTTTTTCTTTCCTAGCCTTTCTAGCCCTTCTTATCCAGAGAATGGCTGACGGCTAAGCATCGCGCGGCGTGAGGCGACACTTGGTCCCGGGAATGTATAGCCCGAATCGAGCGAATAAATGTTGTTAAGAGCGATACTTTCTTCAACGTCGGCGTCTGAATATCCAGGCGGGAATGAAATCGTCTCGCCACTCAATCCACTTCCACCGCCTGCAATTTCAATAGTGCTGCAGCTAGGATAAAGTTCTTGTGGAATAGATCCGAGGTTATCAATCTCATTTCTAATCAAGTACGTTCCATCCGCCGTACTCGTTGGGATTGTTGCTGACACGGGATTCCCATTCGTCAGCTTCTCCTGCTCCCATGTGCCATCGTCATCAGTGATTCCCTTCTCGTCGATTTTGTAAAAGTCAATTGAGTTTGGATCACATGAAGACCCTGAGCATTTGCCGAGGTACGTGATAACCGGACCTTTCTGTTTTTCTTTAGTAACTATGTCTTACTCTTACTAACGCGTTATAACTCACGGTATGTGGCCAGGAAGAACTCCAAGTGAACTCGACTGTGTCCCCAGCAGTAGCAGAAGCAGAGGAGCTAGGTGCTGTCGCTCCAGGTCCACATGCCAGATCAGCGTTGCCCATATTGTTAGTCGTCGCTGCTGGCCCATTGTTGTCCACTTGCCATACAGGCTCTGTTCCAAAGTCTTGCCCACCAATTACTAATTTTTCGACCACTCCATGCGCGGTTACAGGCAGCGCGAGTGCGGCGACCAGCGCAGCGACTGAGATTGAAGACTTGTTGAACATCTTTTTTCTGTGTGGTGTGTGGGTGTGTGTGGATGAGTTTACGTGGTATTTGATCAACATTTTAACTTTGGAATGCTCCATTTATAGCCCACTAGTCTCCTTCTGCATTTGGCAATTCCTGCTTTCCTATTAGGTAATGGCTGCGACTATGACCTAAATCCGTGGATTGTACCTACGGCATTCAGTTAAGCGCAGTTAAGTTGCCCGTGGCTGTGCCGTGGTTGATTATAAAATTTTCAACCTCATGCCATGTTTATTAATACAAATTCGCGTGCTTGGGTGCTGCGTGGTGGCTTTTTTTGATAAATAGTATAAGTTTGTTTTGTTTATTTGTTATATTGTTTTTTTTTTTTTTGCAAGATGAGACTTGTCCTACACCTTGGCCACACCTCTCCGGAGTTTGTTGAGCGAGTTGATGAAACTGGTGCGCGAGTTGGTAGGAGTGGAGTAGGTGGCCTTGGAGTGTGGAGGTGGGCCTTGGTCGAGGTCTTGAGAGGGTTGATGTGGTGTGTCTGCAACTGTATCAGAAACAGCAACATCAGCACCAGCACTCTCAAAAGCACTCTCAGCAGCACTCTCAGTGGCACTCCCATCAACACTCTCAGCAACGTCGCCCTTCTGTTGCTGTCTCGCTTCAAACTGAGCCATATGGGATTTGGATATGTGGATAGTGAGTGATGACGGTGGTATGTATATCTTAGACGTCCGCGTGTACTTGTTACCCAGGTCATCTGCTATGACATACAGATAGAGGTCGTCATCATTACGCAGTCCGCCAGAGCGCTTCATGTACCTCCTCTTGGCACTCTCAGCGACCCTGATAGCTGTTTGCACGGCCGCGGATTCGGGTGCGTGGAGGGTTATGAAAGAGTTCTGGTCAAGCATGGCCATTGTGTTGCGTACCTGCGCTTCGAAATCGAAATCCGGGGTGATGCTGAGGGTGTTTGAGGAGGGTGTTTGATTGGTGGGAGTAGGTGGAGTAGAGTTAGGCGGTATACTTACGACGTCATCGTTGCTGATATCGATAAAAGTGAAAATTGAGCAAAAAAGTACAATTTCAAGCCCGCGTATGTCGTCAATGTCCATGCGGGCTATATTGTAGTCTAAAATGGTGAAAGTGGCAGGAGACTTCCTACTGCGAGGAGTGAACTTGGCTATTTCGATGCTGGGATCTGGTTTGCGCATCAGGGAGCAGTATATCGAACCGAGAAGACCCTTGTGCCATTGTAGGTGGTGTCCCTCGAAACGGGCTGACCACTCAAAACTGATAGTACCCGTGTATTCCAGTTCCACTTGACTTTCTGGCTGGTAGAGATTTATAGTCTTCTTCTTGGCTGCTGGACCTGTCTCTGTTATTACATCTGCCAGATGAGAATTGCTGAGTGCGTCCTTCAACGCAAACGCATACTCGCTGGTACACTTGGCCAGCACTCTAACATAGAGCGCTGTTCCCGATTCATGGGAAATATCCGTGTATTTGAAATTCTTGTCCTCCACTCCGCTCCTCAGATGCGTCGTGTAGATGCTCTTGCTCCTGCTCATCGTCGATCGAGTTGAAGGGGCGCTGTGCGGTGCCGAGTGATGCTGTGCAGTGGGGAAACAATTTCATTTTAAATTATAATTCCTGGTTTTTGTTTGTGTTGCTGCTGCTTACCGCTGGCTGCTACTGCTGTATCTACAACTCCTTCTCATCCCAAACCACCATGTCTTTCTCAGATAAAGACAAAAACTGGGACGATGGCCTCGACGACGCTGAGGCTGAGATGGACGAAGACAGCGTGGGTGTATTCTTGTTCTTATCTCTTGTTCTTATCTCTTATTCTTATCTCGTGTTCTTATATCATCTCCCAGCAATCCACAAGAGATGCAAGCATATTCGTCGTCGACGTCGCCGGCGGGATGCTCGACTACCCGCCCAGTGAAATTCCCAGCGACAGAGTCGAAGAAGAACTCCCACTTCTCCACCGCACGCTCAACGCCATCTTGAAATGCCTCAAGAGGAAGGCATTCAACTCCCCGAATGATTTCGTTGGAATCGCCTTGTACAACACCCAGCACACACAATCTGACAAAGATGCCTCCGACGTGAGAGAGCATGTCTACTGCTTCCAGCCAATCGAGCAGCTCAACGGTAACAACATACGCAAGCTCAAGAAGCTTGTTGATAGTGCGTGGCGGTGTTCATTACAGCGTTTTTTAAACATTCCCCTCACAGGCGCCCACGACGATCCTGATCTCTTATCGCGCAAATTCAAACCAGCTACTTTCCAAGGCAGTCGCACTAGCATGCCTATTGGGAACCTGTATATGAGCTGCAATCGATTCTTCAGAAACAAGTGCGTCTTATGTCGTCATCGGCTCACACTTATCAAAGTCACAGCCCCCACACAAAGTCAGCCACTAAGCGCATTTTTCACGTCACTTGCAATGACCAGCCTAACAAAGGCGCTCCTTCAGAATGGCTCACTGCGACACAAACAAACGCCAACGTGGGTGGATTGGTCGTAGCACTAGCACCTAACACACCTTCTAAATCCCTCACAGGACCTCAAAGAAGCTGGAATTTACATTGAGCCCTTCTTTATAGCTCCTCCTCAGCCCAACTTTGACACACCGACTTGTTTCGATGCCAGCTTCTTCTACACGCAAGTCCTCCCCAAGACAGATTCAGACTCATACTCCAATGAGAATCTCCCCAACTTCTCTATGGTCCAAGGACTGGCCAAGTTCAACACGCTCGAGGAAAAATTGAAGAAGCTGGAGACGCCAAAACGCACATCATTCACGCACAAGTTCGAACTGGGCGCGAATTTGACCATCTCCGTCAAAGGCTATCGCACCGTCGTTGACCAAAAGTACTTCCCTTATGTGTTAGTAGCGGAGAATAAACACGGCGAGCTCGAGCTGACTGAGAAAGAGACTCGACTGAAGAATAATCTCGATGAGTCAGTGGAGCGATCAGAAACAAATAGAGGGTTTATTATTGGCGACAAGAGCAGCAATCCGGTTGTGGTGGGTGATTTGTAAGAGAGGTTGTTTATTCGCCCCACTAACATAAACAAACACATCAACAGGTCACATGCGACACTAAGGCATACAACAGTCTACGCTCGTTTGACCTCCCCGTAGGAATGAAGCTGCTCGGTTTCCAGGACTTGGATACTCTCTCAGTAATGCACAATGTGAGCAGCGCTAGCTTTATATACCCCACCGAAGATATAGTCAAAGGTAGCACGAAGCTCTTCTCAGCTCTGCTTAAATCATGTCTTAAGAAGAAGAAATTAGCACTAGTGAGGGCAGTGATGAGGAAGAATGCAGGACCTGTGATTTGCGCACTCATACCTCAGGAGGAAGTGGTAGATAACCAAGACGGATCTCAGATAATGCCCAATGGATTCTACCTAATTCCTCTCCCATTTGCAGATGACTTGCGCAGCCCACCCGACGTCATCAACGCGAAAGCTACAGAAGATCAAATCGAAGCTAGCGCAGCATGGCTTAAGAAGCTACGCAAGAAGTCCGGCTACGATGCCAACGAGTATGAGAACCCATATTTCAGACTGATGAGGAAGAATATCGAGTCACAGGCACTCGATGAACCGATGGATGAGGATGATATAAAGAAGGATAAGACACTGCCACCTGTGGAGCAAATGGAGAAACGGGCAGGTAACCTCATTGATAACTGGAGAAGAACGTGGGATTTCAAGAAAGAGGAACCAGTCAGAGTAAAAGAGGAGGAGGAGGTTGGATCACAGAAACGCAAGAAGGACGATGTGACCGAGGTTGGGATGGATGACGGACCCTTTTTGGAGAAGATGCGTTCTAACCAACTCGAAAAGTGTAGATTGGATGAACTCAAGAGTTTCTGTAGAGCAAACCATCTCACAGTGCAGGGGAGGAAGGCAGAACTGATAATGCGCATCAAAGAGAAGCTTACGAGGAGTTACGGGTGAGTTAAATATACTACTAACTATGTTGTACAGTACGAGATATAAGAATACATGGCGTGTTCAAGGAGTGTTTGATTAAACAGCATATGGCTTGTGAGCAAATGTTTTGTTCCAATTCTCCGTCTGTGCTTTGTTCTTGCTGATTTGCTCCTCAACATCTCTCTCGGCTTTCTCGGCACGCTCTTTGAGTTTAGGAATGTCGTCTTTGGTGTAGAGCGGGGCAGGCTTTTCGTACTGGGTGATATGGTGTGGACTAAAGACCTCAGCCATGAGCTCGTGATTCAATCTGAATCTGGAAATAGCCAAGTCTCTATGAGAGAAGCTGTCAATCTGTTCATAGCTATCGTTGGACTCGACGAGAGAAGGTCTGTTGAGGCGTTTGAAAGCCTGCTGTCTTTGCGTGTATACGGCTTGTTGTTGGTGCTGCTGAGCCTGTGCTTGAGCCTGCTGTTGCTGTTGCTGCGCCTGCATCTGGGCGAAAGCCTTCTGACGTTGCTGCTGCTGTTGCTGTTGCTGGGCCTGCACTTGAGCTTGAAGTTGTGCGTGCTGCTGCTGTTGAGCTTGTTGTGCGTGGAGTGCGTGTGCGTGTGCAGCGTGTTGCTGTTGCTGTTGCTGTTGTTGTTGTTGCTGCTGCATTGCCATAATGATCTGCTGCTGTGCCATCTGCTGTGGACTCATCTGCTGCTGCTGGGGCATAGCGTTTGGGGGTGCACCTGCAGCAGCCTGGGCCATCATCTGCTGGTACAGTGCTAGCTGCTGTGGATCAACCTGGTTTGAAATATTTTCTAGGTTGTGTCAGTGTGCGTCTGAACCTCTTTCCTCTTCCTCACGCTGGTTCATATCGTGGTCAAGAAACAAATAAGAAAACAAAGACAATTACAAAATAAATAATAAATACAAATTATAATTTTCATTTATTTTCAAATTAGCTCCTTTTCACGTACACCACTTGCCCCACTTGCTATCTTGTGCTTAATCTTGCTGCGATAAGCAACGAGGTACGCGGCGTAGAAAATCCCAGCGACGCCCAAACCTACTCAGCGCAGAAGCCATTTTACTCGAGGTGACTGACTCATTACTCCTCTTAAAAGGCAGCCTGCCAAACACACTCCCCCGCACTTCTGCAGATAATGTACGAAACCGTTATAATCAACTGCAGCGTTTATCCCATTCTCCCCACCATCATACCATTACAACGCGGAATACGCTTCCCTGGCGTGAGCCTTGGTCATTAGGTACATCTGCTCAGACACAGCGACATCCCAGGTCTCGGCTGGATATAACTGCAGATCAGCGTAACGCATTTGGAAAGCACCATCGAAGCACATCCCACCACTCACTCTGAGTTCTAGACGCGTACTGTGGTTGCGAGACACGTCTGGTAGTGGTATTATAACATTTAGTGGGTCTTTTATACCCGCAGACGTGCTAAATGACTGTGTGGTGTGCCAGTGGAGTTGTGAGTAAGCTGTCTTCACCTTACTTCTGCAACTGCCACTCGTCAGCCATGCAAAATCAAAAGTACTTTACCAAAGAACCCACTGGGTACGATATTCCTCTTCCAATACTCAAATTTAACCCCTTTACACTCCACCCACAGCAGTATGGTTGTGGATTTGTCCATGGGATGCTGCTTGCTTTTCAACGTGATTCCAATGTGTGCTATCTCGTTAGCAAGTATTATGGCTTTCTTGAGCGATGGAAGGGCTTTGATTGGGTTTGCCTGGGGTGTTGGGGGATGAATTCATCAATTAGAACTCCCCGCGAGCTTGTGTAGTGTCAGCATCTGCAATTGCATAGGTGTCTCCAAGTACCTGAAAATCTTCTCCCATCCTATCAAACCGACGGTGGTGATGATAAGGGACGTCGAGGCCACAGCAATATTAATACCGAGCTGACCCGCAAATGGGAGTATCTCGTCAAAGAAACTGCCAAGTGGTGTCCAGCTGCCCTGTCTGCCGTTGGCTGAAAGATTCTCATATAGCGCCCAAATACTAGACCAAGCTAAGGGGAAAATAGAGATGGGTAAGCTGCAATGGAAGTCTTGAATAGGCATTAATAGAATTAACTAGATCAGTGTTACGAATGGCGTTGCCAAGGAGAGTGAAAAAAGGATAAAAATTTCGGCAAAGTTTGTTTGACCAGTTGCTGAGTGGACTTGGCGCAGATGACTGAGTGCTGTCCCATAGCTAAAAACAAAGCTTGAGGTAGCAATAAGCGGGTGTTTATGGACAAAGTGATAATTATGTTAGACAGGAGTAGGATAATGGCTATGTTTAGCAGTGGACCCAATGAGAATATAGATTTTAGGCCTGTGCTGCCAATAAGAAAGTATTATGGTGTATAGATAGACTTTGTAGGCATATGTTTCAAGTTGTGTAAATCCATGTTGATGGTTCTTAGATAGGAATTTGCGTTTAAATTACATTTTAAACGATTCAATAAAACTGATAGACCATATTTAGGAAATATATTCCACCGCCCATCCTCCCTTATCTCCAAACGATCGTCATCGAATATGCGGGAACACGGCGACGACGCAGAGGATACACAGACACCATTCATCGACAGCAGCTACAACGGCGATAACAGTGATAACACTGCTTCCACTGATACAGGCACTAATAGCAGTACACCGTTCGTGTATGCCAAATGGCCACAGCCAGAGCCCTTAATGAAGAAACTACATCGTATTCTATCTGATCATTTGAAGTTTGTTGGGGCTGGAATCATTGCAGCCGTCAGCTACATTGATCCAGGCAACTGGAGTGTCGATTTCGTAAGCAGCAGCAGCGCAAATAGCAACACAATCTAACCACAATCAAGGCTGCTGGCTCCCTTTACGGATACAGCTTACTCGGTGTCGTTCTCCTTGCAAGTCTGGGCGCCATGTTCTACCAGATACTGGCATGCAGACTCGGTGTCGTCACTGGAATGGACTTGGCCCAGCATATACGCCTACAGCTACACGACAGACACCCAAGGCCCGTTCTATGGCGGTGGCTTGCTCTATATCCCCTTTACGTCCTCACTGAACTCTCTCTCATCGCAACTGACTTGAGCGAGCTGCTTGGGTCTGCTATAGCCCTCAATCTGTCAGTTGTTGGCCACGCACAGCGAATACTCTATCTAACACTCCCTCAGCATATTCCCTTTTATGCCTCTCTGGGTTGGCGTCTGTCTCACTGCACTCGACGTACTCGTCATTCTCGCCATGTACAACCCAACTGGCAGCTCACGAAGCATGCACATCTTCGAAGCCATCATCGCTGTCTTGACCCTCACCGTTTTCGCCTCTTTCGCCGTCCTCGTTGGTAAAGTCCACCCTGAATGGTCTCAAGTTCTGCGCGGTTTCCTCCCCAGCAAGCTCGCGTTTGAACCTGGTGCGACCTACATCAGTATTGGGATTATAGGTGCAACGGTTATGCCTCACAGTCTTCTCCTAGGCTCTAATATTGCTACAGCTGAGAGATTACACCCGAAGCGGTCGCCAGCATCTAGCATAAGGGAGAGCAGTGACGAAGACAGGTTCTCACTCAGCAGCATAGAAGACACTCAAACACCCCTAGAATACGTTTCTAAAGCTATGAAACAAGACCCTGATTACGAGCCATCCCCGCGCATCGGCGACGCAGACGTTTATGATGGAGGTCCTGGTCGACTACCATCCATCCTAAAACACCTCACACATGGCAGTTGGGATATAGCACTCTCGCTTATCACCATCGCCGTACCTGTGAATGCAGGTATTCTCATCGTCGCCTCGGCAACCTTCTTCAATAACCCTGATAGAAGTGGTAATGGCGTTGCAGATCTTTTCGACGCTCACAATCTCATTATGACTTATGTCGGTAAACCATTCGCTTTCATCTTTGCTTTCGCTCTGCTGTGCGCTGGTCAATCTGCATCTATCACTGCAACTCAAGCTAGTCAGGTTGTTAGTGAGGGCTTCATCAAATGGAGAAGTCCACCAATACTCCGTCGCCTAATAACCAGACTAATGGGTATTATACCCTCTCTCATTATAGCCGTTGGAGCTGGCAGAAGCGGGATTGATCAGCTCCTCAATTCTTCCCAGGTCGTTCTCTCAGTTATGTTACCATTCGCTATAGGACCTTTGATATATCTCTGCGGAAGGAAGGATGTAATGAGAGTCTGGAATCCTACAGATGAAGGACAGTCTACTTCAACAACTAATCTACTTGATGCGTCGAGATTGGGTCCTTCTCATTCTCATCGTAGAACGCAATCTCAGTCTTTGGATGTCGATGGATATCAACAATTTCAGCTCTCTGATCAGCTTCAACTGAACTCAATTGGTCAGTGGGTTGATTTGCGTCCTCCACGGTATATAATGATCACCTCTTGGATAATTTTCGCAGCTCTTTGTGCGGCTAATGGTTTCATAGTCGTACAATTCTGCCGGGGTAAAGAAATATAAGGCATCAACCATCATAGAACGAGTATTGTCATAATACATTATACACGCACATTAGACGCACGCTAACAAATCATTTCTATATATGCTTCGATTCATGTGCATAGTATCATACAGAACAATCAAGTCAATCATCACGCACATACTTATTGAGAAGCTTGAGCACGACGGCGACGCAAGTCACGTTCCTCAGTGATGGTGAGCTTAACACCACCACCCTTTGGAAGTGAAACCCAAGACTTTTGTTGGCCAATAACGAAAACGTTAGTCAAACGAGTAGCGAATTGACGGTCAACTGGATCTCTCAAGTGGACAATGTCGTAACCACCCAAGTGACGCTCACGGCCAATGATGGCACCGATACGACCTTGGTTACGACCACCGGTAGCCATAGCAACGTGACCAGTGTCAAACTTGACAAAGTCGACAATCTTGTTGTTGATAAGATCAAACTTGACAGTGTCGTTGACCTTGATCAATGGGTCTGGGTAACGGATGGTACGGCCGTCGTGGGAGACAATGTAAGGAACACCACGAGCACCGATGGCAACCTTCTTAACCTTGAGGAGCTTGAATTGAGCCTCCTCATCGGTGATACGGTGAACAGTGAAACGACCCTTAGTGTCGTAAAGGATACGGAAGTGTTCGCCGGATGCTTCAACGGAGATGACATCTTTATGCGTGTTAGAGTGAAGATTTTCGGTACATAAGAAAATTCTCACCTTGGAAACCAGTTGGGTAGGTTCTGTCAGTACGAGCCTTGTTGTCGATCTTGATCAAACGTTGTTGGAGAATGGCCTGGACCTCATCGCTAGAAAGAGCGTACTTCAGACGGTTTCTGAGCAAAATGGTCAAAGGCAACGATTCACGGAGCTTGTGTGGACCTGGGGATGGGCGAGAAGCCTATAAGGGTTAGCAAACCTCCTGTCAGCTTCAACGAGCTCTGTGTGCTGAATTGCAACCCACGTAAGTGCCCGAGAGCTTGTCTAACATCCATGAGGATGGAGCTGCAAGACGCTTGAGGTGCTTCTTTGGACCACGTGGCTGTGTCGTTGTTAGCTGGCTGTTGTTTAATTTTTCCTCCTCTCACCATTCTGACGGTTGCTGAGAAACCTGAGAAGCTCCGTCTCTCACCTTAAATTTGAATTTGCGAAAATTTCAAAAAATTGAAAATTATGAATTATTTTAGAATTTCACTTGCAGGTGCTTCTAGGAGAGGCTTCTCAAGCACTGCACGCAATCTCAATATCCCAGAGTCTCCGTTTAGCAGATTCGTCAATGTCCTCAGAGAAGAGCTACGTAAGAACGCTGAATTCCAGGAGAATTATAAGCAGCTTTCTGGTGAGGCTGGCAAGGTGCAGGACTCGGAAGCTATGCAGAAGGCTAGAGACGCGTACCAGCGAGCAACTATCACGAATTTGATGAAGAACAACCCAAGGCTCAAGGCTGCAACCGATAACCTTAGAATGAACGGTGGAAAGGTTTCTGAGGGCGTTGGTGAGGCTCTCAAAGGTATCGAAAATACCGAGGCTTTCAGGGCCCTCCTCAGAGCCACAAATGCTGCTTCAACTGCTGTCACTTCCGCCACTGCTCCAATTAGAGACACTGAAGCTTACAAATCCTTCGCTGAAACTATCTCAGATGCTCTCGATGATACCAGTAGAGGTGGTTACGAAGACCGTGAAGCTAGAAGAATACGCAGACAGAGACGTCTAGCTAAGGCAGGCAAAGACGGTATCGCCAAGAAGAGAGTAAAAAAGAATGAGGAAGCGGGTGAGTCTGTTGTCCTCCACGAGAACGCAAATGCCCCTTCAAAGTGGCAGGAGTACAAAGACAACTCCTCATTTTTCCAGCGTGTAGCAGATATGTGAGTTTGATTCAACACACACAAACAACCCTTACACTCTATATAGGCGTGAACAATACCACGAATCAGAATCACCAACTGTCTTAGCAATGAGATCTGTCACTGACAGGATTGGTGGTTTGTTCGAGGAGAACGAAACCGCACGCGTGACAAGAGCTTTCAAGGCTCTCGACCCTGGCTTCACTCAAGACAGTTTCCTCGTCGAGCTGCGTGAATACATCGTCCCAGAAGTTGTTGATGCCTACCTCAACGCCGACAAGGATGCTCTTAGAAGATGGTGCGGAGAGGCGACTTACAATGTCCTCTGGGCTAGCATGGAAGTATACCTCAGCAAAGGTCTTATATCTGACAGTAAAGTTGTCGATATTCGTGCAGTTGAAATTACCAAAGGTCAGATGTTGGAAAATGATGTACCCGTCTGGTTGGTTATCTTCCACACTCAAGAAATTCTCATGTTTAGAGACGCAAAATCGGGCGAAGTCGCCGTTGGTACTGAAGACGGTGTTGAACAAGTTGCATATGTCGGTGTATTCACCCGTGTTGAAGATGAATTGGAGGATGAGTTGACCGGTGGTTGGAAAGTCATCGAAATGGCAAGAAGAGGACAGAAAGCTTACATTTAGATTGCTACTTTGGATTGCACATAAACATTCACTCCCTACTCAGACGCAGACATACACATCCACCCAGTACTCCACTACTCAAAAAAGTCATTTTCATTATGCATGATACTATATCAATTGACAACTTGTAATTGAGCGCTTGTAATGCTGTGCTGTAGTGATTCTATACTGCTGTGCTTCTGTCTCTATGACGCCTTATAGTAACGTAAAAATACAGACAACGGGAATATTTCTGCAAATCATAATTCAAATTTGATAGTGATAGTGCTACGCTAATAAAAGCAATTTGTAATCCGTTCAATTGGTGAATGACCTCATAATGAGTTTGCAATATATTAGAGGAGTTTCAATGAAATTTGGTATTCTAGAAAGGTTTGAACAGTTACATTCATTTGCCTGAAATGCAATTGCTCAGATTGCCCTATAAATGGCAAACTTCATTGCAAAGATGAATGCAGCCAACTCATATAGTAATATTTTGAACAATTTAGTGATACTAACACTTTACTAGCACCTCTAGCACGCCAAAAATACCCCCTTTTCAGTCATCCGCTCAATAATCATCGAGTTGTATTTCTCGACTACCACCTATCATGTGAAATGGCTGATTTGCGTATTTTGATGATCTCCAAAAAAAAATAAGCATAAAGATAGCTTTGAATGAGCTCTACAAGTATTCGCCAGAATTATATTCCTGAGTCTCCAATCGCGCCCTATAGGCTGTTCGGAAGTTGCAATCCGACATCGCTCTGTAGCAGGCTATGGGATATATAGGGAAGATTTGAAGCTCTTCATCGAAAAAATCAATTATCTCTAGCTGAGGTAGACCACGAAAACCCAAATATACAAGTATTCGGTTCTTTAAACGCGTTTTACACTTTTCGGTAATCAGTGTCCAAAGAATCCAAAATGTGGCTCCAGGGAATAATTGTTGACATTCAGGATCATTACAAGCCTATTATATGCAGCTCACGCGAAGAAAAGCGGGGGAATTGGAATAACCGAGTACATTTCGAGATTTTAAAATTGGTGGTGTAAAGACATTTAAGGCAGCCTTGAAATCAAAGAAAGCAGGTTAGCATGAAGATGCATTTTCATATCTAAAATCCCTCTCCTTGCGACACAACACACGTAACTAGACAAGTACAGGGCATTAAACAACGCTGATAACGATAAATCTATTTCCTGGTTAATTGCCAAATCAATCGCTACAGAATGACACCAAAGTGTGCAAATTGGCAGTAATCACAGTGCTACAACGAATACGTAATTGAGCATGACATTCTCGGTTTGGAGATGACATGCTTTACTTTTTGACTTGGTGATAGTTAGAGGTAATCCAGCTAGGAAAAAGTACTTAGGTGCATGTATTTGGCTTGATTGTTGAATCGACTGTTGGGTTTTGCGAGTAATTGACCGCATTTGATCTTTTACTGCTCTGTGACGATCAACTGTAATGTTGTAAAGTGAGATAGATGAGTAGTAATGAGGGATATAGACCTTCAATGCATTTGTCCATGTATTACTACTTACATTGTTAAACTTCAAACCTTCTCAACCTGTCTTAAAGCCGCTCCAGCCTTTACACTTACTCGCCTTAGGTTAAATAGCCCATTGAACAGTCCCGCTTAGGAGAAATAAAATATCCACGCGAAGTGATCGTTCTAAATAATAGGCTCTTCAGATGACGCAGTGATTTGGAGATAGGCTTCCCGAAGCAAATAAAGCACACCTCTACCTACTCCAAACAACATGCCGTTGTTTAGATACATCTGTCACGCTTATGCCCGCCCTAAAGTTGACGTCCGAATTGGTGACATTCGCTATCTCAGTTGCATATGATATATTAAAGCCTATTCGATTTAAATGTAACATGCATATGGGCATTATGTGTTCGATTGGGCAGGCTGTTTGTGAGGTGCCATCTGCACAGACTCTTCACGTCATTATTTCCGATAGCGAGGCGAGGAAGATGTTTAGTCGAGCAATTATTATTAGATAGAGCAGGTAACTCACTAGGCATCCGTTATTAGAACTCGTTAGTTAGGTTGGTATTGCATACTAGTGGCATCCAACACCTCACGTTAAGTCAAAGCACTAAACTTAATACAACTAAACATCATAATCCTGACTTACCTTCGTGAGTGAGAAGGTTCTCAGGTACAATCTTATCTTTTCAATAGTTCCGGACCTCACAAAAATTCCGAAGCAATCGTCAGGATGCGCTAATAGTGCCTAATCAGTAACACCAAGCTTTCCTGCCTCATCAAGGCTTTACTACAAAGCAGATTCAATATAGACTTTCGCCTTTTCATTTCAAGCACAGGGGTTTCTCCTTTCTTGTCTGACATCAAAAAGTTCCCTGCTCGCTTAATTAAAGTAGTAAATCATTCAGTGTGGGGTAACTGCTTATATTGCCCAAGGAGTGCTAGTTTCATCCTTTACCTTCAACGCGAACCTCAGACATAATGAACAAAATTCTTTTACTCTCAGCTGCCTTGGCAGGTGCTGTAGTCAATGCTGCAGTCTTTCCACAAGAAGCTACTACTGAAAGCCAAATATCATCTACTCATGACAGAAGAGACTATGGACCACCAGGCGTGGGCTACTATCGCTTCTGCAAAGACAAATACTGCACTTTAGACTGCTCAATAAACTTCAGAACGACAGACACAGGCTGTATCAACGGAGGTGATTTCCAATCGATGCAAGTACACGGTGGTCTTGACCCTCTAACACATTTAACACTCGTTACCACTCCACACGATAGCTGTAGCTGTCAAGATGCATGCTGGCACGCTACTGGTCCTGAATGTATAGAGCTCCCAGACGACATTAAGAACAAAGGATCTTACCGTATGGTTGGTCAAGATAATTGTTCAAGCAACAACTGCTAGATTTACAGTCAGAGTGCTTGTTTCGGGATGAAACATGTTTAGGATGTAATGGAATTATATACATAAATAACTCTGTTCCAATTTTAATTTCATTTTCATTCTCATTATAAAGAATCACAACAACAAACGTCGTGAAAGCGTTAAACATTACTTAATTCAACCTTAGTGAGCAACAAATACTAAAGTTTAGCAGGTGCTTTGTCTTGTTGTGCAGCCAGAGTACGCAGATGACGTCTAAGAATCTTCCCAGATGGTGATTTGGGAATAGCATCGATGGTTTTCACGCCGCCTCGGAGTTTAGAGTGATTTGCGACCTTACTAGCCACCCAATCTTCTACTTCTTTGCACCACTTATGATTATTGACATTGGAATCTTTCTGAGGTACTACATACGCTCTTGGTAGTTCAGTAGCCTGTTTGTCATCATAAACGCCAATGACAGCCACGTCTTTCACTTCCGGGTTTGATAGAAGCAGAGATTCAAGTGCAGCAGGTGGAACTTGGAAGCCCTTATACTTGATAAGTTCCTGAATCTTTGTCAATTGTCAAAGCAAGTAAGGACCCAAAATTTACCTTCAATCTATCCACAATCTTAAATAGCTGAGTTTTTTTGTCAAAGATAGCAACATCACCGGTTTTGAAGAAGTCATCAGCTGTCATACATTCAGCAGTAGCCTCCGGTCTGTTTAAATAACCTTTCATCACTTGAGGACCTTTCACCCAAAGCCTATTCCATGTGAGATAAAGTTCTCAAATAAAGATAAGCAAACTTACTCCCCACTTGCCTTGTTGTCACCTGGTACATCCATCCCATTTTCGTCTACTATTCTTGCGCTGGTATTGGGAATCAACCTGCCAATGTATCCGCTATGTGACTTTGCGTATTCTAATGGAATCTTATGTGTGATAGGACTGGTTTCCGTGAGACCTGTGAGTGGTTAGTTTGGTGCTAGTTAGATGAGTTATTAAACAAACCATATCCTTGTGGGACTGTGATTACATCGTTGAACTTAGTAGACAACTTCTGTATAAGCTCTTCACCAACAGGAGCAGCACCAACTTGTAAGATTCTCAAGCTACTAAGATTGTACCGCTTGTCAATATCTGTGTTGGCTATCAAGACCAAAATTGGTGGTACAATTGAACCGACTGAAACCTTGTACTTTTCAACAGCAGCCCCGAATACATCTGGATCAAAACGAGGCAAAAGAACGCTTTTGGCTTCGTGTGTCATGTAATAAAACATGGTGACTACCAATCCGACTGTAAAATGTTAGTAATGTAGTTAAGTTGATTCCAAAGCCAGCTCACAGATATGATAAAAGGGCTGAAGATCTTTGTTCAGTCAGATCAGAGAAATTTTAGCCTACTCACCAATACAGATATCAAGACGTCGTTTTTCTGTATAACGTACGTTCTCATCGAATCTAATTGTCGTAAGTTTGCAATTATGTTGTAGTGCGTAGTCATAACGCCTTTAGATAAGCCAGTTGTACCACTACTATAACACATAACAGCAGTCTCGTGAGTGCTTTGGCCGTCAAATTTTTCAGGTATACCAAATTGACGGTCGGGGATGAATAATTGGGAGTAAGATAAACATCCGCTTGAATTTGAGTCAGTAGCAGAGATTAGTCTTTGATTAATTTTCGTCTCGGACCAGCCAATCTCACTGAGTATTTGTTTGGTGAGAGGGATGTTATCGGGATGAGCAAAAACAAGGGAAACATTGCTATCTTTTATTTGATGAGATAGCTCCAAGTGGTTGTAGGCGGGATTAGCGAGTGAGACTTTAGCGCCGGTGGCGGATGTGCCCAGCAATAGAACGGGATAAGCGATTGAGTTTGGACTGATGATCAAAACAGTGTCTTTTCTTTCAATGTTGAGAAATTTTCTCAAGCCATAAGCCAGCTCTAAAGACTTGGCTCTGAGCTGTGCATATGTCAATTTAATGCCGGTTGTTGCTTCAACAAAGGCGATCTTGTGGAGGTGATCCGTGGAAGGTGGTAGTAGGAAGTCGAACAAGCTGCATTGTGGGATATCGACGTCCGAATGAATAGACTTTATAATTCCAGTGGACATAGTTTGTAGTGATGATGGATGATGTTTACGGTTACTCTATAGCCGGTGATTGATGATGTGATTTGCCTGATTCACGTGAATCATATATTCAACTCGAAAACTAACACCCGAGTCGAATAGCCGTCTTGATCGAGGCAGCTGCATTCACTGACGCAATCACCCCAGACCTTGGTATAATTATACACTGTACAATAAATTGTAAAATACTCTAATGAACGCTAGTATATTATTTAAATATCTATTGCAAGTCATTTGAAATCATTTGAAATCATGTCTAGGTACTTCACCGACCTGAAATTCGCAGCAACCCGCAGCAGTAATTGAGTATTTCTGACAATAAGAATGTTTTGTTATACAACCAACATCCTCAACGTAACTTATCATGTCAAGATTATCTTATTCTCAATTGGAATTTGAACTCGAGCAAGGTACGGGTGACCAACAGCTCAAGCGTATTCAGGCAAAGTATGGAATAGCCGCGAAAAGGCAACTTTTGAATAGAGTTAGTAAAGTATTTCCATATTATCTAAACCTAATTTTAATTCAAAGGTTGCAAAACTTGAAACTGCGCATGCAATTGGCAAATCAAGTGCAGAATTAGATGCGCGAAGGACCGTGTTCAGACTTTCGCATGATCAATTGGCGGGTATGATATCGCAAGGTGCAAAATGGGCTGAAATTGGCCGTGAAGCTGGCGTCAGGTCCACCTATGCTCAAGCGGTCTGGGCTTCTATACAGGATAATTATCCGGGAATTAAATATGCACATGGAAAAGGTCGTGGTAGGAATGGTCATCCAGTCACCGATCAAGATAAAAACTCGGTTCTTCTATTCAGACAAGGTCATATAACGCGTGCACAAGCGTATGAAAGTTTAACTGCATGTGGGAGAACTAGAGGTGGAGCTAAACAGATACTCAACAAGTATTCACACAGTAATCTCGATAATTTAACTGTGACGACACAAAGACCGCGTGCGCAGTCTAACGCATCCATTAGCTCAATTGAGACAAGCTACGATCAACAGCGAAGAGTATTAACACCACCACTGTCATTGTCATCTAGCAACGGTTCATCATTGGATGGCTCGCCTGAATCTGGAAATGAGGCAAATACGGCGATTACGGGAAGTACACCAAAATCACCAGTTACGCCAATTTCGCTGCCAATATCATCATTGCTACAGCCAGAAGGACAAGAGGGAGAGGATGAAGAGCCACCAAAGTTACGATCAGATAGAACAGGATTGGGATTGAGATTAAGTGAAGGATACGGCTACTACTATACCAACAAGTTACCACCAATATCAGTGAATAGGATGTCTAATAAGTGAACCTAACGATAAATTCATGTAATTTTAAGCGATAAATATAAATTAAGAGCGATTGCGAAGACGTTCGTGGGCTTTGAGGTGTGAGAGGGTTAAAATATCGAAACAAATGGCTTACAGTTGTAATTTAATAACTTTTCAATCAAATCAACGTGTGTGAGTACCATTCTACGACAGCAGTACCTCCTTAAACCGAGTTTGTCCATAGCATCACCTTCTTGTACATCTGCTTGTAATAAATCAAGATAAGCTTCCCATTTATCACCGACGACCTGGATTTGTTAGAAATAAAGAGGATTGTGTGATTAGTAGTGGATACCTTCCCACAACTGAAGCATCGAACCGGTCTAACGAAGGTAAATAAATAATGAATTTAGAATTCAAATTACTTACATGATCATAATTGGAATATAATTTTTGGTTTTTGGTGTTGGTGGTTGAAATTATCAAACGTTTTACTTGTACTTTCAACTCGATAAAAATGTTTGTCTTTTAAACGAATTTAGAGGTATTTAAAGTTATATTAACTTATTAAAAGGTCTGGTGCTGCCTGGAGATCACACTTGTTAGTATTTCCACTTAGTCATACTTATCCATACTCACCAAATACAGCTCTTACAACCGCTTCGTTACTGTAGCTGCACGCGCTGTTCGTAACTCTCTCAACGAGAAAGAAAGATCTATCGCTGCTCGTCGTGGTGAAACCGCTCTCAGATACACCGAATACGAGAATGGCGCTCCTTCTGGCTTCGTAAGTTGTTTTATACGTATTATATTGGTATTCTAACCACTACTATAGAAACCAGTCACTGAGGAATCAAAGTAGATGAATTTAAATCTCCTTTATTAAAATACATACGTTGAATCAATTTATAGCTATGTCTAGCAACATCCACTCGTTTTATTCGTAAATTGGTCTAACGATAACACTCCTTGGCTTGTACTGCTGCTTCCACGCGGCTTAAATGCTCCGTGATTGAGCTTTGCCAGTATCGCTTTGGCACTCTTATCAAATGCTTGATCCACATCTTGTCCCGATTTCGCACTAACTTCTAAAAACTGTAATTCCCTCTGTTCTGACCACTTTACCCCTTCCTCTACGCTCACTTCCCGCTGATTCATATCTATGTCTGTCTTGTTCGCTACGACTAATACTGTCAAATTCTCGTCCGCGTTTCTCCTTATATCATCCAGCCACATATCTAGATTCTCAAAGCTTCTCCTGTTCCCCACTGAGTACACCAACAAGCATCCTGCCGCTCCACGAAAGTAAGATCGTGTTATTGATCTGAACTGCTCAGAGCCAGCCGTATCCCAGCACTGTACCTTTACCCTCTCCTTGTCATTTACTGATATTATTCTGCAGCCAAACTAAACTCTATAAGCACATAGTTTTACACTCGCTATCTACCCACTTCAACACCTAGAGTCGTCATCGTATTCTTATCGAACTTGTCATCTGTAAAGCGCAACAGCAAGCACGACTTCCCAACACCCGCATCCCCAATTATACAATATTTCAATATGTACTTCCAGCCCAATTCATCCATTGGTGTGAAACAACGTGGTTGTGCAGTTTGAACTTGACATAACCAAATATGAATTCTTTATCGGTTTTTCTTGTTACATTATTCATCCGTTTTCACCGGTTGGTCCTGTTTTTAATCAGCATGTATATCTAAGCCTTGATATTTAGCTACGTCACTCACCCTCAACATCAAAGTCAATCTTTGGTCTCTACCTTCACCTTGCAATATTGAGTGCTTGTATTCATATCTCAACTTTGATCTTTGCAAGTAGACGCTTCCACTTGGAAGATACGCTGTAAATTTGCCATACTTTTCATTTAAAAACTCTACTTGTCTGCATTCACCCAGACTCAGTCCCATTATCGTTGATCCCATAGCATCCTCATTATCAACATGCGCTTGAATAGATCCCTTTGGTGAAAGTTGAAGTATATGTGCCTGTAACCAATGTGGTATCGATAACTCATCATCCTGTAATCTCTCGTTCTTAGGTGGCTTAGCTGCTTGATCTCTTGTATAATCTGTTGCATTGTCATACAAGCACTTGTATAGCCTTTCAAGTATCCCCTTAACTCCTTGCTCTGTCTCTGCGTTAGGTACCGTCATTGATCGTATATTTGCCTCTCTGTATCCAGTAATAACATTATCAAAATGGCTCGTTTCCCATCTGTACATATCTGGATGACAAAATAGCTTCTGCAGATCACCTTCCTTGTACTGCTTGTAATGTTCCTCGAGCAAGCTAGGACTTCTCTTTGGCTTACCACAAACTCTGTCCAGTTTCTTTAGCATCTGCATAAGCATAGTTCTCTGCTCATCCCCGTTTAAGAAGCTTGGATATATGATCAAGTCCTCGCTATCTATCTTGCTAAGTGCAGTTTTATCTATATTGCTGAGATCGAATAATTTACTACTGCCTCCCTGACTAAGATTTAGCCTCTCCGCCTGACTCAATCTCGCTAGCGTTCTCTTGAACATTTCGCAATGATGGTATTGACAAAACGAGATAAGATAATTATGCATATTTTACACTATACTTTCATTTCCATACACTAGACTCGATTAATCTATTCTTCTGCTGTCTTTGTTCGTTGGTTGATAATAATCTCTTGCGCTACTTTTCCCTTTGCCTGCTGTCCCGCTAGAAAATAAGTGAAGTCCATCATCCATACTCGTGCTAGAGTCACCAGACATTGCGTAAATTGCCACTCCTAAACCTACAGCAATCAACACTATAATAATAAAAGTTCTGAATGGATGTTCAACTAGCGACTGCTTTGAGCGTTAGTAGACGATTATATTGCAGAAAAAAACATCAACTCACCTTGAATGATGTCAATCTCTTATGAAGAGTTTGAATTGTGTACTCAAAGGCGTTCTGTGATGACTTTGGTTGGAGTTGACCTTGATAAACACCCTCAAGTGCGCTGAAAATAGAAAGCCCATCTAACGTAGTAGTTTGACCATCAAAGTTCATGTTATAGTACTCCAACCTGTTCGGATCTGCTATTATGACTTGTCTATGTTCCTTTCCTGAGTTGGACTCATGGGTATATCCATACATATTCCATAGCCATCTATTGTATTTCTTTGCATCGACCCATGCGAATATTGTCGATGATCCAGGACCACCCTTTAAAACGCCATGCTCTGCCATCATATTTCTACCCCCTCTCATCCATGCTTTTGCGATCTCAGCTAGTTTACTCTTGGATGACTCAAAATCATCTGAGTCAACTTCGAGAGGTAGGATGACCAGATACTGCTGAGTATCAGCGTTCAAAAGCTCATTGAAAACGGTTGATGCGTCTACAACTGTCGGGAAAGAATTGAATTTGAGCCAATCAGTAAGCTCCTTCACGCCCGCATGTGTTACATTGTCCTTCGCTTCATCATTCAGACTACCAAAGTCTGTCAATTTTACTTTTGATGCAGGTGTGTTCAAATCGTTATCTTTGAAAGCAAGGAATACGCTGCCATCATTGAGATTGAACCCGTATTTAGCAAATAATCTATCGTCTTTCGATCTGTATATTCTTGGTCCACCAATCAAGCCACTAATAGACTTGTCAAGAATAACCTAAATTGTCGTTAACGAGATTGCATACCTTGAAGAGTGACTTACTTGATCATAGTTTGTAGAGCTCAAGGGTGAATGCAGAAAGAGGTAAAAGATTTCCTCTTTGACACTTGATGTTTCAAACTGTTCACTTGTAATTTCAAGCATACCTCTTTAGTTTAGTTTAGTAGAGCCAATCAATCAAAACTTATACTCACGGTTGAACCACCTTCTCAGCAAATTCTGTCAGCTTTTTCAAATTTCTACCGCCTTTGTAGACTTTTTTGTTGGTATCTGAGTACCTGAGACATTAGTTAGGTCGAGTAACCACGATGATTGAGATCAAAACAAACATTGTAAATGTAGGGTAGCTACTGACTTTCTCATTCTGGCATAGCTTGTGATGTTGTTCACAATCAACTGATGCAATATTCAGTCTTCCCCTGAATTTTTCGGCGAGTTCTTCCCAAACCGGAGCGAGACGTTGCTAATATAGGTTAGCTTGGAAGTTTGTAAATTTAAAGCAAAATAACTCACGCAATGAGGACACCTAGTAAATGAGACATTTAGCATTGCGTGCCGTAAAAAAGAGATACACACCAAGGAGCAAAGTATTTGATCCAGACGATCTTTCCATCGCCTTCATTGCCAACATAATTTTGAAAGTTGCTGTCAGAAAGCTGAGTAACCTCACCGTATGGGTTTGGTGGAGAGGATTCTGAGTAGCTTGGCAAAGAGATGAGATGGGATTTAATGTAGTTTGCTAGGTCTTTGTAAGCATTACTACCAGCATGTAGCTCTGATAATACGCCATCCTTGAAGCTGTGAGAATTGAGAGGATTGGTAGAATGATAAAGGAAACGACTGACAAAGAGAGAGCAGGTGTAACTTTTACATCGTATTCTTTGCAAATGTCTATTGGTACTAATTTAGCAGTGACCAATTGATTTAAGATCAAGTACCTTCCGAGGAATCGCAATCAACTTGACCAAAATGGACATCTTGCTCGAAATGAGCGATCAACTGATTCCAAGTTGATTCAAAAGCGATACAGTGACTGCAAGTTGGCGTATAATGTTCGATTAACCTGCAAATAAGCGTGAGTTTGAGCTCCTATGACTGTAATGCCGCCAACCAAGTTCCCGATGATATCGATTGGTGGAAATTTGAAGAATCGAGTTGCGCTGATGTCGCAGCCAGAGCAATCGCAGCGAATGAAAATATTGCAGTAATTTTAAGCAACATATTGAAGTGGTTACAGACAACGTCGACGACGATCTTCTAGGCTATAACAAATAAAATAATAAAATAACAAAAAAATGGATGATCTGCTTAAATCTTTGAACGCTCTTGGTGTAGATCCACCCACGGATTCTCAAATTCCAGATCTACTCAACCCAGAGGAACATGCAACGCTAGCTAAAGTTTTAGCAGGATCTGCAGATGATCTCATTCAAGGTGCTGTATTATCGTTGTTAGAGAATTACTTGAGATCGCTTAAGAAGATTGAAGATGATCATAACGTGAGTGTTTTCTCCCAGAACACGCATTTCCTTATAAAAAATCCTTCAGAAATCTATTAATGCTCCAGTGAAGAACGTTAAGATTGTTCCTCGCAAAGCTCTTCTCATTCGTGGCGCTAAAGAGCGTGAAAGGGTTCTAAGGGATAGAGAAGCAGGCGTTGGTTTCATCAGACAGAGCCAAGTATTTGATAATAACGTTATTCCTGCGTCTAAAACTCCAATTGAAGACTTGGAATACATGCAACTCAAAGACCTTCAATTCCCTCACAGACATTCCGGCAAGTTTGTGATTGTCAGAGTCATCAGCAATCCTAACACTTTGTTCGATTTACATGCAATTGTCGATGATAAGGAAGGAAATGGCATTCCTCTCACTTTATCTCACTACACACCTTCTCCTACTGCTCCATCCGATGCTATCTTGCCTTATGGCTCTACACTTTTGATAAAAGAACCATACGTTACCAAAAATGGTATATTCGTTCCAGCTAAATCTGATACGCGCCTGTTGTCGGATTCAGACAATCTAATCAATGATGTCCAGTGGTTTTACCCTCTCGAGCAACCCTCTGATAATAAGGAAGTAGATCAACTGATGGCGCAAGCGAACAATGATGATAATGACTTATGGGACATTATACATGATCTCAATCAAGTGCTTTCTGTGAATCCTTTGTCATATGAGGCTAAAATTCGCCTCAGTGATGTCTACTTTGGTGTTCATAAACTTGGTTCTGCTTATAGAACTTCAGCTGAGGCGCTAAAACTCGCAAGAGATAATCAGCAAAAGAGCAGAGCATTTTTAAACCAAGCTAGGGCAGCTTATGATATGCGCTTGTTTAAAGAAGCAGAAAATTTAATTAAAGGAGTTCAAGATCCAGAATTGCAAGGAGAAGTGAGGAGAGTAAATGAATTAATTAAAAAGAGGCGACTGGAACGTGATGAAGGGGAATTTGACGTGACCGAGCTGTTCAAGGAAAAGCAACGTTATATTGCTCCAAGACTTGATGTCGCTGATTATATTGGTCCTATTGAAGTAAAGGATATAGATGGTAGAGGTAGAGGGGTCTTGGCTACGCAAGACGTCGAGCCTGGAACGTTGATGCTCGTAGGAAAGGCAGTAGGCACAGCATATCCATCTGACGCGGATAGAAGAAATTCTAAAGAGCACACGACAATAATGGAGCTTAACTACTCTCACAAGACACTTCATGGTACCGCACAAGTGTTAGCTAGAACGCGTATAAGTCATGCCATAGAAGATATGCCATTCTTAGCTAAACGCGTGTTGGGATTGTGCGGATCACCAACCGAGCCGCTTTTGACAGAGTATCTTAGAGAAGGATTTCCACTTACAGTTGATGAAGATGAAGCAGTAGAAATGCTCGACAAAGAAGGAAAATTACCTGTGATTGATGTTGATCCGAGAAGAGTTGGAAGTGTTTTAAAGTATAACGCATTCGGACATGCAAGTATAGCAGGTGCAGAGACACCATGTATGCTTCACTCACTTCCTGCTATAATAAATCACTCATGCGTACCCAATGTGGCTTCAATTCACCTTGGTGATGTAATAATGTCTAGAGCATTGACGCCACTAAGAAAGGGACAAGAGTTACTTCACTCGTATGTTCCTGGAACAGGCGGTGGTAGTTCAGTTCCACCATCACAGCAAGAGAGAAGAGGAGAGCTGAGAAAGCACGGATTTACATGTCAATGTGAATTATGCTCACTAGATGATATTGATGGTGAAGAGAAATTGAAGGAGCGTGGACTTATGTTAGCTGATGTTTGGCCTCGTCTTGCTGACAGAGCTAGGGTATTGGAGAGAGCAAAAACGGAAGATGAAAAATTCAACGCGGAATTAGACCGACTTTTGAAAGAATTAGAGGAGTTTGTGGCAAGTTTGGAAAGTACATTTAGTGATAAGCGCCCTTATGAGTTGAAGCCGGAACTTGCAATTGTAAGGCGTACGCTTGCTCAATTGACATCTAGAAGAGATGTGCAGAAGGCAATTGAGGTGAGTGATTTGCCATGGGTAATGCGTTTTGCTGACAAGTTGTAGAATGAGCTTTTATCACTTTCAGGACTTGGAGCAATACTCAACGAGACACACGACAAATCAAGTGATAGAAAGAAGTTCAAGCAATTACCTCGACTTCAACCAGATAGTGCAATACTTTCAATGTTAGATATTGTAGAGTTATTGAAAGGGGTGGATGAAGAAGGTTCTAAGAGTTGGTTTGAAAGTACGAAATGGGCACATGATGTTTTAGTTGGTGGAGGAGAAGCAGGATTTTATGCGCGTATAAATCAGTAGATAATAATATTTTATGAATATAATTAGAAACCAAGTTTATGCTTCTGAATGCCTGACCAGATAGATAAGACAAGTAGAATAGCAGCAGTGTCTACAAATATCAATCTGACGGGCAAAGGAGCTTGAGTGGATGACCAAGTAGAGTGACCAGCACCTAAAGTAGCAGTTATAGCTAAGAGAGGGAGCAAGACGAAGTAACCGGACAATCTGTGGTATTTGTATAGGGATTTAGGGAGAATAGGAGAATCTTTTGAGGGGATAGTGAAGGCAATACCAACAGAGGCTTGAAGGATCAGGAAAGAGAGAGAGATTAAGCCGAAAGTAGAGTGCCAAGTGGTGAAGTGTGGGGCAGAGTGTGAAAATTTGTTATAAAACATAGCGGATGAGCCAATGAGGAAGAAAGGTAAGCTGAAATAGGAGATAAACTTTCTGTGTTTATCGAAAGCTTTTAACTTTGAATTACCAGATGACGTAGGTTGCAAAGATAGGATTGATAGCACGATTAGAGAAATGGCGATACATTGAAAGATAGGATGGAGGGTGAAGGGCGAGAAAAAGTTACCAGAGTTTAAAATCATGAGTATTGGAGTTGATATTAGGCTGAGGAGTGATATAACAGCTACGTGTTTACTGTATTGAGTAAATAAACCATTTTGATTAGATGAATCTGAATTGGTGTTGTTGAGTAATGGTGAAGTAGCGTCTGAATTTGACATGGGGATGATTGTACTAAACAATGAAGATATTGTGGCCAATTGGGTTGCTTGGATTAGTCAGTGCGATTTACATGCCAATAGAGTATAAATTCAGTAGAATATACAATAAACCAATCGAAACAACGAATAAACCAAAGTTGACGGATCTTCTAACATTACAACATGGATCTATCTTCTATGATTATATTCGATCAGTTGAGGATATTGTGAGTAAAAAGCGTATTAACAAACGGTTCTAATACGTTAAATAGGATTTATTACTTAATAATCCTTCTAGCCATATATTAGTTTTATCACCAACTAATAAGGCTATTATTAATCTAAATCAAAGACCTCACCAGATGGGTTATCCAGGTAATTTAGAGAATTGGTTGAAATCTCATTTAATCACTTCAAAGTATTTGGATTTTGATAGCAATTACAAATCAATCAATAATCTAAACGATATCAAGCTGAGTAAAGTGGGTAATAATTATTACGTTAATGAAATCAAAGTACTTGAAATTGAAAAAGCTGCTAATGGTTTCTTATTGATTATTGATGATTGTATTTCTATTTGATAAACGCGTTGTTACGCGTGCACGCTCATGTCGAATCAGTTGAATTGTAGGTAAATTGAGAAATTTCAATTTGATTCGTTGGAATTAATATTCCAATAGATACGAGTACGTTGATAGTCGTGAGCACACTCATACTCACCTACAACCCCCAATAGACTCTGGTATATTTGAAGGTATCAACTTTGATAACGACCTATTAAGCTCACCTTCACCAACTCTAAAAAGATCAATCTCAAAGATTGATAACGATGACGTAAATCAGTTTAATCCAGACGATATCATTCAAGATACTCCTCCTCAATCACCTACGACTGATCACTTTGTTGGTTTCACAAGTGGATGTGGAATTCCTATTCAACCTCCTTCAAATGATGGTTTCAAAAGAGCTGCTAAATTGTTGGACGCTGATGTCTCTGAGGACAATCACCTAACTGAAACTCATAATTCACGCGTTGATGCTTTAAATAATCTATCAAATCATTATAACGATTATAATGATGATATTGATCATGTTGATAATAGTGATCCACAACATCTCAATAATCCTGGTTTCATCGGCTTCGTCACTGCTGCAGGTGCACCAATGCCTATTCCTTCTCAGCACGCAATTGATAACGCTAAATCAAAGTACAACCATAAACCAGTAGATTCTAACAATAACCTTCAATTATCAACACCATATCATTTGGAAAATTCTCTCGAATCTGATCATTTTACACCTTCTAAGCGAAGCAATACTCCTTTACAACCTCTGCAACCATTACAACTACTCAACAAGCATATTGTCAAAAATCAACACTCAACCCCTTTCAAATCACCCTTAATCAACTCTAATAGTCATCTCGATAATAATGTAACTCCCAAATCATCCAAACCTAGACTAAGTCTTGGTATAACATCTAACAAACCCCCAAAGAGACAAAAGTTCGTTACTCCATTTAAACAAGGTGTCATCCCTTCGACAAAAATAGGTGCATCTACAAACAAACCTTTCAATAACAATCAACCCATCAAACATAAAGCTAAAAATCGCGTATTTAACTTGAAATCTTCTTCTGAGCGAAAGTCTATGTCTGATTACGGTGTTAGACCATGGGGTTACACCCTAGCTTACCTCAGAGCTGTCAATATGTAAGTCCTCGTCAAACCTCACTTTAAGATTAACAAATCATCAGTCCTCAAATAGTCCTACAAATGAATTGTCAATCGGCTCAAGACTTTGCCTTTACATCCAACCATACCTCAACAAATGCATTCCAAGATATGAAGAATCGAGGATGTACATCTATTAATTTGCGCTGGGTCAAAAATCATTGGAAGTTCATTATTACCAAATTATCTGCAATTATCAGAAGCTGTCCCTCTGAGATGACTAGATGGTCTTACCAAGAGGTTTTGGGACAACTATTATACAGATACCAACGTGAAATTAATCTTGCTGAGCGTTCTGCTGTTAAGAGAATTCAGGAACATGATTCATCTTCTAGTCGTCCGATGATACTTTTTGTTTCACAAATTTTGGACGAAAAGATGATTGAACTTAGTGATGGATGGTATCCAATATATACTCAAATCGATAGCTGCCTTAGCAGAGCTGTAAAGAGAAATAAAATCAAAGTAGGAGCAAAGATATCAATTATAGGCGCAAAGGTGAGTTGTACTGCGCCATTATATACAACCTTTAACTTACTTGACTGTTTAGTTAAATAGTGGCTATGAAGGTACTGATGTCCTAGACGCAGTTGGTCTTTCTAATCTTAGTATATCCGGTAATTCAACTTCACTTGCTCGCTGGGATGACAAATTAGGGTTTCAACCACCTCTTACAGGCTTTATATCAAACCTTTCCAGTTTATCGCCGGATGGAGGTATTATAGCGTTATTAGACGTTGTTGTTACCAGTGTTTTTCCTCTCGCTTATATGGACATGGAACATAATTTTGGTGATAGCGCCTGGAATCAAGTGGAAGAAAATAAACGTTTACAAGATGAACAGGTAAGATATTTATATATTTTCAATTTATTATTGACCATGGAGATAGAATCGAATTAATATAGATTCTGAGGCTGAATCATACAAGCGTAACAAAGAAATAGAGTTTATCGAGGACATTTTAATCAGGCTTAACGACGCCACAACCGATGCGACTAAAGACGAGGGTGGAGCTGACGATGGTAGGTGATCGTTGCATAGTCGATGATAAGCTCACCGATAAAAGTTGACGTGGACGATGAATTGGATAATATTATTGCAATGACAGAAAGCAAGCATCGCATACAAAAGATAAAATCCTTGAGTGGATCAGTGGCAGCTAAGTTAGCTCTAGCAGCCAGGGACAGAATGACGAATCTGAGGAAAGAAGCAGGTAATATCAAGGTGGAAAAGCGTAAAATACGAAACTTTAGAATAATCAGAGTAGAAGATCATAATAGGGGGAGTAAAAAGGATAGAATAAGTGCCCAGTTACACGTCTGGGATGCTATTACGATCAATGAAGAATTCAAGCAAGGTGATAGGTTCAAGGTAACAAATTGCAATCCGAGTAAGGTCAAGTCATGGCCAACAAAGGGGGAGAATAGGGAAATATATATTTCAACAAGGAGGAACAGTAGATTTTATAGTGTAAATTAAGAAGGAAGATCAAGGAGACCAATTAATCTGACCGACTCTAAGCCTTGTATATGGTTGCTTGTAAGGGATAGCGCGTTTATAACCTTTACGCTTCTTGAATTTGATTTTGTGTTGGAGTTTACCTCTAGTGTGTTCAACGACGGTGAGTGGGATGGATAAGTCGTGAATGAAGGGAGCACCGTTTAAAGTGTAGTCTCTACTACCAAGTTGAGAAATCTGGTTAAAGCTTAGTACAGATCCTAGTGGTTGTTGTAGCCTTGGTAGAGTGAGAAGATCGCCTGGAGTGAGTAGATAAGATCTATCGTAGATTTTACCCATAAAGAAATGCTTTGATTGAGATTTAATCAAAGCTAGAGCATCTCTTGTAGAATTTGGCTTTATCGATTGAAATGCATCTGTTGCAATTGACCGATTCGAAGGTTTAGCTGGGTGATTATTAGTCTACGCAATCAACGCGGCCAATAAAAAACACCAATCCTTACAAATTAAATTAAAAATTCTCTTCGAACTCAACATGAGATGAATGTTTCTCTTGAAAACATTCGACCATGAGTGAGTCGCGTTTTTACCTTAAATTATCAAATAAATAATTCTTAGTAGATGATCTAACAACCGGTTCCGAGGATTCTTTCTCAAATAGCTGGATTTCTTGGTTCTTATCGACCAAGGTTCGTTTCTTTATCTTTATTTTCTATTTCTCCTTATACCCTCTAGGGTAATGAATACTTCTGCGAAGTCGATGAGGAATATATCCTAGATAGATTCAACTTGACTGGCTTGAACAATGACGTTCAAAATTATTCTCAGGCTTTGGAATTGATTACTGATAATTTGGATGATGAAGATTTAGATGATGAGCAAAGGGATGCTATCGAGAACAGCGCCAGATATCTTTACGGCTTAATTCATGCGAGATACATCATTACCTCTCGCGGTCTAGCTAAAATGTTGGACAAACATAAAAGAGCCGACTTTGGTAGATGTCCCAGAGTTTTCTGCACATCTCAGTCTTTATTACCCGTCGGTTTAAGTGATGTCCCCTACACCAAAGCTGTTAAACTTTTTTGTCCAAGATGTGAAGATCTTTACTCACCAAAATCAAGTCGTCATGGATCAATTGATGGTGCTTATTTTGGTACAACATTCCCGCATATGCTATTCCTCGTTTATCCTCAACAATTACCTTCAAAGACTTCAAATAACCTGCCGACTTCAAAACCTGCTACGTCAACAGATGCTGCTATCGGTGTTGAAAGGTATTTGCCAAAGATATTCGGTTTCCCCGTACATGAAATGTCTAAGCTCGCGAGATGGCAAGAAGCTCAAAGGGATTTACAGATATCAAGGTTGAAACAAAGTTCCAGTGATCCCTCTTATGTTTGAATTGATAATTCTCTGTCAATGTATTATAATAATTTACTTTTTTACATAAATATAACCAATTAAACAATCAAACCTCGTCTGTCATAATTGAGAAGAATTCTTGCTGGTTAATGGCACCATCTTGATCTAAATCGAATTCATCAATCATAGCCTGTAATTCCTCTTCATCTAGAGGTTCACCAAGCTCTTTAGCGACGCGTCTTAATGACGTTAAAGTAATTTTACCCGTGCCATGCTCATCAAACAAACTGAATGCTTTACGTATCTCTTCCGATGGATCTCGTGAGACGATCTTGTCTGTCATAATTTTAAAAAAGTCTTCGTATTCCATCAAACCGTCTCCCCTTCTATCGTGATCACGTAGTAATTTCAATACTTCAGGTTTCTTCAAATCGAAACCTAAGGCTCTAAATGAAACTTTTAATTCGTGATAATCGATTGAGCCATCTTTGTCTGTATCGAATAAATCAAAAGCTTCCTTTATCTCTTGACGCTGATCATCCGTTAAGCTGTTTACTGGTGAAGGATGTACGTTATTTGAAGGCGTTAAAATTGAGGAAGAGTTTGTTGGATTGTTTGTAGATTTTCTCCTCGATTTTGAAGATGCGTATAATGACATTTTTTATTTTTTATTACGCGTCTTACTCTCTCACTGTCCTGTGATAAGAGCGACTCGGTTAAATTAATTCATTCACCATGAAATTAAAATTATTGTCACTAACGAATCTGGCTTTGTCGGCTTACGCTTTGCCCTCCTACGCTGATGGCTTATCCGCTTTCACCTCGTTCAACTTGGATAAAGGCATTTCCTCAATCCAATCCTCAATTGAATCATCTTTACAATCGTTTGGTTTAAACTTGTTCAATAACCACGATAAGCCCCTCGTTCTGTCTCATGATCAGTTCCCAAACCATCAAATTAGGTTGCATCATCCTACCTTGTGCGATTCCGGCGTCAAACAGTATTCTGGTTATATCGATATCTCTGATTCAAAATCTTTGTTCTTTTGGTTCTTTGAGTCTCGCGCTGATCCTTCATCTGATCCTTTGGTTATGTGGTTGAACGGTGGCCCTGGTTGCTCCTCCTCCACTGGTCTTTTGACTGAACTTGGTCCTTGCAACATCGCTAATGACGGTCAATCAACTACTTACAATGACTACTCTTGGAACAACAACGCTAACTTGCTCTTCCTTGATCAGCCTATCAACGTTGGTTACTCTTATTCCGATTCTGATAATGTTAATACTACTCCTGCCGCCGCTGATGATGTCTACGCCTTCCTCCAGATCTTCTTTAAACACTATTCTTCATATGCCCACCTTCCTTTCTCTATCGCTGCTGAATCATACGGTGGTCGTTATGCTCCACTTATCGCTGACGTTATCAACAATCATAATCAAATTGACAAGAGTCTTTATAGAATCAATGGCTCTTTTGATGACTTTAAACACATCAACTTGAAGTCTATCTTATTGGGTAATGGTTTAACCAATCCAAAAGTTCAATTCCCTTCTGTTTATGATTACGCCTGTCATGGCCCATATCAAATCTTCGAACCAAACGGATCCGAGTGCGCCAATCTTAAATCGAAAGCACATACCTGTGAAACTCTGATTGATACTTGCTACAAAACAGATAGTCGCTTTACTTGCTTACCTGCTGCTTTATACTGCTGTCGGTCATCTTTTTTATTTTCTTATCTGTCTAATTCTAATCATAGGGTCTGGAATGTACGGCGCTTTCCAACAACTTGGCTTAAATCCTTATGATGTTCGTCAATCTTGTGATCGTGAGAAAGATGGTGATTTGTGCTACAAAGTTAGTTTCATAATATTCGAATTACTCTCACCCTGACATTTACAGGAAATGGACTGGATTCAAACTTATTTAAACAAACCAGAAGTCAAAAAGCAACTTGGCGTTCCAAAATATATCGAGTTTCAGTCCTGCAACTTTGACGTAAACAGATCATTTATGGGCCAAGGAGATTCAATGCACAATTCAGCTGATCCTGCTATACCAAATCTCTTGGATTCTGGTGTTAGTGTTTTAATCTATGCTGGAAAAGCTGATTTCATGTGTAATTACATTGGAAACAAGCAATGGGTAGAACAGCTTTCTCATCCGCTTGGAAAAGAGATTGCCCAATCTGATGATAACGAGTGGTATTTCAATGGCAGAAAGGCCGCTTCGTACAAGTCAGCAAAACAAAGTGAAGCTCATCTTACATTCCTTGAAATTGAAGAAGCAAGCCATATGGTTCCAATGTCACAACCAGAGTTTTCCATCAATTTCTTCAACCAATGGATATTTGATCAATCTTTCAATAGCACTGGCATTTGAATTTGTTCACAAACTTGCAATGTATATTAAAGTTTGACCTTACATGTGAAGATAGACCGTATGTTCTCAAAGAATTGTAAATATTCACGTCTGTCATTTCGGTTGAGACTTGCTCATGTATTAGTGACGGTCCGAACCGCACAAGAAGCATATATAGTTTAACGTGCGTTACTGCTTACACTGAATAGTTTAATTCTAGTCCTTACATGAAGGTAACTTTCACTGTTTCGTAAGAGAGATCTCGTTGCTATAATAAATTTCGATGGTTGAAATGGGATTGATGACTAGGTAAACGACATTAAGACCTAAAATAAACCAACGATATTACGTAACTTGATTGGACGCATTTATACGCAGCTTATCGCCGCTGTAGCCATTCTAGTCACATCACAATAAGGATTATGATCAGCAGGACGGTAAAGTTGAAGGACCTAGTCATGCCTTTATCTTGACTAAGCTTTTGGATAAAATTCACTTGAAACTTATCAATTTACTGCATAAAAGAAGCACAATGTAACATTTTGCGTTTCAAAACCAGACTGTAAATTTGCATACAAAAAAAGTTATGCGAAATCTTGCCTTTAGCTACTTGTATATGTTACATTGAGCTTTGACAACTTATTTACTTATCAGCTCGTAAGCGATTTTCATTTTTAAGCAAGTGTAGACAGAAAGATTTGGGGAGTTAAAAGATTTAAGAGCCTTGCTGGTAAGTCTAACTCGGGACAACAAATACTAAAGTTGATAATTGCCCCAAATACTTAAACACCGTGTTTGAGCTGCTAATTCTCAGATTGTTAATTCAAGTCTTACATCGTCGGCAGCATATTTAACAACAGCGAAACCCAACTTGCCGGAGCATTTTTTACTTGGTCAAAATTATTAAATGAATGATATGAAAGGTGTAATGATTTGATTCGCACTGAGTAAAGTTCGGCTGAAAACAACAATGAAACCCCATAGAACTCCCTTGAGGGGTAGTTCTACAATGAAAACAGTAAATTGAAAGGAAATCATGAATTAAGACAGGCATAGCGCGGTGAAACTGACTTAAGGTAACGACGATTCATATGATATGGTCATGAACAACTTAGGAATACGAAAACCGAAGCAGTGAAAGAAGTTTCGTAATGCCATCAATGCATGATGATTATGGCAGCACATGGGAGATTTTGAAATCATTTACAAATAAAGATCGCAAAAAATTCAATTTAGTGTGAAATCAAAATTAATTCAGGTCGAAAATCATGACTTGCGTAATTCAAATAGACGATATCACTGCTACTCCTTAACATCCTAATCGAATAATTGCTACAATTTGCTGCTTGTTCTCACGACCATTTCATGTGTGTTGATGTTGATATGTCAAACACGTGAAGGAATTTCACAATTCCTGAAGAACGACCAGTAATGGCATGTGACAAGTCTATTTTAAGCGACAATTAGAAGAGAAGTCCTTAAAATCTTATTCAGCAATTTGGATCACTGCTACATCGCAAGGTTGCATACAAAGTGGTCACAAAATAAAAACAACCTAAAAGTATAGTCAAAAGAATAAAATAATTAATTGTTTAGTTGTAGTCCGAAACTAAAGCATCACGATTGGAAGAAACGTAAATTACACCTGGTTCAAAGCATACCTGCTCTATGTTTATCTTTCATTAAGATTACTACTTAACGTTAAACAATTGTAAGTTTCAAGGTTTAGCATTAATTTGATACACCTTTTAATCAGGAACACTGAGGCCAAGGGGAATGCGAAATCTCCTTTCCTTATTGTGAAAGTAGACGTTTAACACAAAACATTTGCGTGAAAGTCTAATATCTGATGTTGTTTACAAGTCATACATCATTATAAATGATATCAACTTCACAAGATCTTTGCTCGGATTAGTAGTTTCATTTTAGACATGTTTTGTTTCTTCAAGTCTTTTTCAAGTTAAATCTTGTTGCTTGTCAATGAAGACGTCTTTCGATGCTCTCTACCTCATTTTCAATACTGTGCGCTCAAAATCGTGATTAAAGACAATGTCTTAAAGCAGTCTAATGATTTTTATACGGTTAAATTTCAAGGTTTTAAAGCATTTACATTTGTCATGAATGTGATTGAAATTTCATTGCAATATATATACTTATTCAAGTGCACGACGACATTTCCTTTCCATAAAGTGTGAGTGAAATTGGTCATGAATTTCATATTTCAACGTTTAATCTTCTAAATATTGATTAACAAATTCTGATGGACTTTTGTTAGACTTTTTTTCACCTTTACTTGCCGTTATAGCTATATAGGTTGGATGACGTCAATGCTTATTTGACTTGTGGGCTGCCCGTTGCGTTTTTTAGCTGATCACTTGATTGATATCATTTTCCTTCCAGACAATCTGCGAGTCTTGCTTTCATTTCCTAATTCAAAAGCAATCTCACTTGAGTTCTTAGACTTTGATCTTGATTTCCCACTCCCTTGCTTTTCAGCTCAAATACAGGAGATTGGTCTCAATAATGACCTTCAATGTCATACCTTGTCACTTGTGAATCTGCTCACTTAATATCCCCATTAAGTTTAAAGACATTGAATTTGAGCTTGAAGTTTTTGCCTTTATTTGACATCGTGGAAGTCATTTGAACTTCTTTTCTTTTTTAGGCAATAGTTGTCACAATCAGATTTCGTCTTTGTCAAAATTCGATGACACCTTCAAATCATGATATCACATCCTTGATTATTATTTCTATTGCACTATTTTAACGTATTTCTTATTTCGAGGCTTTTCACTTTGTAAAATTATTCCTTACCTTTGGTGAACAGTACTATGGAGTGAATGACCCTATGACTCGAAGACTTCGTCATTACTGTTTATTTCCTTTTATTCAACTTTGTGTGTTGTAGTTATCGATTTTATGGGTGGATTCGGTATTTGATCTTATATGCTCCTACAAGTCCATCGTTAGAATCCATCGAGATTAGCAGTGAACAATTCTTGATGTACAATCGTTGTCTATATGTGAGTTTCATTAGCCAGTTTTATTAGAAACTCTGAAATTTTGCATTGTCATTCATTCTATGTGACGGTTAGAAGACTCCCATGCGCTGGTTGCTACGCAAAACAGCAAAATACGACATGAAGAGTTTCTTTACGCAAAAGAGACATATACACCGCATCCCACAATGCCTCATTTTTTGAAGTGAGTTTAGTCTAGTGTTTGCTGTGGTCTTATTAGATAGTAAATATGACAATTCAATGGAAACTGTCGTGTGTGGGGTTCTATGCGCTATACGGAAAATATTCCTAATTGAAGAATTGGGCTCTTATTGGCCATTCAATTTCCATATACAACTACCTTAAGTGAGAAAATGTTTCGTTTTCCGATTGATCCTGAAGTCATCCTGCTAGCTGCAATTAAGACGCTCGCGCAAAGAAGATGTTGTACTTTTGTAGCTCGAAGGCGATAAAATTGGATTGAGATTGTAATTTATGGGTTTTCGTCACGATAGCACGATTTACACATGTCTTACACTCCTATGAATCTTACTTACTTTTGGCAGGATCACTTAAATTTTGCGCGTCAAACCAGCGACGTGCTACTGATTCATTTTAAGCGGCAATATTTCAGATAAACTAATGACATGCACTTACGGCTGATCTTCGAAATATCGCTCTACCATCTTTCTATCATGACTTAGCACTTACTAAGCAAACACGCCTATCGTATAAACCTGAATTAGCTCTTTAATTATACGTACATTGACGAGTCACCACACTGATATCATTGTTTTAACCATGTTAGTGTACGTCTTTTGGCCGATGGATAGATACTTAGTTGCGATCCTGAATAGCACAAACTATTTTCTGACTTTTTAGACGAGGTATGGACCAATTAGACGCCTTATCTGTCCAGTTTTATAGCTTCCCTTAATTTAAACGTTACCTAGCGCTCCTGAACGGTAGTATAGTGGGGAAATAGCGTTCCTTATTACTGCATAGTGATCACCGAATCTTTAGAAGACGAATAGACCATTTCAACTGTTGTAATTGGAGTCTTCAAAGGGTAATACATCTGCTCAATTTGTCACATGCCGGTTTGTTTACATGCTTAGTGTGTTATCGAGCGTGGCGTTGTTTCTCTTTGTGTGACGATTGTTTTAAGCGTTGTTTGCGGATGAGAGCGATTTTGGGAAAGTCTGTATCATCTCGCCCAAAAGCCATCGATGAACTGCAATCCTTTGTCTGTGGGCAATCCATGTGACCGTAACAATTCAGATGTAGATCGGCGTTTGATTTGTACACGATTTTCCTTTATTTTTAAGAATTATATACACAGTGCCCTAATATTCTCCTACTTTTCGGTTTTCCGTAGCCTGCAGTGATAAGGGTTTTTTCTAATAAAGTTTTAGTTGTATTGTTCACCGTGCATTCCTCTGTACACACATCTTACAATTCAAAGTATTTTCTGGGCGCAGTCAATTCATCCTTTCCATTATTTCAGACGATGGAGACCTGTCACTTAAAAGCAATAAGTTGGGGCCATTGGGATATTGCGTTTATTACGGGATTAATAGTACAGGAAATTAGTATGTGATTAAAGAATTCGATTGACTCATTAGCTTAACAACCAGGACGAGCACATCGAATTTGCTGATATCACATGGAGCGCGAGCTCTCATTTGTTCTGACTTTTTGTTATACAATAGGCTGTATTTGGCGAACCTAAATTGGTTTAAGCGAATTCAACAACCTTCACGTTACAAATGAATGTGCTGCACGAACGAGAAATCATTTATGGCAGAATAAAAGGTTGCTAGAAACGTGATTTGCATGTCCGGGAAGTAAACATGTTGTTGTGCCAAGATATAGTGAAATCAGGAGCCTGTGTCTTAAGTTTTGCTTGTAGCAACAATGCAAGCTCCAAAGCACCCAAAGCCTTAGCTATCCGTTCGAAACAATGGTGAAGCGTGCATGTGAGGCTTTTGAAATATGGTAGTGGTGACATCCAGCGGGTATTGGTTGAAGTGGCATGAATGGCGGCAACCACTGTGTCGGACAAGACGCCTGAGAGCGGCGACGATGCAGTTAGCCAACTGAAAACTGCTAAAAATTGAGTGGAAGACTATTAAACTATCGTAAAGGTGTTAGCCAGTGAGCCTTTGTTCGTGCAGAGCTAATGGCGACCGGTCAGTAGAAGACTTGGAAGCCGGACAGTGAGGAATACCGCCAGCCTCATGGAGCCTGCTTTTGCATGCAAAGGAGGTCTATTTACCTAAGGTAAGGTGATAGCCAATCGCCTCCGGCCGATGTAGCGTCAATGGCGACCAGTAAGTATCCGATAATACACCCGAAAGTGACATGAGAACTAAACAGGTGAGCCGGGAGTGGGTCATAAAGCGACATATGAAGCGTCATACATTGCTTAATATTGATCCATGTGTCGACGCCGTTGATAAATGAAATTTGGACAACAACAAATATTGTACAAACTCGATAAGGGGCCTAAGCAGCTTGAAATCCTAACGTTTATTGCGATCAACGTTACGAACTGCGTGTTATTCATGCAACGAGTGATTTTCTCAGCTGATTGAAGAGGCACAAGAACACCGATTAAGACAATTTTAACGTTCTTAAAGAGTTTGCTACAATTACTTGAAGCCATTGGGCAGCGTTTACAGTTGATTTCAATAACACGCTCACTCCCTCTAACCAAAACCACAATTATCTCAACATGATACAGAAATACTGCAGTAAAGAGAGAATAGAGAGTGTTGTAGTTAGTGGTGATAGGCGTGTGGGTCTAGTGTACTTCAATTGTATACACACTCTCTAACAAAAACCTCCAACAGCTACTTGGTAATGTGGCCGTTCACTACGAATAACAGCGAGCCTCAAAAGGGATGTCCATACAGCGAAGGTCAAGCAGACACCAGCAATCCAATTTTAAACAAAGAAGTCAGTAGCATACCCAAATCGTCAGGTAGTAATGATAATTGGGTGTATCCATCACAACTACAATTTTTTGAAGCTATGAATCGAAAGGGCCATAAGCCGAATCCAAAGGATATGAACACAATTGTTCCCATTCATAATGCCGTTAACGAAAGAGCTTGGATGGAGATAAAGAAATGGGAAGATGGTAAAAGCGACTGTAAAGTTTATTTGCACAGCTTTAAGGGTCGCCCAAACGATAGATCGCCGAAAGCCTGGCTTAAGACTGCTTTAGGGTACTTGAATTGCTTTTACTCACTCAGATATGACTAACGTTTCTCGCAGATACATGCCTCCTTTTGACAGACACGATTGGATCATAGATCGCTGCGGACAGCGTGTACGATACGTTATTGATTTTTACGCAGGTTCTAACAAGCTGGGCCTTGATACACCGTCATTCTACTTGGACGTAAGACCAGCTATAGATGATCTTGATAGTATTACAATGCGTTTGTCGAGATTTATCATGTAAGAAATTTATGCAAAGTTACTTTTTGATTCGTACATTTTCCGGTGGTTGTGTGATGTATCTTGCGATAACGTTTGGAATACTGAAGCCTGATTGCTTGGCGAGATGAAGATAAAGCGAAATATTGTAGTGGAGTAAAGGATAATGCGCTAGACTTGCTGCCCTGGATGTATAAATATATCTGTCGATTCCGCTTGCAAAGAGATCCTTATGAAGATTTTTGCTAGTTTCTTCACCATCATTGAAACTAGCTGCTGATAATGCATTGATTAAGCTGAAAATAGATGTCAAATATCCTATAGCTTCATACTCGACCCCTGCTGTCATTCCTCCTGGTACTCTGAATCGGAGGCGTTCAACTTGCCTCATATCAACAGAGGGATAATACCAAATGCCATTATTCTTATGGCCAAAACACCTGTCATCATTTGAATTAGTGTAAGTTGATAAGTTGAAGAAGACGAACCAGAAGAAGTCTCTCTGAACTTCATACATCTCACTAAGAAACAATTTGTAAACGCGAGGTCTTTTAGCAATTTTGATAAACTCATGCTGGCTTTCTAGTGCTTGGTTAATAGGATTATGTATTAGCTGCCGCACCATATCCCCGGCACTTGTGAACGGGGTTGGTACCTTTAGTGGCTGTATTTGAGCAGAGTCTGTTGATCCGTTAACGTTACTCAGATAGCTCTGAGTTGTTGGAGACTTTATTAGCTGATCACTTGACGACTTTTCACCAAAGATTTCGAATATGAGACTTATCAATTCCATCATCAACTGCCGGGTTGGTAAACTTCCAGGCTTCTTGTCTGTGAACAACAAGTCAACCAAGGATTTGTATGGCTCTGGAGCCTTGGAAGACAAAGCGTGTAATCCAATCTTGAGACTGGTTAGTTACAACCTCTTGCATTAAATATGGACTTACCTCTGAAGTTGAAAGGCCTTTGAAACATCGCATAAGTTCGTGCAATATCTGATCATCGTGTTGCTCTTCCCTGGTTGCTATAATGAGACACATTGATAGTCTCAAGATAAAGACATACCTCCATTCCACTTTGAGTATTTCACTGAGGCTACTGCAAAGACCTTCGTATCCACCAGCATCGAAGAAATCGTACAACCATCCTGATGATTCTGCGCGAATAAGTTGTCTCAAGCGCTTAACTTTATCAATGGATAGAGTTGTGCTGTGTTCTTTCTCGAGCATTTTTGCAAACAAGATAGGGTTGTCAGCTTTTTCAATGTTACCTGATGCGCCAGTTAGACTATTTGATTGCTTGTTTGACTTTTCGGGAGATCTATCAGCATTTGTACTTTGTCCAGATTTAGGTTTTAGCTTTGATTGGGAAGGTTCGTTAGTTTTTGTGGTAGGCGCGGCAACCTCGGAAGCCTTCAAAATGTTCTCCTTTTTACGATTGTCCATTGCGCGTAACTGATGCCTAACGGGCAGTGGTATATCACGAAGTTCAAGCATTCTTTCGAAAGCTTTGCAGAATTCGTCATTGTTATTTTCATCTTGCTGCTTCTTTTTAGAGTCTTTGAGGGAAGTTAGGATGTTTATAAAGAAGGATATAACTTACTGAACCAAATACCGAAAGTTGACTTCTTTGGGGATTCTTGGGAATCTTGTTCGTCAATCATCCTATTATGCATAGATATCTCATTAGAGAAGCCTAAAGGCGGTGTTTTAGGTGTTTTCTTCATAGTCTGAGTTCAAGATAGTCAGATGACCGATTTTGATAAAACTCGCGTAATCTCTTGACGAAATAGGAAGTAAGTAACAAATAATACATTAGATCGGAGCTCCACGCATAAATTATAATCTGGATTAAAGGTAATATCACTAGCAGTTGAGCTGCGTAGTTTGTGACGGGAACACGCTTTAATTATACGTTTAAAGTGAATAAAACGATTTGTATAAAATAAAATTAAGTTACGTATACAACGTCATTTCTGGGTTGATACTACTTGGATTTCAACAACTATGTCATCGGATTTAGGTTAGGAATATATCACATGTTTCAACAGCACTAACGGACCACAAGTCACGCGCTTCGTTACACCAACTATTGCCATATTTAGTAGACCATTTTTACGCTTTCCAGGTGTCCCGATCGGATCAAGATCGACAGCTATCAAGCTAGAACAAGGTGACAATAAGGATAAAGTCTGGGTGTTAGCTAGCTCTCAGTGTGATGACCAAGTTATCGAGAACATTAACAAGTTAGGACAGGTCAAGTCCGTTTGAATTATTTTAATCTCGTTATACTAACATTCTATAAAAGATACCTCGTTGCCCCTGACACAGGTTGGTTTCTTTAATTTAATTATCTTTGCCACTCAAAATGACGTAACCAAGCTCATTACCTATATTTGAGTTAGTTTGAACGAATAAGATTCCTAGACTCTCTCTAAATATTTCCATAGAGCAGTATATCGACGCATTTCCAGATGCTAAAGTTATAGGTGTCGATGGCGTTCAGACGAAATTACAAGACGTAAAATTTGATTACATATATGGCAAGAATAGCAGCGAGGAAAAAGTCGGCTATGAGCCCGAAATGCAAGCTGTTTGGTTTGATAAATACATCAATCGCGATCTTGCCTTCTTCCATCAACCCACCAAGACACTAGTTCAAGCCGACCTTCTTATGAACTTGCCAGCCAATGAACAAGTAAGTCCTTCCGGCTAAGGCCAAATGTTAGACTCGCCAACTCATTAATGTGAAAAGTACTCAAAAAGCGATGCATCATCAGTACCTTGGTTTCCATTTGTCGGAAATATCAGGCCTGGTACACTTACACATCGTATAGCAGCAATGGCAATGTCAAAAAATGAAGCGTAAGTTTTGAAATGTGCAAAGAAGCTAGCTGATTACCTCGCACAGTGAAATCAAACAAGTCTACGATTGGGATTTTAATAGGATAATACCATGTCATGGTGTAAGTCAACAGCAATAACTGAATAACACAACTTAATTGCGTTAAGGATGTTATCGAGAATGATGGAAAGAAGGCTTGGTATCAAGTTTTTGAGAAATACCTTCCAAAGTCTTGAACATAAGATAAAATATGTATGTCTAATAATATTATTAAATTATTCAATTGGAGCTTTCCAGTCATGATTCCAAACTACATTTCGTGGTGTTTCTGTTGGTGCCCTTAAATCTCTTGGAAACAAGCCAGGTATGCGCATTGTCTGGGCTTTTTTCTTACCAACCTTTGCAGTGCTGATCTTTTGAGGTCGAGCAACAGCTTTTTCCCATAATTCAAAGTGAGTGTCTTCGAGTCGGCTCAAAGCTTCTCTCAACCTAAGATCACGGTTTTCAAGATCTTTAGTGCGAGCGTCTTGCTCAGCTCTTTGTAAAACATTAAACGCTCTCGTAATAGTATCATGTACTTCTTCACCTGGGAAGACAGCGTCTACAGACTTTTGAACATCATCTCTATGAGGAATTGAAGGACTCGTTCTGTTTGTTGGAGGTTGAGGAACATTTATGGGATAAAGCATTTGTAGAAGCTGTTCAGACTTATTGTCTGTGATGAGTTCATTATTCCCCTTGAAACCAGAAGGCGGGCCAGAAGCATATGCTCTTGTTGAAATGATTCTACTGGATGTTTTGAATGAATTTAAGAGCATCGCTTGATTTTTAAATTTTAAATTTACTTGAAATCGTTGTCACGGTTCAAATCGCACTTTACCAAACGATATGGACGGCTTATACAATCTAAGCGAATGGCAGAACGTTCATAACGAAAATTTCAGCGATAGGAATGAAGCCATAGAGAAGGAATTAGACTATGAGGTTGATAGGGATATTGATAACAACAATGAATCTAGCAGGGATTATTAGTAGGTGTGAAATTATAAACGTACTTGAGCTTATTTACATCAATAGCTCAATCTTGAATGTTCCACGCTCTGCGTCTAACGATTTGATTAAAGATCGCTACAAGCAGTTGGCAATCATCTTCCACCCAGATAAACAGCGCACCGATCAACAGAAAGAATCAGCTGCTGCTCAATTCTCTCATATTAAACAAGCTTATGAAGGTTCGTTACTCTTCCAATTGTCAATTTCAGCCTAACAGCAACTCTAGTCTTGTCAGATCCGTACAAAAGGATGGCCTACGATACATTGGGTGAAGAAGGTCTTAGAAATGACTTACAAGTGGGCCAAAGGTTGAGAACTCCAGAAGAGGTGAGCTTATTCACTCTCCTCGTATCGAAACTCACCTGGTCCAGATGAGAGAAGAATTTGAACGCAGACAAAGAGTCAATGAATTAGAATCATTGGAATCAGTCCTACGCAGTAAAGGAGATGTCAGTGTTCATTTAGACGCGACATCAGCTGTATCAGATGCTATTGGTATACCTAATTCCCCTCAGAGGAATATGCTAGGAAATCCCGTATTGGAAAAAACTGGTTTGACCAACTCATTAGCCGGTATAGCTGTACGTAGACTAGTAATGCAGCATTCGTTTGAGGTTAGTCTTCTCATTCTATCTATATGTCTCAACTCATTTTTTATATATAGTGCCCAATAACCAGACAAACTCAAATTGTCGTACTCGGTCAAATGGTTAGCAAGGGTAACACAGGTGGCGGTAATGTTATGGGTACAATTCGCCATTTTTATAGCCCAAAGTTAACATTCAACATCACACAAACGTTTCTCAAACCTCAATTTACACAAATTGCAGCTATTTATGACATAGATGATGAAACTAACCTACAAATTACTTCAATGCATCCAGATCCTAAGCTTTTTCCACAAATAAATTTAACATTGAGTAGGAGAGTGTATGAAACAGTTCAAGCTTTCTTTTCATTAAGACTACCTTCACCTATGGGTCCATCAAGCCTAAGCGTCGGTGCAAATGGTATCACACCAGGAAGGTCATCATCCAGTTGGAATACTTCAGTTGTTTTTGGTCCGGTAGAGAACGGTTTTGGTGTCGAGTGGGGTAGACGTGTGTTGGATAATACGATAAGATTTAGATTGGGTACGAGTCTAAGCTTACAAGGTATATTCAACTCATTTGCATGGGCTGAACGCAAAATTACTAGAGCTACCACCATTGGTTTCGGTGTAACGTGTAGTTTACCTGGCGGGGTTATAGCTAGATTTAGATGGTCGCGACTTGGTCAAAGAATTACTATACCAATTCTATTGTCTCGTGATTTGGACTTAGCCGTCGCTGGTTTAGCAGCAACTTTGCCCTCAATTTCAATGATAGTGGTACATTACACATACTTAGCCCCACGTAACAAAAAGCTGAAAGCTAACAAGCTCAAGAAATTACGCCAAGATTATAAAGAAAAGACAGAAGAAAAGAGATCAGAGGCGAATGAAGCTGTATCAATTTTGAAAAGTTACTCAGACAGGAAGGAAGCGGAGGAGATCAAGAATTCTGGTTTAATTATAACAGAGGCAACTTATGGTTCATGCGAAGATATTGGCAGTACTGATCAGGAACGAATAGATGTTAAAATTCCCCTGACTTCATTAATAAATGATAGTCAACTATATATACCAAAAGGAACATCTAAATCTGGCTTGATTGGCTTTTACGATCCTTGTCTTGGAGAGAAGAAGAATTTAATCGTAACGTATCAATATCAACTGCGTCAGCATCAAGTGGTCGTTAAGGATAAAGAGGAGATTGCTTTACCACAGCGTGATCATCTCGTTTTTGTGGAATGAAAATACATAAATTAGTTGATTTCGCTATCGCTATCTTTACTAAAGTTTACTTTCTTCTTTTTTCTACTCGAGCGTGTCGATCTTCTTGTCTGAGGCGGTGGTAATTGTGGCGGTGGTAGCGGAGGTGGTGGAGATAGTGACGACTCTCTCGACTGTGCTGATTCAGAAGGGGACTTTTCTTCTTTGGCAGTCTCCGCCAAACGTTTGGAGGGTACCTTAATTTGTTTATCAGGACTAATAATGGTTGTGACTACTCCTGGTACAACGTCAACTTTCTCTTTACTATCCTCAACCTTAATGTTATTAATCTCAGCTGTGCTTTCCTTGTCCTTAGTAGAAGGCGATTGATCTTTGAATGCTTTCAAATCCGCAGCGAAAAGTACCTATATTTGATCAGAAAAACACCGGCTAGTCTAAATTTTCAAGAAAATAAATAACCTACAGTATGTGCCCAGCCAGCGTATGGACCCCATAAATCCCTGAACATTTTACCAACAGCAGCGTAAATGGAAGGGTTCATAGGAGTAGATTGAGTAACTTTTCTACCTTTGCATAGCTTAACATAAGAGGATTCTAGGAAATTGTAATCTCTTATTGCAATTTGCCAAACGTGAGTATCAACTGGAATGCTATCAAATTGATCTAGTGACATCAACGCAACGCAATCAGCAACTTTTGGACCAACACCCATCAAGCGAGTGAGTTGGGGTATAACAACATCGTAAGGATCTTTTCGAAGTTGACATAAGTAATCGAAAACGCCTTGATCAGTTTTGTGTTCATCTAATAAAGTCAAAGCAACATGATGAACATATTTTGCTCTATAACCGAAACCTAATTGGCGTAAATCGTCTTCAACACCATTTTGTGATAATTTAGAAGGAGGTGGAAAGGGATGTCTATTATAAACTTGATCAACATCCTTCAAAGGTTCAGAGAATTTGAATGATAACTTATTTATCATTTGACTGTTTTAATTTGTTAATCAGAGCTAAAGAAATGGAGTAAACGGACGAGATACGTGAAATGTTGTTATTTGAAGAGCAAATGAAACTGATAAGACATTCCCAAGGGTCTTGTCTAAGAATGAGAATGCCATTGAACTTGTTTGTCGTATTGATGAGATTAAAGTGATTATCTCTAGCAGACCAATCTTTATATAAGTGATCCAAATCAATGCCTAATTGAAAGTAATCCTTTATAAAGTCAAGATCTTTATCAAAATCCAATGGAAAAGAAGAAAATTCCAAAGCATTTGGGATCGACTGTTTAAGTATGATAGTTCTATCGCGTAGTGCTAGACTGAATTCATTTGTTGTTGTGTTATGCATCCACTGTATAACATTGATAAGAATTTCGACTGTTGAAGACTCTAAAGACACACCCTAAAAGATTGACCACACTTCAATACTATACTGATGTTTATTTTAAAATTGTCTAGCGTCCGCCATTTCATGTCTGCGTGTTACTTCTTCACGATGGTACGGTTCAAGGTTAGTTTAGATTAATTGGTTAAATTATGAAGCTAATAATTTTACTGCGTAATAGAATAGATGGATAATTGCTGAGTTCATCTTTGAAGATAACTTACCTGGCTGTAATCGTACTTCAAAACCAATTTCAACTTCTATAGATTCAAGGCATATATTGCAATCTATTAGAAGAAATATTTCCGTTCACTTTGGTGATTTAGGTGCTGCATCTGTTGCAAACTCCTTATCGCGTTAGTTGCAAACACTGTTTTATGCTTTGTTGACAAGTTATAGTCAAGTATTACTCTGCTAATACACGTCTTGGTATATTTAGAGTCGCAAGGAATTGTAAGGATGTTTTACAAGCAACTCTCACCTTAACTACCTCTTTATCTAATCATCCAGTCATTATCAGAGTAATTCACGTCAGTGGTACAATTAGGAAGGTACAAGAAGCCGCTATTAAGTATGATAGGCAGATTATACTGAATAGCTTTACTAGTAATGATTTGGATGAAGAAATGCAGTTATCCAAGAATGGTATCATGTCAATTGAATCTTAATAGATATATATATATCAAGTAATAAGGATATTTATACAATTACAAAATTAAACGATAGTTATGATCGATTAGCAGTCGGTGGTGATCTTGATCTATTCCTAACGGAGCCTCTTCCTATAGTTTGTATTACTATTATAAAGATCTAATTGATATTAAATTAACTCACTCTCTGCGTATCTAGCTTCACGTCTTGCCTCTCTTGAATCAAAATTCCTTGCTCGTGGATCAATCTCGTGACCAGGTGGTGGATTGAGGTTTGCGTTTGAAGAATTCGTTGGTTGATTCTCTTCATAAAGACTACTACTTATGTTGATATCGTCGTTAGTTTGAGCGTCAAATTGTTGGTGATCATATTTTGAATTAGATTTTCTAATTTCTTCATCTTGTTGCTTTCTACGTTGAATAGAACGATTTTCAGTGATTTCGGAGATAATTCTCCTTAATTCAAAGTAACCTAAGTGCATCTTTCCACCAAAGTGATCCGCTAATCTTCTATCGCTATCTAAAATGGATAAATAAGCACCACAGATATCGCAAACACGTAATTTCTGATGACCTGAAGCGCCTGAGGTTTCAGTCAATTCTGTTAATTCTTGTTCTTTATTGACCTTCTCTTCCTTTAAGGCTTCAACTTTTTGTAATTCTTTCATAGATTCTTCAACTAAACCTGATTCACCTAACTTTTCCACGTCTATCATAGCTTGATCCATAGCAGCTTGAATTTCACCAACCTCCCTCATCAAAGCTGTAGTTTTGTTATTTTCTTCAGGAGTTTTCTCTAATCTCTTGTGAGCAGTTCTTATACGCCTATCACATTCGCTAACGAAGTCTCTAATGTTATTTTCATATTCTCTGTGAAAATCCGCAAAATCGCTTGGATGAGATTGTTGGTTGCTTAAAAAGTCCACTTTAAGTTTCTCAGCGTGAGATTTTGGACAAGGACCGAGATCCATTTTCTGAGGAAGGGGAGTGAGCTGGTTCGATTAAAATGGCTAAAGGTAAAGACTAACAGTATTACTGAATAAGTCATGTGGACAAACGCCGCATAGGAAATTTCTGCAGACTTGTTGGTCTGTGAAATGCAGTTTGAGTGATTTAAAGCCCATAGCTTCAGCGCCCATCATTTGCTTTTAATATGATGAGTAGAATCATAAAATATAAGAACTAAATCACCTCAAGCAATTTACGTTGAATTTCAGCTAATTTACCCATAATGACTGACGATTAACAAGAGGAATTCGAGAATTCATAAGATAACAAAGATTTAAATTCAATAAAATTTAGATTGGTGGACTGCAAGTGATTGTTACATAGTAAGTGTGATAACGCAGCTTTCGAGTGATTGATTGTGGTATCATAAGATGTTATAATGGATATCAGATACCTTATGATATGTATAGATTGATTGTAATTAGATGATAATGCTAGCAGCAGCTCTGCGTATTGATTTAGATTTAGATTTTTACTAAATTTATCACGAAAAGTGTAGTTGAAACCTTTTGTCGAGTAAAGTGAAATGAATTGCTCGTTGAAGTGATTGATAATTGAGTTGAAATGATTGACAATCTTTGATAAGCCATTCAACTTGAACTTAAACTCATTTATACTTTGCTCAAATTCAATCACTTTGCTTGAGACAAATCTATAATCAATATCTTCATCTAACTCCATCAATTCCATCTTTAGAGTTAACGTGTTTACTAATTCCATCTCATTTACTATATCATCATACTTCTCCAGCTTATCCACACAATCAAATAACATCTTCTTCACTTGCCTATAGCTTAATTCTCTCTCTCTCTCCTTCCCTTGTTCTTGCTTACTCGGTGAAGTAGCTTTACTCGGCGAATTTGCTTTATACGTGTTTGATATTCTTTTGGACATAATAAAATGAAGCTATTGATTATCAACAAGCTGTTAAATTCCCCTTTATTCCTGATTATTCTTAAGCTAGTGGTGATCGTTTATTTACTAGTAATTCCTCAGTTAAACCATAAAATTTATATCGACGAAAACGCTTTACAGCCAAACAATTTGATTCCTTTATATAATAATCACTTGGTAAAGCTATCCGACAGTTACTCTGACACTTTACAACATTCTTCATTACATCAATATCATCATTTTATTGAGAATACTCTACAATCAAACGCTTTACAAGCATTGCATCACACAGCATCAAACTCATCTTACTCTCTCTTAAAATCTCCAAGAAGCTCAAACTCTGAATCGATCATCATACACTCACCGATACACTCTTCAATTGACTCCATTTACACCCTTAAACACTCAGATAACGTTCCAATTAATGTACGAGGTATATCAACAATCCTTTCTCTATCTAAATTCTTCAATAACCAATCCATTTGGTCAAAAGATATCTTATTCGTTTTCACTGACCATTTAGACGTCTTTTTACATGACTATATGAATGGTAACATTACAACAATACCAAAAAACAATATCTGGTTGGGTTACTCCCTCGACTACTCCTCTGACAGCTTCAATCACTTATCCATTCAATATCAAGCACCCTCTATTTTACCGAACTTTGACATTATAGCTACTCTGTATTCCATAGCAAACCTGCATTCCGTTCCAGTTCAATCTCCAACTCTAATAGATACTATTAAGTACGCAATCTTTCATCACCCGAATTCATCACATCATTCCTCAATGTTAAGCTATAAGATTGATGCAATCTCAATCATGTGTAATCCAAGTCATGGTCCACATGGTTTTTTGAGTCTAGGTAGAACGCTTGAGGCCTATACTCGATCTATCAACAATTTAATTGAAAGACTGCACGCTTCTCTTGCTTTCTACTTATTCTTTGACAATAAGCTTATCATGCTAACTCATTACATCCCATTGATTGCAATACTATGCTTGATCAATCTCATTAATGCCTTCAAACCCTTCAGTATTTCAGAAAGAGATATACTCGTGATTCCTTCAGTCATCTACTCCTTCTATCTTCTACCTATCACCAATCAGCTATGGATAATCCTCTCCACTATCTTCTTACGCGCTTTCACTTCAAGGACTAGTTTTAAACTGACTTCCACTGTGGTAGTCATCTACACCACTTTGTTCAATTTCTATGTCAGTGCGATTGTAGCTCTTATATCAGCATTTGTATAACCAATTTGTGTTATAGCAACTATAACATTTAAACTTGATTAATAATTTAATAGGAATTGATACGTTTTTTTAGTACGATTACATACAATTACTTCATCTTCGCTGTTGATTGACTTCAATCATCGGAAATGGCTTCGTTTGAAAGATTACGACAGATTTGGGAAGATCGCACTCCAGGAGAGCTAGAACAATTGCAAAAGCCTATTTTGAATGAAGCACCGCCTCGACCGCCAATTTCGACCAAGCCATCAAAGTCCTCTTATTCTTCTGAATCGCTCCCAACATTATCTAAGCATCGAAGAGCACCACCTGAACCGCCAACAAGCCGGCTAGCGCCACCAATTCCTCCAAAACATACAAAAGCTAGCTTCAGCTCAGACAATTTACATCAGAGACCTACAGCGACCCCATCACCCTCACCTAACCCTTATTTGGTTGAACGAAGTCACACTGCAATTCCTTCAAACTCGAGTGCAACTCTCTCAAATAATGGTTACTCTAGTGAAAGCGATGAAGATGAATTTTACGTTGATGATAGTTCTGTGGCAGGTCCACAGGCTAGACGTGCGCCAAGCATACTACCCGACGTTTCCCATGCCAATAGGCGCGCTCCAAAACTAAAGTTGTACCACTCCGTTAGTTCAAAAGGTCACTTCTTTAGTGCGGCTTCGTCAAACAATTTTGTCGTAACTGGTAGTCATCACTTACGTATTTATGACGCATCAAATTCAAACAACAGCGATGTACCATTCTTTGAATCTCCAGATAAAGACACAAGAATAACTTCAATAACATTCAAGCAATCGAATGGCTCTGTATTTTGGGGCGGAACTAAGGACGGTTCGTTGTTTGAAATGGATGCAATCGATGGGACATGCTTTGATTGGAAGACGTACGAACATTCAGGTGCAATCATTGGTATATGGAGACTGAACAATCATATGATCTCACTTGATGATGCTGGAGTTCTTAAAGTCTGGTTACCTGTCACGCATTCAGATGGTAGCGTTATACCCACACTCAAATCACCAACCAAATTATTCCGCATCAACTCTGATATCACATTTGCTAACTTCCTAGGCGACAAACTTTGGCTGGCCTCTTCTACCAGTCTAAGCGCTGATCCGAATGTTGTAAAGACGATCACTTTAAGGGTTTATGATCCAATAGGTGCTACGTATGGTGGCCAATTAAACCTAACACCTAATCCTCTTATACCCTCATCAACAGTTCAACAATTAGCAGTCACAAGTGGTACAGTAATACCTTCAGTACCTGATAAAATATACCTTGGACATCAAGGAGGTTTCGTTAGCGTTTGGAATGGCAAAGACTTCACCTTTTTAGGCGCTCTTAAAGTATCATCCACTCAAGTTGATGCTTTAGCTGGTGTTGGTGGCTATTTATGGGCTGGTTTCCATAGCGGTAGAATCAACGTCCTAGATACAAACCAGGGCTCAATGACTGACTGGAGAGTGGTACAAACTTGGCAGGCTCATAAAGAAAAAGTGTTGTCTATACAAGTTGACACTGCTTTATTGGAAACTGGTATGCTGGCTGTGATTACAACAGGCGCAGATTGGAATGTGAACTACTGGGATGGTATGTTGAAAACTGCCCATGTCTCTACGGAATTACAAAACAGAGAAAATACGTTCTGCTCGTTTACACCGGTTAATTTGCTAATAGTGTCGTGGAACACTGACGCTTCAAAACCTTCCGATTTAATTGATAGTCATAAAAGTGGATTTTTTTCAAAGTCAAGCCATACCAATAACGATAATTCATCATTTCTTCGAAAAGCACTATCAAGTACTGAAAGTCCTGATATCATTGTCTTCGGGTTTCAGGAATTGATAGATTTAGAAGATAAGAAGCTCACTGCCAAAACCATGCTGCTACCTAAGAAGAAAGCTGACAGCGCATTGTCTGAACGCATCTCTCACTCTTATAGGCTGTGGTATGACCATTTGGTCATGGAAGTCGAAAGAAATATGCCAAAAAGTAGTCCATACGTTGTATTGCATGCTGAAAACTTGGTTGGATTATTTACTTGCATCTTTGTTCGTAAAGAGAACAGGGAAAATTTAGCTGACGTTGCCATTACAACTGTTAAAACTGGACTAAAGGGTAGATATGGCAACAAAGTCCGTACTTGCTAAGATATTAGATTAAGCTAACTAGTATTTATAGGGTGCTATTATATCTAGATTCGTCCTCGATGACTCCTCTTTCTGTTTCATTAATTGCCATCTTGCTGCAGGACAGAAGCATACGAAGCAACGTAATCAAGACTTAGTTTCAATATTGGAAGAAAAGGTAGCTTTTGCAAACGATCCAGTCAGATCTGAGCTAAGTTATGTTAATGGAGGTGATGGATCCAGTGTCTTTGACCATGAAACAACATTCCTCAATGGCGATGTGAGTGATACTGTGCTACATTGGCTACACAATCTGATAATTTCAGCTTAATTATAGAGTTGATCTTCGTCGTGAAGCGGTTTTACCAGCAATAACAAAATCAAACTTTGAATACCTACTAAATCACGATCAACTTAACAAACAAATGGAAACTAACGCACAATTCAAATTAAGAGACTTTAAAGAGCCACCAATAACTTATGCACCGACATACAAGTATGACAGAAAGACAAATGTTTATGATACATCGGATAAGAGAAGAACACCTGCCTGGTGTGATCGAATACTATCACGTACAGTACACTTGCCAAGAGTTAGCAATTTACATTACAAGAGGTATGAAGTGAACGTCTCAGATCATAGACCGATTTCGGCCGCTTTTCAAGTACAGACAAAAAAGATTGATCATGCAAAGAGGAGTAATGTCTTGTTAGATGTTGAGAATGAGTTTGGCAGTATATTTGCTGAGACTATAAATGATGAAAAGAGGTATTATGAATACAAGTAATTTTATATCAGCTTTGTACATTTAGCTTAATATTTATTGATGCGATTGCGATTGAGGTGAATAGATTACATGTCAAAACTGTCTTGATTGGGTACATCGTCGTCCAAGTCTTGAACTTCCTCAACGTCAAAATCTCTACTTTGATCGAGATCTGGTGGAGAAGATTGAGGTACATCTTCCGGGATATCGTCATCTTCAATTTCGTCATCTAAGTCACCTTCCTCGTATCCATCTTCGATAAGCTCTTCTTCATCATCATCATCCGCATCATCCATATAGTCTTCCTCGATAGATATCTCTGCCTATTTTGGTGTCAAAAAGCAAAGACATGAAAGGAATAAGACCAACATCATGCTCCTCGTCTAATTGAGTCTGTCTTTTACCGAAAGGAACAATCCAGCTATTGCCCCAATCCTTAATCATCGTAGAGTGCTCTCTCACCAGCGACTCATTTCGTTGAAGTTTATCAATGAAAGCCTGTGATCCAATTGGTCTACCTGCCATAACATCTTCAAAGGATGCGCTGTTCGTATCTAAGTTCAAATTATTACTATTCGGTATTCGTGACTGTTGTGTGTTATAAGCCAACGGCTGCTTACGACGCGGCCTTAGATTCATTCTCTGATTTGACAATTCAATATTTTCATTCTTGAAAAGCTGAATGGGAAGTTGCAAGTTTGGTAACATTAATCAAATTTCCTTATTAGAAGATGAAAGTTGATTACAACGTCCATGGCAGATACCAGGTTGTGCGTTAGCGCACCAGGAAAAGTCTTGATAGCGGGAGGGTATTTGATATTAAGTAAGGAGTACAGTGGTGTAGTACTTAGTACAGAGGCTAGATTCTACACGTATATAGAGAGTTGTGATGATGAAGATATAAAGGTTATTTCCCCGCAGTTTGGCAGCGAATGGATCTACGATAGCAATATTAAGCAAATAAATACGTAGGCCTGCTATAAATTTCATCTAGAAATCCTTAATGTTTCGATCAGTGAACAACAGAATGACTTTGTCCAATTAGCTTTGGAGGAAGTCAGTAAATACATCGAATATAAACATGATAGTTCAATGAAAGGGCTAAGAATCGTTATAGCTGCTGACAACGACTTCTACTCGCAACGTGCTTACGTTAGTTAATCTTATTGTCACATACCAACCAATGTCTGACTGTTGAGTACAGCTGAGGAGTAAGCAGCTCGATGCGACATATCGCAACCTTCAAGCAGTACCTAAACTCAATAAAGATCTCAAAAATATAAATAAAACCGGTCTTGGAAGCAGTGCTGCATTGATAACATCACTCGTTGGCTCATTGTTACTACGTTATAATAGTGTATCAAAGGAGTTTACCGATAATGACAAACAACTTGTGCACAATCTAGCTCAATATATTCACTGCAGAGCTCAAGGTAAAGTTGGATCGGGATTCGATGTATCTGCAGCTGTTTTTGGTAGCCATACCTACTCCAGATTTGATCCTGCAACTATCAATGACCTAATCGATCAGTATACATCCGGTGAAATGATTGATAGCATCGTCAATAAGGGTTGGGATAGTCTTGTTGACAAGATTGCTTTACCTTATGGTGTATCCATGCATTTGGCTGATATTGAGTATGGATCTCATACGCCTAGCCTTGTGAAGAAGGTGAATGAATGGAAGTCAAAAAATTTGGATCAGGGTATGTCGTTTATCTTGCATATACTCGATAATTAAACTCACGATCAATGAAGCAAATGAGCTATATAAATCTTTGGATATCAGTAACAAGCAATTGGCTGGACTTCTAGTTGCTTTAAATAAATCATACGAAACAAACCAAGACGGCTACTTGCACGCTTTAGATTACTTATCCAATTTAATACCCAGCGAGGTAAGATATCAAAACATGTTAGTTATAGACTACTGACATCTGCAAAGTGGTTAAAAGATGAAAGCAATAGCGTCGTGAATCAATTTGTCGATCTGAAATTGACACTACAAAATATCCGTGCTACATTCAGAACGCTTTCTGCGAAAGCTGACGTACCTATCGAGCCAATACAACAGACGAGGCTATTGGAAGCCTGCTCGGAGATCAAGGGTGTCATAGGTGGAGGCGTACCAGGAGGTAGGTAATCTTTACTTTAGCTAAAGCCTAACCTGATACATACAATTAAGCGGGTGGATATGATGCTATATACTTATTAGCAATAAGCTCAACACAAACGGCAAACGAAATAGAGAGCAAGTGGTTGAAATGGGACGAGTTGAGTGTCAGTCCACTAGTTTGTGGTGAAGGATTTCAAGGTATCAAGAATGAGGATGCATTTGATATCAGTAGACTGCTAGGTACTTGATGTTTACAAATGAGATACATAATTGCTGAGCTTTGACTTGTTGCAAATGCTGTGGAAATGAAATTGTGATAATGTAAGGGATTCAAAGCATCGTATTCGTTAGCTCAGTCTAACTCAAATCAAAGGTTGAAGAGTTGGTTGAATCAGCGGAAAGTTGTTTGGTTAAAGCGGTGGATGCAATTGTGTTGAAATGATTATCTTGTTGCTCGCTATTGCAGCTTTCTTGTGAAAAAAGATTGAAATCGTTTGTGCGTGATCGTTCATTACTGACAAGGGCTTTACCTTTATCATTATTTGTTGGAGTTTGTGTGCTCTTAATTAACTTTTGATTGAGTTTATCATCGAGGTCGGCGCTATCGCTGCTGAGGAGATACGAATGATCATTTTCAGAGCTAATATTGAGAGGATTGTTGAATTGTATCGAGTTCAACTCGTTCTCTTCGTATTCAACGTCATTTTCTTTGTGATTCATGTTATCAGTGTTAAACTTCTTAGATAGGCTAATATCGGCATCATCATCTGGTGCCAATCAAACACTCTAAGATACGAAAGATCTCTTTGATCTTAACTCTGTCAAAAGCTGCTTATTACGCTTAAATTTGATTGATTTCTTCTCCTCAGCCTTAGCTTCCTAATCGTAATCTTTAACTCTCGCCATCTTTAATGGTTTTCTGTTTCTAGTTCTCATCTCTTATCACGCATACTCTTCAATACGAGCAATGATTAACGGTGATATTGAAGAGGGAGTGAGTGGGTTAATTTCAAACAAAAAATTAAATTAAATTTCAAAGACAAAAGATGGAAATATTGATTTACCAGTGAAATCCACTTCACAACTCTCGCTGTCTTCCTCGTCTGAAGAAGATGATGATAATGACACGGAGCCAGAAGTTGTACAAACGAAACATCCAGCTGAACGTAAAAGACGTTTATCGTCTATACGAAGATTAAGATTCAGCAGATCTCATTCAAAACCGAGATCTTCGTCCAGTAATAGTAACTCTAAACCAGAAACAATTGAAAGAAGTCAAAGCCCTGACTTGGAAGCACTCAAAGATGGAACTTCAGCTTCAGAAACTGAGTCAGTTGCTGAGTTGAGACCTAGAAATAACGCGTTTGACGATACAGACGATGATGATGTTAGCGATGAAGATCTATCCGATAATCCAGCAACAGATGATGAAAATGACGAATCATGGAATTATGATGAAGAGTTATATTATAATACAGAAGCTAATTCCAAGTTTGTTGTTGACAAACCGCTATATGTTAATCCAGAAGATAATCAATTGATCGATGAAGGTCCTAACATTACTAGACCGATTGAAGATACTTATCATACTCATTACAAGAGAAATAATCAAGATATAACCTTAGATGGTCCAAAGTTTGAGAAGAATAGGTGTACTTTGACAATAAAGCAAGGTGATCCAAATAATGCATTAATCAGTAATAATAGAAGGAGAAAGAGGTACATCCTTGCAAGTGATCTATCGAATGAGTCAAAGTATGCAGTTGAATGGGCTATTGGTACTGTATTGAGGGATGGTGATGAATTATTCATCGCAACAGTTCAAGAGACTGATACAAAACTGGATGGTAAATCAAGTAGAAAGTCTGGTGGTGATAAAAGCAAATTTCAAAAAGAAAGAGCAGCATTCAGTCAATTTCTAGCAAAGCAAGCAGTTTCAATATTACAAAGGACGAAATTGCACGTGATAATTACGTGTCAGGCTGTACATGCGAAGAACAGCAGGCATATGTTGATAGATATGATTGACTTTATTGAGGTGAGTGTTGAGTAAACCAAAAGTGTCGCTAACAAGAATAAAAGCCGACATTCGCTATAGTTGGTAGTAGAGGTAGATCAGATCTGACGGGTATATTGCTTGGATCAACTTCGCATTACTTGGTGCAGAAGTCATCAGTACCCGTCATGGTTGCAAGGAAGAGAATAAAACATGGACCACGCAAGCGTGGAAATGCAGATTTAAATAATCGCAGACACGTACCATTGAGTAGAGCTGCTATTGATAGGGTTGCAGCAAAGGATGAAAGTAAGATTGAGACGAAAGAAGATGATAATGTTGAAGGTGATGAAGGTGACGAGGAGAGCGAAGAAGAAGAAAATAAACAACAAGGCAGCTAAAGTAATGATTACATATTTGGTTTATATATAATAAAGACAATGACTAGCAAAATTAGTAGAATCAATAAGCATATACACTTGAACTTTGAAGAAGACTTTTGGTATTTGGTTGCTTGATTTAGTTGAGTGACAGCGTTATCGACTTGAGTTTTTGTACCTTGAGCATTAAAGTCAATTCTATCAAATAAAGTACCTTGATCAATCACGAGTGTGTTTAAATCTCTAAACAACTCAGCTAAATCGGATATAGACTGAGCAATATTGTTAATTTCGAAATCCCTTTGATCTAAATCGTTATCGGATTGTAAATGCAGTTGATGACTGTTCAGTTGGTTCTTAGACAATTGTTCATCATCTTTGAGAGATTGATAAGGATCAGCATCAGGAATATCAAAGTTAGACTGGTTATAACCGCTTAACTTGTCTAAATAAATTCTCTGTTTCTTTCTAAATGTTGAAGACAAAGATTGAATCTTAGTTGCTAGAGCTGTTTTTATGTTCTTAGATAACGTAATTTGATCAATTGAATTTGAGTTTGATTGTACTTTAGATAATAAACTATGTGAAAATTTAAAATTGTTTGTAATTTCAATAGTTAAATTATCAATTTCCAGTTCCTCATCCGACCTATCATTAAACCTTGGTAATAGACGCTTTTGATGGAGTGTATCTAGATGTTGAATGAGTTTGTTTGAATGTGATAAAATGTTGTTGATTTCATCAGATATGTCTACCCTTATAAATATTAAGTTTAAGCTATTAAATCAATAAAGTAATTCAAACTAACCACTTAGGGGGCAATTCATTCAAGCCATTCAAGTCATTTGAAGCTGAATTCTCTAATAAAGGCTCGCGAATATTTGAGCTATCTTCAGTTATATGACTATCCCTATAGCTCAAATATAATCCTGTTCGACTCCGAGTTATCATCGATTGTGATGGTATCAATAGAACAACCATGAATAATCTATTAAGGCCAGTCAGACGATTCTCAACTTCAATTTATAGACAAACTATCCATAATGATTTAAATATTATCAATCAAAACCGTAACAAGGTTCTTCTGCTTGACTTCACTGCGGAGTGGGTTAGTTTCCTCCTTCATCTTCTAGCTTTTCCACTCAAGATCTCCAGTGCCCGCCTTGTAAACTTTTAGGTCCTTTATTAGAAAATGTCAGCCAATCTGAAACCAGCAAGGTTGATCTAATCAAAGTGAGTGTTCTGTAGACAATAAGCTATAGCGCTCATGACGCGAATTAAGATCGACGTCGATGAAAACATTCCTCTGGCTCAAAAATATGGAGTTAGTTCAATGCCAACTGTCATAGCTGTCAAGAATGGTGAACCTGTAAGCAAATTCGTAGGCGCAATCAACAAGAACCAATTGGATGAATTTGTAAACCACGTTTCAGCTTAGATGTCATGTTGTTACCGTAATTATATCATCAACCTTCGTTATCTTTAATCCATCATCTGCTTTTTGAACCGTAAAACTCCTCAATGCTACGATCTAAGCGGTTAAAATACTCATTTTTACCCTCAAACACCCTACAATTTCAAAAGCGACGGTCAACCATCTTGGCTTGTAAAGAAGCTTTACTTATCACTGCTAGAGCTTCCTTGCTAGCTGCTCCTTTCATCTGGCATTTTAAATTACACAAAAAGTATAAAAAGACTACTGGTTGGTTTATAAAAACCCCTGTCATTCTAGCATGTCTAGTCATAGCTATAGGCTTGGATTTATCCCCAATAACAGGTAGATGGAGATTACTATGGATGTCTGAGCAAGATGAACTAGAGTGGTCAAATATGAGATTAAAGTCTCTTTTGAACAAGGACGAAAATTTTGCTATCTTGGACAATAGTGATCCTCGTACAAAGTCAATCCTCAGAATAACCAGAAGGCTAGTCAACACCCTACCATCTTCAAATAAAGTATCAATTCTACCTACCTGGCCAGATCCTATCACTCACGGTATATCCTCCTTAGTTGATCGAAGAGACCTTAAGAAACCATCGACGACTACTTCACACATGGACATAGTTAACTTTCCAGACGGTCTAACTCTACATCATCCTGATCTAAAGGCTAATTGGAACATTTACCTTATAGATGATGATACTCAATTCAATGCTTACGCCATGCCTAGTAAAGATATTGTCATTTATACAGGATTAATGGATTTACTAGACTACAGAGAGGATTTCTTATCAACTGTATTAGCTCACGAGATTGCACATGTTACTCAAAGACATGCTATTGAAAACGTAAGTACTCTCATCTTGACATTACCTTCGTCTAGCTCATACGGATTCACAGCTGGGCGTGAGTTTTCAGATTAAGATGCAATTTGACGCTCAACCCTAATCGACTACAGCTTCAAAACTTGGCTGCCGTTGTCTTTGATTTCGTCAGAGGTGCTATAGTTTCTTTTACTATGTGAATAATTAGTCACGAAGATAATACTCAACTAACAACTAAAGCAGACCATTTCCAATAGTAACATCGTCACTTACCTTAGCAATAAACTGGATCAATGACCCTCTCAGTGATAGTGCATTCTCACGTAAACTAGAACTAGAAGCAGATGTTGTAGGCTTAAACATCATGGCTAGGTTTGTTTGTTTGTCTTTTTACTTCTTTCTGTCTAACAACCCTCTTAGAGCTGGTTTCAATCCAACTTGCGCGCTCCAACTATGGTCTATAATGTCTGCATTCGACAAAGATAACAATGAGAATAAATCAATCTTTGAGCAAGCCTTCCCATTTCTGAACACTCACCCACCATCAGAATACAGGCTCAGCGTGGGTGCTTAACTTATTCATAAACACTGACGTAACATACACAGAACCTTCGAAAACATATGAATGAAGCTATAGATATTTACAATAATACACTAACAGATAAGATTATTAAATAAGCTATTTATCTACCTGGAGACATTGATCTATTTCTTGATCCATGCCCATTGCTTTCAGGTTGAGTAGCAGGTTCATGTAATTTCCTTTCAAGTCTTTGAGAGTGTTGTAAATCCCTAATTAATGATCTTGTTGGTCTCTTCAGGTGCATGAAGTTGCAGAATCCTCCTCTGTTACAATCACCTGTATCGTTTTGCCTGCAGCAAGCTTCTCTGAAATCCGTGACAGGGCTTAACTCGCAATGCAAAGGTCTGCCAGCATACCACCTTTCATTTAATCGATCAACTGCTACTTGTGCCTCTGTTTCCCATTCGAACCTAGCATAAACGTTTCCAATCAAATGATCACCAACATTATCGCATACGTGCAACTCTAATAAATTTCCGTACTTGCAAAGTTCCCTGTTTATGAAATGAGCCCCTAATCAAGCTATCATGCTAGCGACTCACATGTATAAATCTTCGAAGAACATATCAAAGTCAACTTGAATACCCCTTTGGTCTAATTTACTATCTGGTCTATGTGCTGGACTCTGGTATACGTTAGGCAAAAGTATAGTCTGCGAGAACTGTGGTTTGATGTGCTTTCTAGAACATCTTTCACCGTGGCGACATGCACCTATCTATAGAGAAAGCGTCAGTGATGCTAAATCATTCATAACACTATATTTACCTTATAATAGAATGAGCAATTCACTCTATCTTGCTCTGTACCAAATATCGAAGCTAAGCGCGAAGCGGCCATTGATGGAAGTTTAAATGAGAAGATCAAAATAAATATTATGTATCTTAAGTGGGTATATTCAAAGTGTGTACATTCAAGAATCCGATCTTCAATAAGAATCTATATATATCCTCAATTTTTGAATTCTCGACATCGTTTATCAGTTTCGTTGCATCTTCCTTGGTCAATCTACCTGATCTTTTATGATATTCCCTTGATATTGCCTCCTTAATAACAAGGTAAGGCTTTGGTAGAATCTTCAAAGTCTGACAAAGCTTTTGTTCTTCATGATTGAGTAAGTAGAGCGATTGTGACGATGCTAATGACGTTGGCGTCTTCTTTATTGAACGAACGGATGGTGTGGACTCTCTAGAAAACTCTTCAGATTTCTTTGAATCCCTCCTGTTAGCAGTGATGCTATTGCTACTACCATTCTGTAATAACTGTTCACGTCCAGGCATTGGTCTGAAGGTTGCTCTTGCCACTTTGTCTTTTTCGTACAAATCGACGTCTGCCAAATTAGTCAATCCCATTCTTCTATACTCTTGTAGTTCACCAATGCGTTTACGTAACGTCATTTCATAGACTAAGCCATCAACAAACCTCTCGTGTTCTTGTGCAGACTGCAACCTAGCAAACGGCTTAAGTCTATTCACCAAATCTTTCTCATCACGCGGTCGTTTCCTTTCCGTTGCCTGAATTTTCTTATGTTGAAGTAAACCTCTATCAAAGATGAACCTTTTTGCAAGTAAACGCTTATCAACTCTGCCATTGTAGATGTCCATCAATGTAAGCTTCAATTGTAAGTCTGGATGAGGTTCATCCTCAACAATTTCCTCGTTTGGTGGAGGTGGTGGTAGTTCTGCTTCACCGCTCTCACTATTTTCTGACAATCAATGATGAGTATGAGCTTAATTCTATGAATGAGACGTACCTATCTTCACACGACTAGTACTACCAGGTCTGCGAGGATCAGGTAGACTATCACCTTTGTATCCATGTACTAGTCCAAATTCAAGGTCCTTGATCAACACTTCTGCTTCATTCTCTATTTCGTGCTCAAACTCAAGTCTACCAGGCATGAAGCCGCCAACTTCATGATTTGTAGGTACGGATGTAAGAGGTTTTGTCTTTGGAGGGGGGATTTCGATCGGTTTGTTGCGTAATTCTTCTATTCGAGCCTTTTTCCTTGCGTGAAAGGTATCCAAGTCAATTTTAATATCCGCATTTGAAGGCTAGCAAATGTATGAGCGTCATCTCATACCTAGCATGAGACGTACCGGCATGCAATCATCGCCAGACAAGTAGACATTGTGGTAATGATCTGCAACCTCCTCTTTGGATCTGCTGCCGATATGGCCGCTAACGTCCAGCCAATTACCCAAACCATATAACTGACATCCTTCTAACAAAAGAAGTTCTCTGCAAGTGATGCTTGTCAGCTAATTCGGGTAGCACATTACTGGCTTACTCATCTGCACCCCAATCATCTGTAAATATCGGATAGCTGTGTTGTTCGATGACTCTGTATGGATGCCACGGTTTGTGTTTGCCGATGGTTTTTCCTTCTAAAAAGCAAGGTGGGCAAAGATCGACCTCTTCGCAAGTGGAGGTTTCTGCGCATCTCATACGCACGGATTGAGTAATATCCCTAGCGCATGCATCGCAATGGAAGCGGATTCCCGGTTGGTAGTCTGTGGAGAAAAAGATATAAATAATATTCAAATCACTCAGAATACTCACCAGGCGGTTTATCTGTTTCCTGTTGCTTATTAGGCCGCTTATGAGTCACCGTCATTTACTAGAATACTGCTAAGTGACGGTCTATAACGAGAATTAAATTATTTTAAATTTAATAATCCGAAGCAAATGAGTTATTACTCTCTTATATTATTTATTTATTCTTACAAAAATTTAAAATATTCTGCAAATAATTATGCGCGGTGACGAGTGCGTCATAGCAGCTTAATGACTGCAAAATTGAGCAATCTTGGTATCATTCTGTAGCTATCAATTGTGCAATGAATTTGAAAGGGGGTTATTTTTAATCGCGTAGTGATGTCCTCTGTACTAGTTCAGATAAATGTGGAATGTTTTAGGGAGAATAACTTGGTATCTAAAATATAAATTTCTATTATTCAGCCTTCTGAAATTCAAACGCAGTCTCAAACACCCCCACCCAATTATTTGATTTCTCGAAATGCAACTAGTGAAACCAAACCCGATTTCAGAGTTTTGCTGAATACCAATTTTCTATACCTAAATCGTTAAATCCCTTCTTCCAAGTGTTGAATGAGGCGGGACGGCAATACGTATCTCCTGCTGCCAGCCTTGAGTCCTGTAGACGCCATGCAGCGTGAAACTTTTTCGCGTTTATAGGACTGAATATTTCAAATTTCTGAGCACTTCCAGTCTTCCTCAGCCGGAATGCTTTCGTGCATTGGTGGAGCCCGTATGGTCATCCGTATTTATCTTATAGCGTGCTCCGGAGTGATTTCGGACGATGACTTCCAAGCAGCGTGCATGACGAAATTTGAGGCGCCAGAGATATAAATCTGGCTGGAACGTAATCCTTCCATCGAGGGCCACTAACGAGGTTGATTATTTGCAGATCATCAAAAGTCGTAGATAACCATCTGAGATGACATAGGGTGGTAGAGGAGAAGTCCAAGTTAGTGGATATTGGGCGGATTGTTGAGATAAGAATGTTTTTGGAATACTTAAGGGGTAAGAAATTAGATTTTATTGCTAAATTGTTCAAATTATCAGTATGTGGTATCCCTACGTTCGTCTTCTCACTTACTTGGTCGTTTTTACGGTTCCTTCGGACGAAGCAATTCAATAAAATGAACCATACTAATTTAAGGATTCTAATTTACTAAATTATGTATTAAATTCGCTCTACCATCCATAAACACATCTTGATGTCATCAGATATGTAGGGACGAGTCCCAGACAAAGCGTTTGTGGTTGGCGACAGGACAAATGACTTGAAAGATATTTCAGATTGCTCAGTGATATACTGCATCTGTGATCAATCTTCTTTGCGCATCTGTTCAGCCATCGGAGGCGAAATAATCGATAAGAAAGTGACACAATAATTTCAGGCTTCAATTCGGATTTACTAAACGATTTAAGATATCGATAGACGCATCAATGTGTACAACATTCCATCAATACAATACGTATGGCGGAACACGCGTGTCGCACAGGTTCATAGGTCATTGTAATCTCCAGCAGCTTTAATGAATTTATCATTGTGCTTAGGACTGTAATTCCTCGGCACGAAGTAACTAGTGAACTGTTTATAATAGTTCGCCTTACCAGGGTGAACCACGGTAAATTGATAAATCTGACAAGAACTTAAAACTTCCTTGTACTTGCTGTGCCTGGTGATAGCACTCCTGTCCAACAATGCGATTAGCAAGACACGCGAGAGCTTCATTCAGCCTAGTAAAATTGGGTGCTAGCAGCGTCGTATGCCGGAGTTTGTTTACTTTGGCGGTAGTAACGCACGCCATTAGTTAATCTCCCCCCAACACGATTCTACGAGGAACTGCTCACGCAGCAATCGCGCTGCCTGGAGCATTATCAGACGTGTCTAAATATAACGGCCAGCATCCACACCTCCGAAATCTTACATTTATGCCTTCTTTCCCTGACGGCTCCAGCTGCTTACTTCAGCTGCGCAGCAGTATCACCACCGCTGCCGATGCAGTTTTCTGATTGGCCGATGCAGCTTTCAAAAAATCAATCGAAAAAATTGCGCACCTTTCGTCACCTCAATCATAGCATAATATAAAAGGAGGCTTCTCGCCTACCAACCATTAACTTGTACTCTCATTCAATTCATCAGTCTAGCATACCGTGAGCGGGGTGTCTTACTCTTTTTCAACGCGAGCTGACGCGCATGGAAGATGTCCAAAAGAATCACACACCTCCCGTTCATATCAAGGTACGACGATGTCATGCATAAGAAGGTCGTCGATGCTTTGTATCAGCAGTGGAAACACGATCAGCAACTCGAGAAGGCAAAGGTGCTTGCCGCAAACATCGACCTCTTCTTTGGCGTCACAACTAGCTCAGATACCTCTTCCGTCACTTCCGTAGAGACTAAGAACAAGGCGGGCAGTGGAGTTTTGACTGGTCTGATTAAGCGCGGATATAAGAAGATGCTTGGGAAATCAAAGTCTAGAGAATCCCGTGGGAATGAAGAACGAGCAGAAGACACCGGTGAAGACCAAGCCGCCTCACCGCCACTCACGCCCATCAGTCGCGCAGACTCCATCGACAAAGACCGCCGCAACGCGAAAGGAATGGGCTACGACTTCAGTGACTTCGATTTGATGATGCTTGAATTATCTCACAGTTTTATCAGTCGTGAATAGACACCATAACATACCTGTACATTATAACATTTGCACTTCGCTCAAGCAACTTATAGACAGAGCACACTTGTACACTTTCAATAGCATCAAAATACCGCTATTATACGTAAATTAGCATTTCTATACATATTAAATCAGTCCAATTGTATTTGAGATAAGATTTCGTGCTGTTCGACACGTTGTCTTCATATCGGATTCACAATGTCCACGTATACTCTTAAAAGGTATTATCCAAGTTGTAGTTGTAATGCGTTACTAGAAGTATTCAAAAATCCTCACCAAGGTTAGAAGATCGCTTCTAATTGAGACATAACTCACGGTCTATAGATGCGAGCTTTCAGCAATTGCCTTGTCGATGAATCCAACTTTGTCTTTTAGGGAATTAGTCATGTGGTGGGAGCGAGTCATGTAGAATCTTAATTTGGCGACTGATGAGGTTTTTGACTGACCAAAAACTTGGATGAGATCGAAGAGGCAAACGCAACAAAGGAGGGTATCGTCTTGTCTGATTATTTGAGGTGGACTTAGTAATAGCTTGATATCATGTAATAGAGTGATGTAGAGCTGTTGCGACCGCAAATGAGAAGGTAAAGATGACCAAATGCTCTGCACAGCTTCAGATGGATTGTTGTAAACAAACTTTGAATTAGGCTGGAAGACGAATGGTAGTAAGCTCACGAAATCCTTCTTCGCATCTGAAACGTCAGTTGATATGTTATCAAAACTGGACAGCAAGTTGAAAGAGTATCTGCGTAATATGAAGGCATATGCGAAAATAATAGCAGCAAGGTTTGATGATAGCAACTGACCACCTTCGAATACAGGGATTGAGGTGAGATTGAAGGGATTGACAAAGGAAGTTGGGTCAAACTGATCGAACCAAGGTTGAAGCTGGTTTTGTAGTAGTTGAGTTAGATGAGAGCGATTCGATGGTAAGAATAGTTCATGGAAACGATCTTTTTCTGCTTGTGTGAGTATATTCAAAATGTCGTCATGCGTAGAATTATCAAGATCAATAGATGATAGGCGTTGGATTAGGGTGTCATCATCATCGTCGCTATCTTCGTCTTTCAAAAAGTTCAAGTGATCTTCTGAAGTCTGGTTATAATGATTTTTGAGAAGATTGAGGAACTGATGATGCTGGGAGTGGTCGATGGGGGAGTCTTCCGTTTCCTTGAGCTGTTGAGTGACAAACCTATCACTGCATTGACCGTGCTTATCGGACTTATAGCAACTCAACGAACAGTACGGGACATTGCATGAAGGACAGATGTAAACGGACAGATTGAGCGAACAGATACCACAAACTTGCTGAGCGGACGTAGACTGGATCTTATTGGCTGAATTTCCATGACTGAGTAATTCGATTTCATTATTCTCTCTGAGTCGAATCGGAGGCATGAAAAGAGCTGCCTTTTGAGCAGACGATGAGGATTTTGAATATTTTAAATTTATTAGGCACAGCATACGCTATAACTGAGCAAGTCTCCCAAGAGTTATTAGATTTGCACAAGAACTTGATTCTGAATCCATCAATCACAAGAAACGAGACATTGGCTGTAGATTTCTTATCGACTTATCTTCAGTCAAAGGGCTGGAATGTTGAATTGCAGGACGTCATCAACAAGGACATTAATCCTGACATCAAGAGACAGAACATATTCGCATACCTCAACGATCCTCAAGATGTAAAGATGATTTTAAACTCACATACAGACGTAGTACCACCTTATGTTGACTATCATTACACAACAGATGAACAAGGTCGCGACGTTATATACGGCCGTGGTGCGAACGACGCAAAAGGTCAAATAGCTGCTCAGATAACTGCAGCCCAACAAGTTCGATCAGCTGACCCAGAGATGTCAAAGTCTATTGGTTTGCTTTACGATTTGGGTGAAGAAGGTATATTCGATGGTGCAAAACATGCACAAGATAACCTCCCACCTAACTTGGAATACTTTATCGTAGGCGAGCCTACACAACTCGAGATGATATCTGGTCATAAGGGTGAGTGAGTTGAAATGGTCACAAACGTTGTAACCTGACACACATTTACAGGAAATATGGGATTCGAAATCAGAGCTAAAGGGTTAGCTGCTCACTCTTCATCTCCTCATTGGGGTGTTAACGCTATCGAGAAATTGTCTGAGGCTATTCTCAAGCTGGAATCTGTTAGCCTGCCTCATGATGAATTGTTAGGCGATACCACAATGGCAGTAACAAAGATATCCGGTGGTACTGCTATGAACAAAGTGCCAGATGAAGCAGTTGCTTATGTTAATGTCAGAACTTCCGTACCTACAGATGTCACATGGCAAGTATTGACGGAAACCGGGTTGGAGTCTGAATGGATAGAAATAGTATTGGTTGATGAGCCTCATAATCCAGTCATTGTGAGTAGATGAAAATACCCACCCC